ACTGCGTCTGGATTACCATTGTGCGGCGAAAGCTCGTTCTACTCCATATTGCTCCCAAGTGTCGACTCCAACCACAAGTCTGCCTCATTGCGTCTCTTTTGGTGTGCGATGCAACTGTAGAATACGACTACCCCTGTCTATTTTTGCCTAGTGTCACACTTGCAGATGAGGTGCCAACTGGTCTGCCGCCGGTAAGAATTCGAACCTTGCGGACGGGGGAGCATTACTAAGGAAACTCCGTGCAATGTTCGCTGAAAACCAAAACGTGCCAGGTCCGATTCGAAGATCGCGACACTACGGCTAACAAAAGTTGCATATGGAAAATGACCAGATACGCATGTGTCAATGCCCTGTATATTATGCCAAAAAGTACTCCATCGCAATACAATAAAACCAGTAGAACAATGGAAAGAAGTGCCCAAAGTAGTGACCTGCAGTGCCGTCGAAACTGAGTCGAGTCTGGTATTCTCACGCGCAAGCCAATACTGGCCCCGTCGTAATCAGCTATGACACCTCCTCGACCATCTTCTGCGGTACCGCCCTGCTGCCGGCCGGCGGGGGGCCAAACAGCGCTCCCACGGGCCCGTCCAAGACCTCATTCTTAACACCCACGCGGTTGCCCTGCTTGTTGCTGGTCCACCGGATGAACATCGCTGCGGAACGCCCAGATCCATCGGCCGCGCCCTCTTCGTCGTCGGCCTGTGCGTTCTTCTTCGTTGTCTTTGGCGCCTGACGCTTGAGCAGCTTATTGATCGTCTCGGCCTTGACTTCTTCGTTGCGCTTGTCGCTGAGGTTGCGACGTCTCCGCGCCATCTCCTGCCGCCGCATACTTAGTTCCTCCGCTGTAAATACCTTCTTCACTTGGACCTCTGCACAGAACTTCCGTTAGCTTCTGGCCGACAGAGGGGGTGGGGGGTATAAAAATAATAAAATAAAATAAAAAGGCCATTCCTGGGGCTGGCACTTGTGGTGTACGATGCAACTTACCATCGGACAGCTTCATATATTCCTGTGGTGTCTCCTCGAAACGAGCACGTTGCCGGCGCGTCATTTTGGTCAGGTCGGGGGTTCCATCGCGGCTCCCATCACCGTCTTCGCCGTCGCTTTCGCCCTCGGCATCCTGCTGATCGTCGTCGTCGTCGTCGTCGTCGTCTTCGTCGTCTTCGTCTTCATCATCCTCATCGCCCTCAGCATCCTCTTCATCACCTGCCACCATCTCTGTCTCGCCTTCGACATTGCCCTCGTCATCGTCTTCACCTTCGGCGTCCTCGTCGCCCGCTACCTCGACAGAATCGTTAATCTCGCCTTCAGGCACGCTCTCACTTTCGCTGAGCTCTTCGTCATCGTCATCATCGTCCTCTTCTTCCTCCTCTTCTTCTTCGTCCTCGTCATCGTTTGCACGGCCCCTCTTTCTGCCGGAGCCGCTTGCTGCCGATACCCGCTTGTTGATGGCAGGCTTAGCCTTGGCCGCTGCAACTTCTGCCTTTGCCTTTGTGCTTCCCGGCGTTAGCGGCTTCGACACCGTAATTGCAGGGATAGAGTCCATATCAACATCGCCTTCGGCGTCCTCGTCGCGCAAGTCATCTGCGTCGCCTTCGGCGTCGATGTCCATGTCTTCCGCCTCGCCCTCGGCATCCATCTCGACATCGCTTGCGCCAACGCGAATCTCATCCTTCTGCTCTTCTTCCTCATCCTCCTCCTCCTCGTCATCGTCGTCGCTCGACTCGGACTCGATGTAGCGCTTCTTCGGTCCGCGGGTCGGCCGGCGGCTATGAATGACATCGTGGCTTTCGGATCGATCACGGTGGTCTGTCACGCCATTGCTCTTCTTGAGCCGCTTCGCAGTACTGGAGACGCGAACAGACGAAAGGTTGGATTCGGCCGAAGGCGCGCGCGCGGTGGCCCGGCTATCGCCTCCCCTCCTTGATCGTGACGGCATTGTGGTGTCTCTATCGGCCATGTCAGTAATTGCCACAGACGCGAGTCGGGCCGCAGTTCTTCGCGGTCGGGATGCCATAGTATGCGAATTGATATGAACACGCAAAAAAATGTCAACCGGGCAGTGTAGATGAGAGAATCTGCTAAGGAAGCCGCCTTTTCGACATTGGGTGGAAGGTTATGGTGCAGGGCAAGAACGGCTACTATAGAAACCGGAAGGAAAAGGCAGTGAGGCCAGAAAGGGGATCAAATGCATGCCCAGGTGAAAACGACAAAAGAGCAAACTGCGACTCCGAGTTGGAGGGGTGGGGCAACGGCCGTGAGATAGGCGTAACTGCCGCTGGTTGTAAAGCAATATGATAGGGGCCAAATGAAGGAGCAACGACGAGGGAACAGGCACAGAATAATACGTCCGATATGTCCCAATATTCCACAAAATGGATAAGAGCATAAGAGGGCGGTCTGTTTCCAAGACGGGCCCCAGTGGAACGCCAGTTCAGTGCACTCGTTCGTTTGTGCAACGACGCGCTGGTAGTGAGAGCATTCGTGCATCGACATTCAGCCAATTGCTCATTTCTCCCTCAACACGCCTGGCTCTTTGATGTCCTGCCGTACGTCGCAAGCCATTTCGAAACAACGAAGATCCGCATCACATTGCATACGTACGACCATGGGATACAGGAGAGCCATACAGCCCGAACAGACGTAGGAAAGGAAAGGTAGAGGGAAAGCGAAAATAACGTGACCGAAGGTGCAAAGGTAAAAGCATCTGGCTGTGACACTGTCACCAACCGTCGTTACTAGTACAGGCGAAATTGGAGTACAGAGCGAGACTTGAACAGCAATGGGATGGACGTCTCACCAGAAAGAATGAAAAGGAGCGAGTCTGTTCCGTAGGTATCAACCCAGAGTCGACAGTTCACCAAGGCAGGTAAACTTGGGTTTGCGCTTACCCCTGCTTGATTTCAACCGTTCATAAGAGGCCTGTAAACGTCTAGAGGCAGTACCGGAGTGACCGCAGGGCTCTGAATGGTCCAATGGCAGTCTAACTGTTCAATTGACGGAAATATAACATCAATGGCTTGGTTATCGACGTATGAAGCTGGATGCACGCATGCGTTGCTTGGCTTGATTTGAATGGCCCAGATGGTGGTAATATCGCTTGTGCCGTTAGACTGCCCCGATTGGGATTTCTTTGGGATATGCGCTGGTTGGATTTGCTCTTCTGACGTGTGACGCGCAATGTGTTTTTCGAGACTTGAGCGTGTTCGATTTCGAGATTCGGGCTGTTGGAGACCTGCTCCTCATCCAAAGCCCACGTCGTCCAGAAAGCTAAACTAGCACAGGGCATTTTGGGACCTTCTTAACACCTAAGATATCAGGCAGAAACTGCGCGCCTTCCCCAAACTTTCGACTTTCGGGAACGCCCCACAACCAATGGGGCCCAGTCTGCATCCCAGCACAGCACAAGCCTCCGCAAGCCGAGGCTACAGCTGCAGCCAAAATACAATCATCTCGGCCGTGCCCCTGCCAAATAAAGCACCGCGTGCCAAACAAATACTTCGCATCTTCCTTTCATCTCTAGCAACACAAATTCTACCTCAGACACGTCGCAATCGACAGCCATGGCCGACTCCGATCCAAAAGACCGCCCCATACCGTCGGCGCCCCAGGAAAGCATTGCAGAGTCGGCAAACGATGTTTCCGCGACACATCCTGAAACGGCACCATCTCAAGAGGAATCGCCGTCCTTCGACGCAGCCAGTCATGTGAGCGCTGATGGCGAATCCGAAGCGAATCCAGCCTCCCCGCTGACTGAACCGTCACCGCCGACCCTAGAGCAAGCCCGCATCTTCCTTCGCGATAAGACCGTGCAACACGAATCGCGACCACGTAAAGCCGCCTTCCTAGCCAGCAAAGGCCTGGCATCCAAAGAAATCGACCAGCTGTTGGCCGAAGAGGATGGGCCGGCTGCCACGACAGAAGTTGCGGTGACGCCGCAAGAAAGCAGGGGCCCTTCGGCCGAACAGACGCCCTCTCGGCCCCCGATTGTCACATACCCAGAGTTCATGGCACGTCCGCCACAGCCACCACCACTCGTAACCCCCAAAGTCTTCCTCGGTGCTCTCTACGGCAGTGCCGCGGTCTCGTCGCTTCTCTATGTGACAGCGCGCCTCGTCCTTGCGCCCATGGTTGACACTCTTACCGAAGCGCGCGCCGAGCTGCACGATACTGCTGCAACCAATCTGACCCGCCTTCTCGGCCAGCTCGAGACGGTCGTGTCTCGAGTGCCCGAGGCCGCCAAGGCCAGCAGAGACAGCGGTGCGCCAGCTCGGTCTTCTCTTGCTACTGCCTCTACACTAGCAGACGACGACGGTGCTTCTACCGCCGAAACCAGCGGCTCATATGATGACCCGACGGAAGTGTTCCACCGTGACATTGGCGTGCAGACGTCGCTGCCTCCAAGCCCGAACTTGGCACCAAAGGTCACTATGGACTCTACCGTGCCATCGACGTCCACATCGTTGAATGCACCGGCCGCGGACTCTGCAAACGAACCCTCGCAGAGCTACTACCAAGCCGAGCGACTATCTAACTTGGTAGTGTCGGTTCGTAGCTTGAGTCAGGGATGGGCCGGTCCTTCGGATGTGCTTTCTGAGATTCAGACGACGGTTGATGTGTTCCGCGAAGACGTTGATAAGCTGTCACGCCCTCCTGCATATGCGTATGGAGGCGGCTTTGGCAGTAGTATATACGGCTACGGAAGCAGTATTTCCACAATCGGCAGTTCCAGCAAATACCCTGGCTACGTGACTACGACGCGGAACGAGCCCGATGACGAGATTCGCAAGGCCAAGGAGAATATCCGGCGGGTGAAGGGCGCGTTGCTTACGACACGAACATTCCCAACCGCACGGTGAAGTTTCCTCCAGTTAAGGGTTCACGACCGGGGCCCATCAAACAGCAGCAGTCTTAAAATTGTACAATAATACTGGGCAACTGGGCCAGCCTTGATTGCCCCCAGATAGTGCATATTACCATTCCTATATTATTTTCGGTAGTCATTCAGTGGTACCAACTTTGAACGTTTTGAAGAAGCCTTCCCAGCTGTCAACGCGAATGTGGTCGTATCCACGACCCTCATCGACTTGTTCACGATACCACTCTGTTGTAGGACGATACTCAAACTCCATCTTTGTCGCTCGTGGATTTTTCATCCTCGCTTGCCGTGTAGCATCGTAAAAGCGGTTGCGACATTTGGAAGATCCGATATGCCGCATCCGCTCACCTCTCGGTGCATGAAAAACAATGTTCGTATTGTCTCTTTTCCCCTTCGCGTCCGTCATGTCCTTGACGTTCTCACTTTCAACGAATCCTTCCTCCCTTGGATCGTCAACCATCAGCACCTCTCTATAGCCTTTAGCTTCGAGATACTTATGGGCCGAGGGCACGACGTTCTTAATATCGCGTGCCATGTGATCCAGATACTCCATAGTCGCGTCGAGCTCGTTCATGGGCGAAGAAATGAGCTTCTTGTATTCTTTTCGTCTGCAGGGCTCGCCCCCGATGTATATGCGACTAAGTGGTAATTCTTTGTTTTTTTGAGGACCGAACTCTCGGACGTAATCAACCACCGCGCGTTGTCCAGCAGTCAAATCCCTTGTCTCGTGGAGCATATCTCGGCCTTGAAACTTGTCCTTCGCTCGGGGATCCCAGAAAATCAGCTCCGTTTTTTTGAAAGGCTGCAAGTGCGGTAGTTGAGGGCGGTATATGACCAAAAACGGATGTCTTGGCAATGAGGAATTGTCTCTGTGCCCCATATGTAGCTTGTCGCTCGAGTCGTCGGTCAAGTAAAAGAATCCAATGTAAGTTCGAACCTTGGAGTTGATGAACGGCCACGTAAAAGAAAACCAGTCACGTATCGTGTGTAGTCTTGCATGCAAAGAACCAGATCGGAAGGCCTCGTCTGAATTCTTCCACCAAACGGCAAAGCCGTATAATTTCCAAAAACTGCCATCTATGTTGGAATTCATCAAATGATCAGTAAAGGCACCCGGAGAGTCATTGGGAAATCGTCGGCTTCGGAGGGCCTGCAGCGACAGCTGCGGCTGGTCCTCGGATAAAATTGAATGTGGCGAGTTCCCTGTATCGGAGGGTCGGGCTACCGATTCCACCTTCTCATTTATTCGCTGTTTCGCAACATCCGGGTCAGCAACCGTTTCTGGGTCGAAGTTGGGCAACGTAATCGTGCGTATTGCGAGTCCCGAATGATTGTACTTCAGTGCCATATCAGTGCCCACAACTTGAAATAGTCGGTACTGGTCAAGACGCGATAATGGCCACCACCCAAACCAGTTGACAAGACTTTGTTCGTCGTTCCAATCAATGGCATTGTCAGCGAAAGCAATAGGAAGAAAAAATTCTGTCTCGGGAGTTTCGCAAATCTCATCGGCCAGAAGGCACGTTTCATAGCGAAGGTGGCAATCCACTTCTTTATCAACATCTCCTGTTGAAGCGGAAACCTCTCTGCGATTCGAGCCCCCCTTTTTAGCCCTGTCGCCGAGACGTTCGTTCCGCTCCCGGTCCTTTTCCTCCGCAACGGAGCGGAGGAAAGCACATATATCCCATGCAGTTACCAGTGTCACGAGTATGTCGCCGGCTCGGTGAGCATTGGAAACCCATCGAAAGAGGTCATATGTGCGGCGTGGTTCAGACACAATAAAGCTTGGTGTAATGAAAATAGCCAGCCCGTGAGGAAATAGCTGCGTCCAGTTAAATTTCCCAAAATTCATCAGCTTTTCGCCCCGTCCATTAGCATCTGGCTCGTCGAGGTCATATTGTCCTCCAGAGGAAAATACCGGTGGTGAGAGAACAGACTGAGACAGTGCCCAAAATTTACAGGCCCTGTTCTCTGCAGAAACAAGACTATAGAGATCGGGAAACCGGCGGATAGCGTCTAGAACTAGTTCGTGAACAACGACCGCTCCGTCATCCGAATCCAAGATGATTTTGTCACGGAACGCCATCCAAGCTCCTGCAATCGAGCTATCGAAGATTGCACAGTTGGGATCCCTGGCACGTACCCAGAGAGCCAGTTGTCGCATGTTGGGAGACAGCGAGGGTGGGAATGCCAGAAAAATATTTTTTCTGATCTTTTCTGATTCCTTGCGGCGAGGAAATAGGCGAGAATATAAGCCAGGGTCCAACCCACTGAACACTTTCATAAGATGCTCCCTCTCGCCCACATTCGGTGAAATGTTAACTCCACAAGCAGCAACATTGGGAGGTCGCAGAAAACATGATCCGTCGAAATATGTTTTGAACACGACATATCGAAGAGGCGCAGCTGTTTGTCCGGCCTCGGGAATAGGGAAGCCGAACTTTTCCTCATTCCAATACTGGCATCGTGTGGGATACAGCAAAATTGCAAACATGGGCCTGAGAAGAAAGAGGCCGGAATTCATCACCATCAGCCTCTGACCTATATTGTCCAAGCTCTCGCTGCTGGGTGTTGTCTGCGAGCTTGCGTTGACGTCACCGGAAAACATGTTTCTTTCTCGAATGCCCCCCAGTTGCTGTAGGAGCGTATCTGCTAGGCAAGAATAATCGAAACGTAAAACATTGTTCCCAAACACCTCGTCTAGAAGAAGTTCAGAGCTCTGAGGTTCTGCCATAACACTGAAGACAGCTTCCACGGGTACTTTTTGCGACCCTGATAGAAGTTTCACGGGTCGGTCGGGCATTGGTATCGCTACCTTCCCGAGTCCAGCGTCCACAGCTACGCTGCCGTCGTCGTCGTCGTCATTATGGTCTGTAGTAACAAAAGCTACTGCTGGTGGTGATGTTAACCGGGTGCGGTTGGGGGACGGCGAATTGCCGTCGCCGCTTGGATCAGAAAAGTGAACGGACTTTTTCGGTTTGGGCACAGCTCCTTGGGGCCGATTTGTGGTAAGGATAGATCGTGATGCACCTTTTCCCGGCTCCACAATCGAGATGGGATCCAAACCTGGACTAAATGGAGGAGGTTCATCAGTCACATTGCCTTCGCGGGTCACTACTTTCGCTGAAGAAGTAGTTGCGATAGGGGGTCCCTGGGAGATGGGGAAGAGACCAGACAGCAGCGATGGTTTTATGATACCATCCACTTTGTCTCTCTCAAGTATCTCGGCTTGGCGAAGCGTGCGTCGCTTCGTAAAGAGTTGTTGGGGCTTCGAGGGATCAGACATGGCGGTAGCGAGATTGGCCCGGGTGCGGATCTTTTTGCCGCTGATGAAAGCATTACCTGCCGCTTGGGGTGTCGTTGCAGATCTCCGCGCCGAAAAAGATTTTGGGTTTGGGGGAGCTGTTTCCAAGGTCTCCGTCACTTTACTTGAGGAGATCGTCCCTTTGTTTGTCGGTACCCTGGACTCTTTTAGAGTCCGCCCCGAGGGCCGTGGGTTGGATATGCGATGAACGGCTTCCGACAGCCCCGTAGTGACTTTCGCGGTATCTGGCGTACTGGCTTTCGTTTCACCGTCTATGGACTTCCGCTTATCGTTTCGTTTCGACTTTCCTTCAAGGATAACCGACGCTGCCAGAGATGTAGTAACCCGGTTTGTTGGACGCGATGGGCCAGCCTCAACAGCATTTTTGTGTTTGGAGTGCAATTTCGGAGAAGTGTCAGCTTTGTCCTTTGTTAAAACGGTCTCCTTCGTTTTCTTCTTCTTTTTCTTCGTTGACTTTAACGCAGCCGGGGTTGAGATGTCGTTTAGTACAACAAGATCGTCGTCATAATCGTTGGTAAGTTCTGTAAGCTGCAAATAAACACCATTCACGATTTCCGTTTCCGTTGTGCTGGGTGCATCCGCAACAGAGGAGAGTGCGGCTTCAGCCGTAGCAGTACCTGCAATACCTGCATCGACTTGATCCGCAGCAGACTCTCTCAGAGTCGCCTCGTCCCTTTCCAGAAACGGATATGTCTCAGGCAAGCCACGTCTTATCCGCTTCATATTTCGGCGACGATGCCTGTTGTTTCTTTTTGCGAGAGCCCCGAAATACAAGTCGAGATCAAAAGGCTCGTAGTCCGGCCGCTTCCTTTTCTCCTCCCACATATCGGTAAGCAATTCAGGACCCATGTTCTCCTCGGGCTCCCATGTACACTTCTCAAGTGGATAATTGGCCCATCTCACGAGATACTTCGTGCCGCCATCCATGTTGTCATCCTGTGCCAGAATGTCCTCCACAGTATACTCTGCGTCCGGGTCTTCCGAGTCATATGGAGTCGACGTGACTGAGATACTGTCGTCGCTGTCGTCTGTTGTGACACTGACAGATTGCTCGGCTTTTGTGCTTGTTTCGGTACCCGAGTCTGCCAAGTTGTATTTGATAGCCGTGTCGCGTGCCATTGTTGATTTGGATTCGGCTTTGCCCCCCAGCAATGCTAGTCCGCTCATGGAAGCTTATAAGCTGCCTCAAATTCTAGGAAATTGATGCAGTGAAAGTTAAATATTGACCAGATGTCTTTGGGCCACAGTAGCTCTACACGTAATATGGACGAGATTCTAACCCTCTGTTGATTTTTGTCCGGTGTCGTGCATAAAACAAAACGACAATAAAACACACAATGAGATTTTGCACCTCATGAAATGGCAGGAGGAATGATTGTTTTGACTTGATCTTGACGGTGCACGTGCTTGAGCAAAGCGTGTATGGGCTTAACGCAAAAGAGAAATACGTATCGTACTAAAGGAGCAAAAAATGAAACTGCAGCCTTGCTGAGGAGGCAGCTTTGAGCATCCCAGCGTATTACGGCATATCAAGAGATCGCCCCGGCATCAAAATTTCCGAAAATACGAACGAATGAGCAACGGAAGATAAAGTCGCCGGCTATGATTAAAGTATCAAATTACTTTGGCCAGTAAATTTCGAAGACCTTCGGTCTCGTTTCGAAAAGGAACAGCTGTTATTTACTTAAGCGATCGTTAACTTGACGCCCCACCAGAACTATCGTTCGTGGTGGGGCGTATCAAGCGACTGACATCCCCTCGTGAACAAGGGGTGTTTTGGCTGCCCACTATCTCATCTAACTAGTCCAGCGACCCCTAATTCAGCGACAAAGTGGCCCATAAATGTTCCCCGGAGTGCGTGGCATAGAATTCTGTTGCCTGCAGGCTGCTGATTATATAGCATTAGCACTGAAGCGCCTTGTAAAATAGCACCCTTCAGCTTTGCGTTCTGGAGCCACCCAGCCCTGCCGAAAGCAACAGCAAACAAGCCCTTGCGGTCCAAACCTCTATTTCTCCTGCAAAGAAGCCGAACCTCACCACCGCTGGAACATCCACAATCCGCAATCTACCATTGCATTTTCAACCGCACTCCCTCCAACCCACCCTTCGCTTCATTCACGACCACGCCCGCGCGACCAACGTTGACGACCTTTGATCTCATCAAACTGCTTTACGAATAACAGCGACCATGGCCAACGACGAATATGATGTGAGCAGCACAACCCCTCCCTTTGCTTCCCCTAGATCCCTCGGTTTGCTCCACGCTTCGAAGGCGCCCCTTTTCCTACACTCCCACCGCCTTCCCTACTCCAACACGCGGTCAATGCATGTCGCGGTTGCATTCCAGGCTGCCGGCCATGTACGACCATACGACATTACGACGTGACGATTTTTGTTCGCTTTTGCTAACTCTGGATCGTGCAGTTCCTTTTCAAAGGTGAACCTACTTACCCCCAGACTGTTACATACAAAACGAGAACCATGACGAACCCATCTGATGACGTCGGATACATCGGCAGAGGACGGCGGGGCTGTGTCTAGAACTCGCGTCACGGCCTGCCATGACAGTTTGCCGTCCTGTGGACCTGGCGCTAACATTCTTTCTTCATACTCTTCCAGTCGTCCTAATCGGAGACTCAGGCGTCGGCAAGTCCAACCTGTTGAGCCGTTTCACTCGCAACGAGTTCAACCTGGACTCCAAGTCCACGATCGGCGTCGAATTTGCCACCCGCTCCATTCAGGTTGATTCCAAGACAATCAAGGCGCAAATCTGGGATACCGCTGGCCAGGAGAGGTACCGTGCCATCACCTCTGCTTACTACCGTGGCGCTGTTGGTGCGCTGCTTGTCTACGATATCAGCAAGCACCAGACCTACGAGAACGTCACACGGTGGCTAAAAGAGCTGCGAGACCATGCCGACGCAAACATTGTTATCATGCTGGTGGGAAACAAGAGCGATTTGCGGCACCTGCGTGCCGTTCCCACAGAGGAAGCAAAGGCTTTCGCAAGTATGTTATATCCTGAGCTCAAACGTGATGGGCTTCCCAGCGTTCGGTACTAACCGTAGCAGGCGAAAATCACCTGTCGTTTATTGAGACCTCGGCCCTTGACGCCAGCAATGTTGAGCTCGCGTTCCAGAACATCCTGACGGGTAAGTTACCACCTCTCTTTCCTTGCCCTGCCCTATGTTTGCCAATACTAATCCTGCCGCACACTTTCAGAGATCTACCGCATTGTTTCCAGCAAGGCTCTCGACAGCGGCGATGGTGCCCAGGCCACGATCGGCGCCGGCACCAACATTTCACTCAGCAAGCCTGCCGAGGACGCCTCAGGAAAGGGCGGCAAGTGCTGTTAAGCCCTTTCCTGATATTTACGGCGAGGGCGCACAGTGCTCACGGTCGACAATTTACGCCGGTCATGTTGGAAATTGGGCAACTGGGCATAGGAATGAGAATTTGATCCGTGGCGTACTGCGAGTTATCTGCTGGAGATGACGTGCATCCTATTATCTACCGTCTCTACCGAGCGGTTGGATTGGCTGACGAGAAAAGACAGCGCAGGGGCGTGTGTGGCCGCAACAAGCTGCCCGTTATGAGAGCGGTCTCGGTTGTCGCCATTTTTATGTCTGGTATTTTTTTTAAAACTCTTTCCGTTCATGTTTTTCTGTCTTTCCCTTCGCTTTTGACGTTCATTTCTCTTGTCAGGTTGGCTTCTGTTTTTGTTCCCTCTTTACATGCATACTGTTCTTTCGTGTCCGCTCTTCCAGTAATGGGGTAGAAAGTCAAAGCATCGGTTTATGATGAAATAGCCGTTAAAATATTAAGTTGCCAAGGATGTGACAAGGTTTTTCAAGGGTGACACTTTGTAATATGTAATCCCCGGTATGCAATTAAACCATGCACGTATATGGGAATAGTCTTGCTGACCGCTTTCCTTTAATGTACTAGCGTACTTTAGTCCTGCCGCCAAAAAGAAAAAAAGTTTAGCAGTAAAAAAAAACGGCGACAAAATACTACAGCACTGTACGACTCTGGAGCCTTGTTTCTGTCACTGGTAGACAAAATCGAAATACTTCCCAAACAACAGCCCTCTGACCTCCCACCCAGATAGTCGACCAAAATGGCTGCCGTGTACAAATCTTTGGCCAAGGTCAATGGCGAGAAAAACGACGCTCAGAGCGACGCTCGCAAGAAGAACCGCCAGCGCGTGCTGATTCTGTCTTCACGAGGCGTGACATACAGGTTCGTATTCCCAGAGAGGCCGAGAGGAGAGGCCGGTCGCATAGAGGAGCCAAAATGAAATACAGTCTAACCTGAGAAGACACCGTCACCTCATGAACGACCTCGCCGCAATGATGCCCCATGGCCGCAAAGACGTCAAATTCGACTCGAAGTCGAAGCTGTTCCAACTCAACGAACTAGCCGAGCTCTACAACTGCAAAAACACGCTGTTTTTCGAGGCGCGCAAGGGGAAGGATCTTTATATGTGGATGAGCAAGGTTCCCAACGGCCCGACGGTGAAGATGCATGTACAGAACCGTGAGTACTCAGACGCCATACCCTCCTGCCTCCTCAGCTAATTCCGACCGATGCTAACCGTCTGGCGTAGTGCACACAATGGAAGAGCTTCACTTCACCGGAAACTGTCTCAAGGGCTCTCGCCCGGTTCTTTCTTTCGACACTGCTTTCGACCAAGAGCCACACCTGCAACTCCTCAAGGAGCTCTTCCTTCACATCTTTGGCGTCCCACAAGGAGCGCGGCGCTCGAAGCCGTTTATCGACCACGTCATGGGCTTCACAATCACCGACGGAAAGGTGTGGGTGCGCAACTACCAGATCAACGAGGTAGAGGCCAGCAGAGTAGCAGCGGGTGCTGATTCTGATGAGGACGCGGCCAGCAGCAAGTCCAAGTCGAAGGATTCCAAGGACAGCAATATTGACCTTGTCGAGATTGGCCCCCGCTTTGTTCTGACGCCCATCGTCATCCAGGAAGGTTCGTTTGGTGGCCCAATCATCTACGAAAACAAGCAGTTTGTCTCGCCCAACCAGGTGCGCTCCGACCTGCGGAAGCAGAAATCTGAGCGACACAGCGACCGCACAGACCGGGAGCGCGAGCTTTTGGTCAAAAGAGATAACCTGGGCCTCCGGACAAACAATGAGGCAAAGATCAAGCGAAATAGTTTTGACGCCAAGTCCCTCTTTGCATGAGAGAATAGCTATGAAATAGAGGGCTGGGAAGTGGATGTCGGAGGTGGTGACATGTTGCAATGATAATTTTCTTCATGGCGTTTCCGAGGTTTATTGGCTTTAATTTTAAGATTTTCTGGTTGCTTTTCCCAGATAGAGGTTTAAAACAGCATACCCGGGTAGCAAATAATTTTGTCATTCAACGTGAAAGCCATACGCATGGGCGAAAGGCCCACGACACTCATACTTAATTTCATCCCATACGTGTCACGTGTACTATTTCGACTGAAGTGGTTCCGTCGGTTTCCTTAGGCAGCCCGCCGTAATTTAGTGTTCCCGTAGACGGCCGGACCCACACGACCCCAGCCAGAGCTCGTTTCGCCTCCAGCTCCAACGCGTGCTTTCCCCTTTCTCGCACAGCCGCCCTCGGCCCTTACTTCTTGTTTACCAAACAACTCTTGTAGTTATCCCATCACTCGTTTCTTTCAGCCATCTCTGCATCACTTCGTTTCGCCTCGTTCGAGACGGAGACCATCGTCCATCCACGCAACCGACTACCGCCTAGTTCTACCGCCTCGCTCCACAAACAATTCACATTCACGAATATGGCAGCCGCGCCTTTGCGCAACGTAGCCTTAACGGCATCACAAACAACAACAATTCCGACCTCAGTCAATATGACGAGCGTCAAGAAAACCAAACAAATCAACGACTTCAACACCGGCATCGTGTGCTTCCTAGATAGCCCCAACGGCGGGGTGCGCAATCTTTGAGTTGCAACACGAAGAAGACGGGTCGGACCTCTCGATTCACATACATCGAGACAAGCTCCGAACCGTGGGCGGCTTTTCCATCCCAGTTGCTCCTTGTCCCCTCGATCTACAATCGTGGGGAGAAACAATAATTCTGTTCCATTATCATCCGTCTATTGCTTTTAAACCCGACCTTTTACACATTGTTTCCCCCCATTTTATCTTTCAATTCATTTTACAGCCTCATCGCAACTTCCAACACGTTCAATCGACAATCCCGCACTGTGTGTTTCTTTCCGCGACTACCAAACTAGACATATTTTGGGTGGTTAGCATCGCTGCTATCTTGCAATTGGTGTCTTTCTCTTGTCTGTGACCACCACGGTAAATTGGGAGAACACTCCAGAAGAGCAAAGCGGAAACGGCATCCAACAACCGGCATCGAAGCACGCGACCAAGACGCCTAAGACTATATCACCAGTACGGTTCCGTGTGAATAATCTCATTTTTTTGTAAGACAATCCCTCTGTTTTCACAGGAGTTTTGCCACATCATTCAACTCTTGCCGGGCACAATGTCGCTCGCAGTTTGCATGTCGCCAAACCGGGCGGCACACTGCGCATCCGAAAGTCCATTTGGGAATCCTGCTGGCATAGGGAGCATTGGGTGTCTTCCACCTACGTCAGTCCCAACTGGCGCGGCGCAAGAGACAAAAACTGTCCTCGACAGGACACCGGTCGAGGTTTTAGTGGAAGTGTTTCAGCATCTGGACATGACGTCCGCCTTCAGCCTGGCTGCTACGAACAAGCGGTTCTCCGGTATATTTGCAGAAAATCGAACCTCAATCGTGCTACGGATAGCTCAGGAGGAATTCAGCCCATTCGACAGTCTACTTCAGGTTGTCAAGGCATCACCCGCCGATCTGATGATCCCGTGGGGTACGTGGCTGGACAAACGTATTCGCCGCCAAAACACAGTTCTCAGTCCGGGTGGCACGCTTCCGAGGCACTGCCCAGGCCATACCGCCGCCATAAAAATCTCGTGCGCAGAAGCAAGGGTTGAGAAGTCTGACATCAATCGACTTCTTTCGATTTGCCGTACCGTGCGAGGCTGGGAACGCATTTTCCCACAGCACCGCTTCAATGCGTCGCCGCTGATGACACGGAGCCTGACATCGCGGGAAAATTTTCGCCTGCGCCGGGCCCTCTATCACTGGATGCGCTACGCATATTATTTCCACGGGGACCTGGTGCGCCCCAACGTCTTCGTCCCGTCGGGAAGAGACATCCGTATCAACCAGCTCCGTTCATTGTCAAACAGCGAACTAGGCGAACTCAAGGATCTTTGGCGTACAGTTGAGGATATCATTGAGCTGACGATGTGTCCGTCGATTGCGAATGTACGCATCGGTGCTGTAAGTACTCATTCCACCAGCGCGACAAATTCCTCCTTTGTAAAGGGCTATCGCAGCTGACAATGTTGCAGGATTTTGAGCTCTCCGAGAAGGATGCCGCGCGTATTGGCTGGGGTGAGCAGCGCGAGAACCGCATCGTCGTTGCTACTATGAGCAAGTTGTCTCCCGATGAGCTGCTCTACTACATGGAGAATAGTCACAAGTTTACCAAGCTACGCCTGATCCAAGATATCCGTCAACGCCACCCGCATTTTGAGTTTGACACGGAGAGCCTCACTATTGCTCTGTCCTGTGTGATCCACGAACGCTGGCGCAGAATGCAGACGGAGTTTCCCGCAATGACGCAGCCATCGAGCGGCACCCTTTGCCTGCCAGTGTACACGCGGATGATGGGCCAGTGCCACGGCGGCATTCTCGACTGGGATGATCCGGCAATGGAGGCCTACTGCGCGCGTATCGGTGAAATGATAGGTCTCAACCTCGACTGGCGCCCAGAAGAGTCCTTCTTTCGTTCACGTCCCGAGATCCCTACAGGCCTCCTGAATCCATAAGATCACGAAAAATGATGAAGGATCCTCGTCAATGCGATGGCCCTGACTCGTGAGAGACCTCAATTAGAGGTTCCCATATTTACGCAGTCTTGTCAACGTTCCTGTATGCGGGAGCCTTCTGTGCCTTTTTTTATTTTTTATTTTTTTTTGCTACTTGGTCCGCAATACATAGAAGAAGATGTATAAACGTAAATAAAAATACTAGACCGATAAACCAATTGTGGACTCTTGTTATACAGCTCAGTGTTATATGTGCTTTCATCTGGCTTCCGGGGGCGATCTGAGAAAATATGTGTTTAGCGGCTCAGGATTGGCTACAGTGGCGTGCATCAGCATGGCCACTAACTCCCAACCTCACCAGGCTGTCTGGATACCCCAGCCAATTTAGGCCTGGGTTGCCGCCAGCCTTCCCACGCGCCTTCCCACTCCGACAGCACTCGTTGGTTTCCACTCGTCGCCAATTTCTAACGGAATTGCACAGGATCTAATCACCATCCCCAATCGGCCTTTGTTGGTTCAGCACAACAACCACAGTTCACCAGACCCCACACCTCTTGACGGCGGTCTGTGAAAAAGACACCCTTTCCGGACGCAATCTTTTGTCCACTGCTGTCTTACAATAACCAGACAGACCGTGTGCATTCGGCGCAGGAAGCATATATGAAAAGGCGAATGGCGGCCGCTTTCCCGTGTTCAAATTTCAAAGACTTCAAAGACTTCAAAGGCTTGATCCGCTTCGTCTCAACAAAAGACCTCGGTATGTTGCCCTTTCTTATTTTTGTGACGGGCTGTCAGTGGGTTTTAGCCCTTGACCGGCAGGCCTTCTCGTTGTTCTTTGGGACCAAGTAGGAGAGTTCTGCGTTCGCGAGAGGAGTTGCATCTCTCGCAGCCGGTGCTGCTTGTCGCAAGCGTGTCTTGCAAACAAAATGCTTTCCTCGATTTGAACCTCAGTTCTTTTTCAGATTCAATCAGCCATGAAAGCAGCCCCCGAGACACAAACTGCTCAATAGATGCTGACCTTCACAGCCCCGGAACGCGCACTGTCTTCGGCAGGTTTTTTTTGGCGCCCTCTTTGTGACCGATATTCACAAGAGGTAGAAGGCGAAATTCGTCTTCTGACGCTCTATAGTCCGTTAGAATTTCCTTGACGCGGGTCCCACAGGCACGCTGGGATCTTAGCTATCACAGGACTTCTTGTTTCCAGGGAGAGACTGGGCGTCTCTCCCTCATTTCCCTATCCTTCTCTGCTCGATACCTCTGGCGCAATGGCTGGTGCAGACAATGACGTACTGATGGATGGCATGGACCTGCCGCAGCCTCATCGTCCTATTTTCGGGCTGGCCGGTGCTGACACAAACGGGTTTGTGACCAAGTCGAATGGTAACAGCAATGGAAGCAGCAACGGCAACAACGGCGGGAGCAACGGCCGATCAGCCGCCGACGACGAGGATGAGGATGATGACCTAAACGATGAGGAAGACGATCCTATGGGCTACCCCGTTGACTTTAAGCGGCGCGGCCTTCTGCCAACGGGTTGCTGCTACGATGACCGCATGAAACTGCACGCCAATGCCGATTTTGGTGCAGGTCCTCACCACCCGGAGGATCCGGCACGTATTTCAGAGATCATGGGTGCCTTCAAGCGTGCTGGTCTTGTCTTCAGCGGATCTGATGCTGACCTCATCAAAATCATCCGCAACTGCCCGACAAAATACATGTGGCGCATTGCTGCGCGAGACGCGATAGAAGAGGAGATCCTGCTGGCACACCATCCCCGCCACTTCCACTGGGTTAAGGAATTATCTGAAAAGCCCACGTATGAGCTGCGCATGATTAGCAAAGTCATGGATGAGGGACGCGACTCCCTCTATGTCGGCTCCATGACGTACGAAGCATCGTTGCTGTCGGCCGGTGGTGCCATCGAAACGTGCAAGTCTGTTGTGCGTGGAGATGTCAAAAACGCATTTGCAATCATCCGACCTCCTGGCCATCATGCCGAGTATGACCAGCCCATGGGCTTCTGTTTGTTCAACAACGTGCCAATTGCCACCCGTGTCTGCCAGAAAGAATACCCCGACCTTTGTCGCAAAGTCCTCATCCTGGACTGGGATGTCCACCACGGAAATGGCATCCAGAACATGTTCTACAACGATCCAAATGTCCTGTACATCTCCTTACACGTCTATTTAGATGGCCAGTTTTATCCGGGCGCACCCAGCGACCCTTCCACACCCGACGGTAACATCGACAAATGCGGTGCCGACGCAGGCCTGGGCCGCAACATCAATATTGGCTGGGACCAGCAGGGAATGGGTGACGGCGAGTACATGGCAGCTTTCCAAAAGATTGTGATGCCTATCGCCAACGAGTTCAACCCTGACCTTGTCATTATCTCGGCTGGTTTTGATGCTGCTGCTGGAGACGAGCTGGGCGGTTGCTTTGTCACGCCAGAATGCTACGCGCACATGACGCACATGCTGATGTCTCTTGCATCTGGAAAGGTTGCTGTCTGCCTTGAAGGTGGCTACAATCTCGCGGCCATCTCGGCATCGGCCCTTGCGGTGGCCCGCACACTCATGGGCGAGCCGCCACCGAAGTTCGAGATCCCAAAGCTGCGCAAAGATGCCGCTAGACTTCTTGCCCGTGTCCAGGCTCACCAGGCCCCGTACTGGGAATGTATGCGACCGGGCGTCGTTGATGTGCCCGATCTACAGTCCCAGGGTGCGCTACGTCTACACGATGTCGTCCGCTCTTTCCAACGCCACATGTTGTCGGTAAAGCATGGCATGTTTCCACTCTTTATTCAGCGCAGCTCCATCTACAAGTCTTTCGAAGACCAGGTTCTTGTCACGCGCAGTTTAAGCACTACCAAAAAGATCATCGTCATAATACACGATCCGTATGTTCGGCAAAAGCATATATACTCATCCCAATCGAAACCCCAATCACTAATTCCTCTACAGGCCAGAACTCGTTGCACAACCCGATGTCTTGGACAACTCACTTGACTCCCACAACTCATGGATGGTATGTATATCCTCAGCCCAAATCTAGCTACTTTGTTGATTTCAAGCCACTAACTTGACTGCTTGAAGAACGATGGCGTTATGCCGTATATTGACTGGGCCATTGAGCAAGGCTTCGGTGTCATTGACATCAACGTCCCACACTACAGTAACCAACCGGAGGTGAGTTTTAACCGCTGCGATACAATTCACTATATCAGCATGGATACGGTGTACGCAGAATGGCTAACATCGAACCAGGACAACGAGTCTTTCATCCCACGGATAAATGAGGAAGTCATGCAGTCTCAGATCCAGGAGCTGGTTTGTTACATCTGGGATAACTACCTCCAAATCTCCGAGACTGCCCAGCAGATCTTCCTTCTTGGAGTTGGCAATGCCTATCTGGGCGTCAAGGTCCTCTTAGTCAACCGCGGTATGTACCTACTCAAACCCCGGCGTCGATCACGTCCCTTCCATTCCTACTTTGTGGCTGTTTCTAACCAACTCCAGACTGCAAATCTCGCATTGACGGTGTCGTTAACTTTGTCAACGGCAGCCTTCGGGCTGTCAAGAGCGACGCGGACCCAGACCTGACTCAATGGTACAAAACCCACTCACGCGTCTACGTTGGTGCCGATCATGCTTGCTGGCAGACCAGTGAGTTCACACGTAAGATCAGCAAACGCCGCTTTGGTGATGTTGTCCGCAGCCCGTTCATGGGCCTCAACCGCATGCTGAAGGAGCACGCCGACGATGCTCACGAGTGGATACTTGAGCGCCTGCCCGGAACCGAAGGCAACACTACCGAGGACGAGAGCTAGAGTCTCCAACGTAACGGGAAGCTTCGTGTTCGCCGTAAAGGCAAAACTCGTACTCGGCGTGGCAGAAAGGTCCAGCGCAATTAAATCAGGATTGTTTTTTGTTTTTTTCTGGTGTTACTTTAACTCTACTAGCTGTCTTCGCCTTTTTTTGGTCTTTTTTTTCTATTTTACACATAGTTGGACTGTTTCCGGACTTTTTATTATATGCGCTGTTTCAAAACAGGTCATTATTTTCTTGTTCTTTCGTGTCAATGATTCTACTTTAGTTCACGAGTTACAAGTACGGTACCTTACATAGGATACAAATATGTTACCTTCACAAACCACGAAACATACATCGCAAAAACAATACATACCGCAGCATCGAAAAGAAACGGATAATGCGCCCCCCCCCCCCCCCCAAAAAAAGTATCAGGTCGATATCGTTTGAGGGTACGGCATAGTAGTAAATAGTGCAATCACGTGACTAACTGCCGCATTACATAATTTTTGCGGCGATTCCAGTTTTGCTAACTTTGCCATCACTATCGCGATAAAACCTTTCCGCGTCACACCTTTGGACTAAAGTTGCGGCATCTTGCGTTTGCATTTTTGATCTTCTCCCTACGCGTCATTCAACTGATATCACCCCTGGATACCCTAAGCTTTTCATCATTATATTTTGAATCACCGATAATATTTTAATCGACACCGTTATTCGAGCCTACGACGACATATCCTTTCGAGCGCCATTGGCGCGACTGGCCCCTTTCTTTTTTTTGCAAGGGCATCACCACCCACCGAATAACCCAATATGGATAGGGATAGAAATAACGGACGAAGGTAAGTCGTTATACTGTCCCGTTTGTATGCTCTTTTGCGTGCAAGTGCATTAATGTTTCTATTAATGCTAACCGCGAGTCCTTGCAGATTCGACGACGGCGAGGTCACGCGCTACGGCGCAGGCGAATCATGGCGACCGTCTGCGAGAGAACGATCGCCCTGGCGAGAGAGGAGTCCAATTAGGGACCGGGAGCGCATACGTGACTGGGACGGCCGCGACAGCCGAGACCGGCGAGCATCGCCACCTCCCAGCAGCGATAGCTACATCCCTGGGAGATCGCCGCGACGGCCACGATCGCGTAGCATCGACCAATATAGGATATCAGAGCGTGCGCGAGAGTCTGAGAGATGGCGGCCAGTCGAGCGAAGCCGCAGCCGCCCCAGGAGCCCCGGTATGCGGCACATTGGCAATGGTAACGACATACGGCGAAGCCCGCCGCGACGGTTGTCCCCCAGATATGTCTCGCCACGTCGTGGCGGCGACGACCGCGGCAGGATACTGGACCGTGACCGCGGACGGTCTCCACCGCGAAGGGATGCACCCCCTCTGCGAGATATGAGGTATGTCCCATGCAGCTGCTAAGTACTTACCTGGCGCTTCTTATACTGACTGGCACTCAAGACGGCGGTCTCGAACACCTGACCGTGGCCCTAGGAACAGATCCACAACTAGACGCTCGCCGCCCCGATTTCGACCGCGCTCGCGTTCGTCAGAGCGACCGCTTGGTGACGACCGCATGGGCGGGCCTGTGCGACGCACCTCTCCTACAAGAGATTTCGGAATCTTTGCTGGCCAGCCACTTTCGGCTATTGGCTCGCGTTCTGGGTCTCGTCCCAGCTCGCCCCGGAGAAGCCCAGTGGGGCGGCAGCGCAACGATCGTTCCCGGCAGGCGTCGCAGACGCCTCGTTCACCTCATATGGGAGGCCTGGCAGGCGGCGGGCCCAATGCCCCGACTGGGTCTTCTTACAGCGTAGGTGGCGGCCGAGATGGCTATTTTGACTCACCCATGTCCCATTCTCAATTTGCGACGCCGGCTGTTCGATCTCCACCATCTGGTCCGGCCTCTCTCCGTCATCCGCAGAGCGGCCCCAACCAGAGCCGGAAAATGGCCCCCTCCCCAGGCCCGTCTACGCCGTTGGCTGGCCGCCCAGCCCAAGGACATGGCCGCGGCGAAGTGTCTCCTCTCTCAGCTTCAGGCCCGCCGACAGGTCCTCGAGGCTACGGCCAAGGTCGTTCTGGTGGTGCAGGCGCCGAGCGAAGCACCGGCAACAGCGGAAATTCCGGGATCGGCCCAGGTGGCCCGAATGGCCCATTCACGCCTCGCCAAGGAGGTCGCGGGAATGGACCATGGGTTCTTTCGGCCGGGTCTGGGCGCCGAATGAGCTCCGCAGGCCCGTCGCCAACTACGGGAGGGCCTAGTGGCGGCGGAGGCGGGGGCGGAGGCATCCCTACCGGGCCCCGTGCGGGACCGGGTGGCCCGCCTGGGTCATCTGCCAACGGGCCTGAAAGGCCCAGCGGCCGCCGTAGCCGCGGGGGCTCGCCATCCCTAGGTGGCGGATCGCGGCCATTCAACCCGCCCACAGGGCCAGCATCACAACAGCAGGGTAGTCAGCAGCAGTCCTCTGGCGCAGCGATGAATGGTGATCGAAACAACTACCACCGTGATCTGCGGGATCGTGACCGGGAACGGGACCGTGACCGGTCTGGTCGTGGGTCGTTGGCCATGTCTTCGTCGACACAATCGGTTGCGCAACAAGCCATGGCCAACATGCCGGTGCTTATACCGGGTGGAAAACTAGACCCGTTGTTGCACATGGGCATCCTGCCTGAGATCGTACCCCACTACCAGAGATTACGAGAGGAAGAGGAACGGCTTCGGTCGGAGTTGGACGTGAAACAGGACCGCCTCCGCAAACAACTGCGCTCATGGGATAAGATGGAACGTGAAGCGCGAGCATTTGAGCTGAAGAGTGAACTCAGCGAGAAGAGCCTCAAAACGATTGCGGGCGAAAGCATGGGTGGTGCTGCATTTTAAAGATACCTGTTACTTTTGGTTTCATTATCCCTGGTCAGAGGGTGAAGGGAGCTGTAATCTTTACATGTACCATAGTAATGTGCACGGCTTTTGAGACCACCAACCTGTCTAAATTACGAAAGGCTTTCTTGTCACAGTAGGTATCGCGAAGTTGGTCACCGAGTTTAGGCTGTTTGCGGCAACGGGTCTTTTTTGGTATTTTTCTATGTGCTCACATCTCGAGTACACACCTGTTGTGCGAGTCGTAAAAAAGAAAAGAAAAAAAAAGTTAAAAAGTAAAAAAAAAAAGAGAGAAATATGGAATCTAAGCTACCGGGAAACAGTGCTGCCAATCACCGCAGCACACGCACATTTCGCGTTTAGGATGACCTTTTTAACTCGTTTATGTTTCAAAACCAGAAAGTTGTTGTTTCCCGTTCCTCGTTGCGTGTCCTGTCTCTACGACCATGGTTGACTGAGAAACCTTAGATCCGTGGGCTGATCCGGCCATGTAGCTAATGCGAACTATCGACCTTGGCTACGTAGCTGATAAGGTCAACAACGCGACGGCTGTAGCCCCACTCGTTGTCATACCAGCTGACGAGCTTGACGAAGTTGGGGTTCAGGGAGATACCAGCCTTGGCGTCGAAGATGGACGAGTTCAAGTTGCCGTTCAGATCGCTGGAGACCACATCGTCCTCGGTGTAGCCGAGAATGCCCTTCAGGGGGCCCTCGGAAGCCTCCTTAATAGCGGCCTTGATCTCGTCGTAGGAGGCACCCTTTTCCAGGCGGGCTGTCAGGTCGACCACGGAGACGTTGGCAGTGGGGACACGCAGGGACATGCCGGTCAGCTTGCCGTTCAGCTCAGGGATGACCTTGCCGACGGCCTTGGCGGCACCTGTGCTGGAGGGGATGATGTTCTGGGCGGCGCCACGGCCACCGCGCCAGTCCTTGGCGGAGGGACCGTCGACGGTCTTCTGGGTGGCGGTGTAGGAGTGGACGGTGGTCATGAGACCCTCAACGATGCCGAACTTATCGTTGATGACCTTCGCCAGGGGAGCCAGGCAGTTGGTGGTGCACGAGGCGTTGGAAATGACGTCGGCCTTGCCGTCGTAGGTCTTCTCGTTGACGCCAATGACGTACATGGGGGCATCGGCGGAGGGGGCCGAGATGATGACCTTCTTGGCACCGCCAGCCAGATGGGCCTTGGCCTTGTCGGTGGTGGTGAAGACACCGGTGGACTCGACGACGTACTCGGCACCGGTGTCCTTCCAAGGGATAGCGGCCGGGTCGCGCTCTTGGTAGAAGCGAACGGACTTGCCGTTGACGTTCAGGCCGTTGGCCTCGACCTTGATTTCACCCTTGAAGGCGCCGTGGGTAGAGTCGTACTTGAGCATGTAGGCCTAGAGAGGAAAGCGATTGGGTCAGGACGCTGTCCATCTCACTCATGAAAGGGTTGATTTAGGCGGGGAAAGGGGAAACGTCTTTCCCCCCTATTGCTACCGTCGATTCGCAGCGGGCAAAAAGAAGCGGAAGGTCGCGACTTACAGCGTAGTTGGTATCAATGAAAGGGTCGTTGACAGCAACAACCTCGACGTCACCGTGCTCGATGGCATTGCGGAAAACGATACGACCAATGCGGCCGAAACCGTTGATACCAGCCTTGACAACCATTTTGACTTTGGAATTAAGTTAGCTAAAGAAGCTTTGATGTGTACGAGATCAAAAGAAACCGAAAAGAGAAAAGACGGGAGAACAATGAGCTTTTGGAAATGAAGGTGTTTTGCAGATGGGAGATGAAAAAGAAGGCGAGGTAAAATTAAAATTAAAAAGAAGACCAAAAGTCTCACGAATCAAGCGTAGGAAAGTCCAGGAAAAAGCAACAGCCTAGCCAGTCGTCACCAGGTCAGACACAATGTGACGAAAACACAGACGACAAGAAATAGGAATGCTAATGTTGTTGGAGTCGCCGTTACCAGGTATTTTCGGGTTGAAGCTGAGCCATTCACGGGTGCCTCCGGACGAAATAGCCGCAAAAAGGACTGGCCAGGTCTTCGAGCTCGGCTAAGAAACGAAGACTGGATCTGGGACCAACGGAGAAGGAGGGGAAAGGGAAGAACGGTTCCTGGGCCAGGCTGTATTTGGCGCTGGCAACGGTCCCGGAAGTGGGGAGGTCAAGAAAACCATCATGTATAAAGATGGGGTGCGCTGCTGCTCGGTTGCACCCATGCCTGACTGCTCTAAAGCCGAGCGAAACTCGAATCGGAGCCGTCAAGAAGGTTGGCTGCGATGCGAGCTCCAGCAAAAAGCTGTACGTCGGTATGGTCGCCCGGCCGTCTTTTGATCGCGCGTCTCAATACGTGAAGTAATAGTGGAAGCTGATCGATCGATGGCGGGGTAGCAACGTACAGGGGGAACACGCCAAATAGCAACAACGCGCGACGAGGGGCCAAAAAAAAAAACAGCCGTAGCAATAGCCAGCACGAACAGGTGCTGGCTATGATATGTAGAACGTACCTTGAGTTGGTGCGAGATCTTCAAAGAGCTCAATTGAATATAGTGATGGGATACAGGACAGAAGAGTTGATGGAGAAGAAGAAAAGCAAGAGAAGAGAGCAAAAGAAAGGAGAGGAAAAAGGAGAAAGAGAAAGGGGGAAAAAGAAAAGGAAAAGGAAGGAGCGAGGAGTGGCATGAGGGTCATGAAATAATATACCTCGCCGTGGTGCGGACCTGGTGCGTACCTGCCTGTCTCGCAACAAGCAATGGGTCGTCATGGGCTGCAGACGTTTCTGTGGTGGAAGTCGGCATGGTGGGGTTTGTCTTGCCCCCAGGAGAGCTGTCCCGCAACTCGCCACTTGGGACAGGAGGGGCAACACGACGAGTCAGATGCTACAGGCGCCTTTCACTGCCTTGCGAGCTGCTGCGCATGGCGCTCGTTGTATCTGCATCCCTTCGGCGCTCCTACCGGACTACGGACTCTTTGTCTCCCCTGACTTACTCACCACACGCTCCGCGGCAGGAGTCAAGAGACATCCCGATCCAAGCGTCCCTTGACAAGCTTGTGGAATGAGACCTTGTCGGACTGGTGCTTCTGCATGCTTCTCCGTCTGCCATATACACCGTCCGTAATTACGCTGTCAGTCGCAGACGGGGAAACAAGAGCACTCCAAGACGAGCGAGGCCGACGCTCGTTGCCACGCTTGTCGTGGCTTCCAGACTGGAAACATGCGTAGGACGTATTACCACATACACTCCGTAATCTTTCCCATACCTTTCGTTGCACACAAAAGAACGAGAAATATAGCGAGTAAGGCCCGGATTGGCCTGACTAGAAACAGAAACAGCGCATCCGGGGAACAGTGCAGTGCCCCTCCTGACCTTTGGCAAACGCGTCAAAATCGAACGGTGCCTCCCAACAGCTCCAAAAGCGGCAACAGCGTGCAAATGCATGACGCCGGCAGCACGGTATGGGCTGCCACCGAAGAATACGACGCAGAGGATCTATGAGACGATCATGGCCCAGCGGCCAGGCCAGGGCGACAGTAGAGCAGAAAGTAATGCCGCAGGAAGTGGGATGGACAGCAAAAAGTCGCGCTAGACGGGGTAGCTTGGCAGCTTGCGAGCTTTGAGAAGAAGGTTGCTAAAATAGGGCCGCGGCGGTTGGCCCGCAAGCGATGCGCCTTTTTCCCATTGAGCTGTCTTCTTTTTTTTTTTTTTTTTTTCTTTTTCTTTCCTTCGACGTGATGTGTGACGTGGGTGTGCACAAGTCAAATGACACGGGATGGACCACAATAACACGGAATTCCATCCACCAAGTCGCTGCGACAGAACTCTTGAGATGGTTGCCCAAAATAAACATACTCTGAACGCTCAAGTTGCCTGGTCAAGCGACCTTCAAATTTTTCGCTGCGGACGACGGCATGCTACTGACACATGGTGGATGGCAACAACGGAGGCGTGTGGATTACAAACGTGCTAAAGTGAGCGAAAATGATGCAGCGTCTGATTGTTAACAGACAGTATCCGGCGCGCCACACCGCTGTGACTCAACCATCCAGCCGCAAGCCATCCCGGTTTTCCCGCTGCGAGAATCGGGGCTGTCAGTACCAGCGAGGCAGCGTATGAGCGACGTCGGTGGCTGGTGATGTGCCGCGCTTTGTGTGCAGCGTCGTCTCTCCATATTTTCCTACCTTGGCCATGTCCATCTGTTCGCCTCACCGTCGCATTGCGGCTTTTGCTATTGCTACTAATTGGCTTTTATAAATTCCAAATTGCTCGTACTGGCAGGCTGCAAATCCCGCCGGAGGCTCTCCCGTGCCTTCGCCAATGTGTCTTACGTTGTGGAAGATGCGATTTGCGATTTGTGCCACAACGCCTGCCCCCGTAACCACGTGCGGTAGGATACGCTCGCCCTCGCTCTTCAAACACCGAGACGCGTTTGTTGGTCATACTGAATTGGGGACCCATATAACGGCTGCAGCGAGGCTGTGACCAGGACAATGCCAGCCCGGTGGCGTTGTCAGGTAAGGTAGAACCGTTTGGGTTCTTACGAACCGGTTTATCGTATCTTACCATGTTTGTTGCGGTGTACATACCAAGCTTGGACCTGGTCGTCAAGCCATGACCGGAGCCATGACCTGCGTCTCGTGTCGTCGGGAAATGATTGACGGCATTAGGGATAGTCTTGTCTTTTCAAAGTAGCGATATATAGCCGGTATAATAGCGTGCCTGTTAAGTCCCGGGTGGTAACACGATATTGGATTGCGTTTTTTTGTTTGTCGATGTCTCTTGTACCTGGATGAAGCTTTAATGTGACCTCATCACTCATTCCATCCATATCCTCCTTTGCCTAGCTGTTACAGCGGCGGGTATGCGCTTCCCGTACCACAGTCTTATTTTAGTCATCTTCTTTCACTTTTCGAAGCCATCGGTTTAGAAACTTGGCCTGAAAATCTTGCTGTCTCCAATTTCCCCAGTGGCAGCCTGTCGGAAACACCCACTTTTTGGTCATGTTTCTGGTTGGTACAATAGCCCCTCCTCACCGTCCTAGGATGCGTTATCAGGCTTTCCACCAACGTTTATCAGCGCGAGCCAATGGAGCTTCTACCCCACACTGGCCTGACGGATAAGAAAACGGCCACCACCGATATACAGTCTGCATGCTCCGACAACCGTATTTGAACAAAACCCCATAAACTGGTCCTTGCATCCGTCGCTTGTTTTGCACCGGAACTCGCCATCTACCAACCGTCGCCATGTCTCATATGCACTCCCATGATGGTGGCATCACCATGCACGCCAGCCATGGCCACGACTTTTCCGTATCGGCCGCTGAGCACGGACACAGCCACGAGATCCTGGACGGTCCCGGTAGCTTCCTGGGGCGGGAAATGCCCATCGTCGAGGGCCGGAACTGGGAGGACCGCGCGTTCACTATTGGCATTGGCGGGTAAGAGATACGCCCCTGGTTTTTGAGCGCCTGCTTTCGTGCTCCTGGTTTATGCTCCCCAACTTTCTTATTGACACCCTCTTTGCGCCCTCCAGGCCCGTTGGCTCTGGCAAGACGGCTTTGATGCTGGTCCTCTGTAATGCTCTTCGCGAAAAGTACAATATCGCTGCGGTGACAAACGACATCTTCACCCGCGAAGATGCCGAGTTTCTGACAAAAAACCGTGCTCTGCCGGCAGAGCGCATCAAGGCAATCGAGACTGGCGGGTGCCCCCATGCGGCCGTTCGCGAGGACATCAGCGCCAACCTGGCAGCCCTCGAAGATCTGCATGCCGTGTTCGGAACGGACCTGCTGCTCATCGAGTCCGGGGGCGACAACCTGGCTGCTAATTACAGCCGAGAGCTGGCCGATTTCATCATTTATGTGATTGACGTGAGCGGCGGCGATAAGGTACCGCGCAAGGGCGGCCCGGGCATCACACAGAGCGATCTTCTTGTCGTCAACAAGACCGATTTGGCCGAGGCGGTCGGTGCTGACCTGGGTGTTATGGAGCGCGATGCCCGCAAGATGCGCGAGGGTGGTCCGACTGTGTTCGCACAGGTGAAGAAGAACGTCGGTGTCGACCACATCGTGAACCTCATCCTGAGTGCATGGCGCGCCAGCGGCGCCGAGACTGTTGCCAAGGCTCGCGGTGGCCCGCGGCCAACTGAAGGCCTTGAGGCGCTGAAGACTTAGACGCAGACGCAGAAATCACGATACGCTTTACTTTTTACAATATTTCTTTTGGATTCACAGTAATCGCCGCTCTGTAGTTTTATTGGGAAATGCGAAATTTGGAGGTTCATTATTGTGCGTTAAAACTTTTTTTGTCCACCGTCTATGCCTATTCCTGAAATGTATGCCAAATCATCTTCCTTTCCGCCCTTTTATGCCATGTCTTCGTCCATCTCATCGCCGTCCGGCTGCACTAGATTGTCGGATGGTGTGGTGGAGGCCCACTCTTGGAAAGGTATAGCCTTCCGTGGCCACACCCGCTTGTACAGACTGACACCAACACTGTCCTGCGGGTTGATGCGGCCATCGAACGTCGCCTTGAAATAACCGTGCGTGCCGAGAGGCTCCTTAATGTAACCACTCCGGCCTCTCTTCGTCCACAACGGCAAGGCCTTGAACCACTCAACGTCCTCCCGGTTGAAGAACATGTACCGGATGGTCACGATTTTCTTGTGGATGTGGTAAGGGTGGCCGGTAAGGACCACACGCTTTGCGACCACGCGCGACGTTGAAGGCGGGAGGGCCGTGCCGGTACCAATCAGTCTCATGTTTGGGGGGGCGAAAACGCCTGGCAACAAGGGAACGGTGCTGTTCTTCACACGCTTGAAAAAAAGTGTGGGCACGGAGCCCCAGGTGACGGGACCGACAAAGCTGGCCACGGCCGACTGGCCCGGGTGCAGGAACCGGGAGAACTTGTGTACATCGTTGGGTGTAACTCCGCTCTGCGAATAAAGAGGGTTGACGACCAGGCGCCGAGGACCGCATTGGACAATGATCTCCTCTTTGGACTTGATCGACCGCGGCTCTTCCGCACTGAGGTTGATGAGGAAGTTGACAACGGTCTGCTTGTTCTCGTGCCGGAACAGAGAAAACAGCGTCACAGGTTTACTGGGGCTGTAGGCTGCCTGAATCGTCTCTGGGAGGACGCCTTTTGCAAGATGCACACTCACACGCGTACCTGGAGCAACGCCGCCAATCAGAGCCTCACGAGTCGACCGGATACGGGACGCACGGTAGTCGGGAATGCGCAGTAAGCGCCGCCAATCTTCGGGCTCATGTGGGCGGTCCTCCTTCTCGTTCCATCGGCTGGAGCGAAGACTCTTTAGGCCACGGTATCGGGCCAACCGCTGGTGCGCCAGAACATTCGGGTGGAGCTCAATTTCGTCAGGGTACTCCAGATCGTCCTCCGCCTCCGATCTCTTCTGCGATCTGTAGAGCGCGAGCTGCTCAGCTTCTTTCTCGTCATCCTGTTCAATGTACGCCTCCGATTGTGGGTACTCGGACGGTCCAGCGCCCGGTTCGGTCGGTGCATACTGGGCAATGCCCTCCATGCCGTCGGCTGGGTGCGCCTTCTCTCCATTGTCGCCCTCATTCCCAGCCATGGCCTCATCTTCGTCGTCGTCCATGTCGGAGCCCGACTCGGATGTCGCATCGTCGAGAATCCAGGCAGACTGGTACTCCGACGTGCCCTTGGGAAGTCGTCTGGCAGGCAAGGTCTTTTCATCTTCTTCCTCCGAAAAGTAGTGGTGATCGTCGAGCAGCACACCTTTACGACTCGCAGTAGCGGCTGACCGACCGTCCATGTCGTCGGCGTCCATTTCATCATCTTCGCTATCACTGAGCACAGCGCCCTCTGGAGCCAGCTCGGCCAGATCATCGCGGTCCTCGCTGGCGACATCTAGCACGCCCTCTTCGCCTTCCAGGCCATCCACAGACATGGGCTCGGCAGCGGCAGCCTTGGGCTTCCTGTGGTCGAGGTTTGCCGCTGTGATCTTGTCGATTTGGAAAGTACCCCAGTCACCAACCTGCACCAGGCGGTCGGCCTTGAGACCGCGGCCGCGAATGACGCCCGTCAGCACGGCTGCCGCATCGTCGTCCGTTGAGCCGAACTGAACTTCCTCCACAAACATCCAGCTGCGCTCGTCGCGCCAGTGGATTCCTTTTGGTGTGGAGCTGCACAGTGACCGGATCAGGTTGGAGCAATCTTGCCGGTTGTCGAGTGCAAAAAGCTTCTCTTGGTCGGGATGGAAGTGCCGCATAAATGACTTGAGTGAATCGAGCGTGCCCGAGCGCTGCTTTGCAGATTCGATACTGTTCAGGCCGTGCACTGTGGTGAACAGTGTCGATAGGCCCTGGCTCTCCACACTGCGCAGAATTAGCTCGCCGCGCTCGTCAACCTCTTCAGTGGCAGAAATTATGAGCACAACAAAGTCCGCAGCACGCGCAGCGTCAATGCTCGCAAGTATATCGCGGTCGGATGGAACGACGATGTACTGAAGTTGTTGCTTGAAACGCTCAAATGGAACACGCAGTGCGCCCCCCGTCGAGTTGATCGCTGTCTCGATATCGAGGCTGCTGTTCAGAGCCTGAACAGCGGCAGCAGCGTCACAGTCACCGCACAGGGGAATAACAGCAACATTTCGCGGGGCGGCATCACGCCCCGAGAAAATAGAGGACTCGAAGCGATGCTCCTTCTGCTTCTCGAGTTGACGCTGGCGATTCTGGTTACGACGGTCCAGCTTGGACATGACTTGTTGGTGGGGAGTTCTCGGTCTCTCGTCGGCAGTTTTGCCTATATATTTGTATGTTCATATTAGACAAAATTTCTCCTTATTTTCTTCTTGGTTTGCTTTCTCGTTACTAACCCTTATGACGGCGGCCCTTGCCAGCAGCCTTGAATGGCTTGTGACTGACTTTCGTCGTCGACTTGTGGCTGTGACCAGCCATAGAGGATGGCATTTTGTTCGAATCCCGACCTTTCTAGTATGTTTGAGTTTGTCGTTCTAAGTATATTCCTCAAAAGTTCGACGGATATCTCCCGAAAGGCTATTTAAATTTGTATTTGCCGACTGCGTGTTATGATAACGTTCCTCCTCGGCGACCTGCCTTTTTTTTTCGCTCTTTAAAAAAATATACCAGTAAAGTGGCAGAATTTTTGGCTGGTAATAGTTGATGTTTTGGTGGGGTGGTATTGGTTATCGATAAGCCGATAACATGAATTGCTGATAAGAATTTTTTTATGGGGCGGAACTGTTTCCCAAACTTTTCAAGCAAGTCGCCATGCTCTGCCGCTCTTTTTGCCCATCACAACCACACTTGACACCGTCAGCACGATGGACGAATCTGCAAACCGGTCACAATCGCCGGCAAAAAAGACGATGGCGACCATTTCGGGCACGGGACGGGTGACAAAGACGGGTACTGTAGCGCGCTACGACAATGGAGCCGAAAAAGTGTATGATTTGAGACTCGACCTCCGGTCCAAAGACGAGCATGAACGAATACGGCGACACAAGCAGGCACAGAAAGAATACGGCCGAGGACGACAGATCGACATCAAGAACATCAAAGACAAGAAGCTCAAGCGGAACCTTGGCAACCTGGAGACGCGATTTCAACGCGCAGCTGACCAAGCGAAGGACTCGGAACTCCTTCTCGAACACGAGGGTGGATTCCTAGAGCCCGAAACCGAGTTGGAGCGCACATACCGGGTGCGGCAGGATGAGGTGGCCCGAAGCGTGGCAGTGGCGGCGGCACAGAAGCGGTTTGACCTCAAGCTTGACCAGTTGGGCCCCTACCTCTGCGAATTCACGCGGACGGGCCGTGAGCTTTTGCTTGCTGGACGTAAGGGCCATGTTGCAACGATGGACTGGCGTGAGGGCAAACTGGGCTGCGAGCTGCAACTGGGCGAGACGGTGCGCGACATTCGGTGGCTGCACAACAACCAATACTTTGCGGTGGCGCAAAAGCGCTATACCTACATATACGACCGCAATGGCGTGGAGCTCCACTGCTTGCGGAAACATGTCGAGGTATCGCACATGGAGTTCCTGCCGTACCATTTCCTTCTGGCAACGATGGGCATGTCCGGTCATCTCAAGTACCAGGACGTGTCGACGGGACAGCTCGTCTCCGAGATCTTTACCAAGTCAGGCACTCCTGTGTCTCTGACGCAAAACCCGCACAACGCTATTCTCCATACCGGCCACCAGAATGGCACCGTCACACTTTGGTCACCGAACTCGTCCGAACCCCTGGTCAAGATGCTGGCACATCGTGGGCCAGTGCGCTCCCTCGCGATCGATCGCGAGGGTCGATACATGGTCTCGGCAGGCCAGGACTGCCGTATGAACGTATGGGATATTCGCATGTTCAAGGGCGAGATAAATTCCTACTTTACAAACGGTCCCGCAACGTCGCTCGCCATATCCGACAAGGGTCTTACGGCCGTAGGCCACGGAACACGGGCGACGGTGTGGAAGGGCATTCTTTCGGGCCCCGGCGCGACTGCTGAAAAGGTGCAAAGCCCTTACATGGCCTGGGGTGGCGATGGCAAGACAATTGAACGCGTGCGCTTCTGTCCTTTTGAGGATGTGCTCGGCGTGAGCCATAACGCCGGCTTCTCCTCGTTGATCATTCCTGGAGCCGGTGAGGCCAACTTCGACGCTTTGGAGGTGAATCCCTACGAGACGGCCAAGCAGCGGCAGGAGGCCGAAGTCAAGGGCCTGCTGAACAAGTTGCAGCCGGAGATGATCGCATTGGATCCCAACTTTATCGGCAAGCTGGATCTCCGCTCGGAGAAGCAGCGGCGGGCAGAGCAAGACCTCGACGCGGTACCTGTGGACATTGCGGCGGAGATTCGGAATAAGGCGCGAGGCAAAAGCACGGCTCTGAAGAAGTACCTGCGGAAGCAACGGAAGAAGAATGTCATCGACGAGAAGCGCATGAAAGTAGATGAGATCTGGAAGGAGACCCAAGCTCGCAAGGACGACAAGCTGAAGGAGGCCAAGGCCGAATTGGGCCCGGCTCTGAGGCGGTTCGTCCGCAAAGAGTAATGTGTACAGAAGCCTGCGGCTGTTGCTCTGTGTTGCTTTATAGCTTTGTCTTTCTGGCGTTCTTGGAGGGGCCGCAAAAATAGACTTATGTGCTATTTAGTCATAACATACCCATTTTAAATGTAAAAAGTAGTGGTGCAAAGCAAGATACTCCTAACGCTATAATACGGCGGACGTAGTATTCATTTTTGTGACTTGAGTTGGCTTTTAGCATTGTATCTTGTCAATTCCACATGCTGCCCCAAGTGGCAAGTGATAACGATCATTTTCACGTGGGTAGCGCGTCACAGAGGCGCTGGCAACCGAGCGATAGCCCCCCTGGAAACGCCACTAATTGGTGTCCAAGCCCCTGGGCCTGGCCCTGCTCCTTTCGCGCCAGACAATCTGGGCTTGCCAATGTTCCTGGCCGCTATTGCTTTGCGTTGGTGTTTGGAAAATGGCACAAAAGTTGTTATAGTCGACGCACATACTAACCACAATACCTCAACCACGACACTCATTTTCCACTTTCCCACTCTAAAACGCTCTCCTGGACGGCCGCATTTCCAGAAGACCTAATACCCGGACGATTCGCTCTCGACAATGGCTGCGTGGGCTGACCGAACCATGGCTAACCCGACGGCGGTGGCCATCAGCACGAGTGCTGTCGCGTTTGTGACAGGTCTCCTCTTTGGCATCTACTCGACCCGCGGCTACCTGATCTCGCCCGAGTTAGCCGAGGAGCGGCGGCGGAACCTGACCGATCCGTTTGAGAGTGAGGCCTCGGACGTGGACGACGGTATCCTGCTGGACCATGCGCCAAACTGGGCCAATGGCGACGAGGCTGATGTACGGGACGGCTTGCGGGCATCCAGTGTAGCGGGCAGCAGCACGAGCAGCAAGAAGAAGAAGAAGAGCAGCAAGGACAAGGAGAAGGAGAAAGCGCGCCATACCCACAGCCACTCGGGCGACGAGGAGTGCAAACTGGTGCTTGTTGTGCGGACAGATCTGGGTATGACAAAAGGTGAGTTGTGGGAGGGTGGCTGTCCTCCTTTTTCCAAGTCTAAATATTAAATATACGACACACAGAGGCTAACAAAACCAGGAAAAATTGCTGCCCAATGCGGCCATGCCACGCTGGCTTGCTACAAGATCCTCCGCCGTGCTGCCGGACGCGACCCGACATCGAGTGCCGCCCGTCTGCTACAGCGCTGGGAGCGCCGTGGGCAGGCCAAGATTGCTGTGCAGGCCAAGGGCGAGGATACGCTTGTGACACTCATGGGTATTGCACATAGCCTAGGCGTGACGGCCGAGGTAATTGCCGACGCAGGGCGTACACAGATCGAGTCTGGGAGTCTGACCGTGCTCGGTGTCGGCCCGGCGCCGAAGAGTCTGGTTGACAAGATTACGGGCCACCTGAAGCTTCTGTGAGAAAAGGTCGTGGGCAGGACAATGGAGAGGATGCTGCGCAGGCGCTCGTACGGCGTCTCGATATGTCGACGGGTCACGCAGAGCGCGTTTCCCATGCCTTGGAGGCGGCGGACTGTTTGTGGTATGCACACGTGACCGCCATTTTTCAACGACAGTCCATCGGAGGTGCAGGTTAGCCACCTGCCGATCTTGGCCACTGGCCTCGAGCCAGAGTGCCTAGCACCCCGCTATTTGCAGGTGGAAACGCCCACCCTAGGCAGTGATAGTGGGCGCAATGCCCGTAGCAGATAGCTTCGGGGGAGACGATGTGTTACTGGGTGTCCAGAGTCATTACATCTTCTATTCCCCGTTTAAATACGTAGAAACCAATCTGACGTATCTGCTTCACTTTTACTTCCGTGACAAAGTGAGCGTTTGCCACCCAAATCCTCCCGCTGTCCGCACATTTCCCACCATGGCCACTGTCGACCATAGGGCCATAGTTGTTGGCATCAGCGGCTGCTCGTCCAGCGGCAAGACGACGCTGGCAAGGCTGCTCCGCGATGTCTTCCCAAACTCATTTATTCTCCACGAAGACGACTTCTACAAGAATGACAAGGAGTGAGTGGCCTCGGCTGTGACTGTATGCCGCCCCAGGCTCAGATTCAGCCTTTCTTGTCAAATCACGTTCTAACGCCCGCCGTGCAGCATTCCCATATCAGTCGATGGTCTTGCCGACTGGGACTGTGCAGAGGCACTCTCACTCCCCGATATGGAGAAGGCGCTCCTCCACATCCGCACGCAGGGTGCTCTGCCGGTCAGTCGCAACTCTCATTTGTCATGCCGCACAGATCATGGCGACCGGCCATGTCGAATCTCGACGCCCCCTCTTCCTCCACCCCACCCCTCCCCTCCATCTTGTATACAAAGCTCTCCGCTCACACCATCGCATCCGCAGCCCTCTCTTTTCTCTAAGGAAGACCAGAACTCTGTCGGCAACTGCCCTGTTCCCGATGCTACAATTGAGGCGCAGAAGGCCAAAGTCCAAGCCTGGCTCCAACCGGGCCAGCCAGGCAACAAGCTCGTAAGGGGCGGCGAAGGCGGCAACACTCCACGGATTTGCTTTTTCGATGGCTTCCTGTTGTATTCAGAGAAAACACGAACGTCCATGGAGCTGATCGACGTGCGTCTGTTCCTCCGGGTAAGCCACGCAAAGGCGACGCAGCGTCGTGAGGCGCGGGACGGCTATGTGACCCTCGAGGGCTTCTGGAAGGACCCGCCAGGTTACGTTGACAAAATTGTATGGCCTAACTATGTCGAGGCGCACAAGTGGCTGTTTGACAATGGCGATGTGGAAGGCACCCCGAACAAAGCAACGCTCGAGGCAAACCGCATTTTGACCCAGCTGGACAAGAGCATCGACATCGATATGGTAACGACGCTGGAGTGGGCTGTGGACACACTGATACGCGAGCTGGAGAACAAGTACTTGTGAGACGTGGAGGTACGATGCATCTAACGTGCGCGTTTGTGTCCGGAGACTGTTACTGTCCCCAGACAGCGGGGGATAAATGGAGGTGCGTAGAAGGAAAATAGGGTAGGCCCGAACATCGCATGTAGACGTGAGATACGACCAATGTGAGCGCTACCGACACAGCGCTGTACTTACGTGCTCCCACTCATCAGTGACAGTGACATGGTCAAAACATGCGAGCAAAGCGCAAACACGGTACAAGTGCGACGTGCGATACTTAAGACAACCGGCAACTCGGCGTGAGAGCGTTGAAATGGACAAACCATCAATCGTTGTTGACAATTATCCGCAGAAATGTGTAAATATTTGTGACCAGAGTCATGGTTTTCCCCTAACCTCATGGATCGACGATCGTCGGAAAACGGCTTGGAATATGACGGTCTCGAGCCTTCCTAGTCCGCGTCGCTCAGCTTGTTACGGCGAACTCAGCATCTCTCCAGGACGACTCGATTGCTCTGGGACCTGTCGATAGGAACTTGACACCATACCGCCGCCGCGAGGCAGAAGAATGCGATGTCTCCATAGGATGTATCGAACTGCCGCAGTCATCGACTCTGAACTCGCAGGCCCGAAAGCGCGGCAAGCAGAGGACGGCTGGGCACAGGTCCGTGATTGAAGAAGAAGGAGAAGAAAGAGGGAAAAGAAGCTCAGGAAAATTTGCGGCGCAATATTTATGATGGAGCTCTAGACCCATATTAATTTTTTTTTCATAGTGATTACGAAAGACGATTTGTTTACCGCATCACGTGTAACGAACGCTAACCAGCCATTTCGTTATCTTATCGGTCGGCTCTTGTAAACAGCTTCTGATGGGGCGAATCTACAGCGGATCTTTAGGCATACAGCGAGGCAAAGTATCAATATAGTGACGACCTCTCCTCTCGACAACCGTGACGACTATAATAAAACCTTCTTTGCAAGGACTTCAACGGCCTCGTTCAACGCGAAGCTTGCATCTACCCGATCAATAGAAGTTCGATACAATATCATTATCATTTAGTCCAACACAGCTGCCACCGCTATGGATCTCGCAACGCTCGAAGAGGCAAACCGCCTTCGAGAGTCTATGGGCCTCAAGCCTTTGCCCATTCCAGGACAGGAGCCACAGTCGAGAAACAGCGATGAGGATGACGACGATGATGACGACAATGACGATGGCGAAGAAGACGACCCCATGGCAACACTTGAGGGCCGCCACGCGGCAGCCTTTGACAACTTCAAGCAGGTGCAGGATGCCCAGTTGGCCAAGCGCCGGCGCGAAGAGAAGGCAGCTGCCGTGAAGCGTGCACGCGAGAAAGCACAACGACACGCACTTCTCGAGGGCAAGACGCTGGGTGACCTGGATGATGAAGACGGTGTCGATGCTGACGGTGACGCCAAGGCGTGGCTGCGCGGACAAAAAAAGCGCCAAAAGAAAATTGGCAAGGTTGAAGAGCAGCAAAAGGCCAGCGAAGCTGCGACGGCCGAGGAGGAACGGCGGAGGCGACGGCGAGCTGCAGGTGCGTCGAGCGAGGGCGAGGGCGATGACGACCTTCCGACAGGTGTAAAGGTGGGACATGACATGGCGTCGCTCCTGGACGGCGACGACCAAATCCTCACGCTCAAGGACGCGACAGTATTGGACAACGAGGATGAGGGCGATGAGCTGGAAAACCTTGGTTTACGCGAGGAAGAGCAACTTCAAGAGCGTCTGGCATTGAAGAAAAAGCGTCTTAATTATGACCCTCTGAATGATGACGAAGGCTCACACACGATACTTGGCCATTACGACGAGGAGATCTACGGCAAAAAGCGAAAGCATTTTACGCTTGACCCAAATGCGATCCTGGGTCTAGGTAGCGGGAGCAAAGGTGCTACACCGGGCGCCTCCAACACAGGCGCGGCCGCTACCAATGGCCAGGCTGCAGAGCAACAACACCTGGCTATCGATGACATTCTGTCTGGCATGCCTTCATCTGACTACCTCGACGCGTCTGAAATAAAGATGAAGAAACCAAAGAAGAAGACGTCCAAGACCAAAAAGACACGAACGCGAGGTGGAGATGATGACGAAGGCCTCTTTCCGGCTTCCGCCGCCGACAATGAAGGCAACAGTAGCGGCGCTGTCGATTATGCGGAGATGGACCTTGACGATGGGATAGAGCTAGCGGCCAAGAGGCGAAAGCGCCGGGCCATGGATGCAGAGGAGCTTTTCCGCGATGACGACGAACTGCAAGCCTCACTGGCCCTGCAACGACGTGAAGCTCTGAAAAAACGGAAGCGAACTCGACCAGAAGACGTTGCCAAACAACTACGAGAGGAGCCTGCAGCGCCTGCAGAAAATGGCGAGAATGGCGATGATGGTGACGCCACCCCTGCAACTGGCGGCCTTGTCATTGACGAGACGGCTGAATTCATCAACAACTTGAAGCGGCGAGAGGACCGTGAAGATGATGCCCCACGGCCCAGAAAACAAGCCCTAGCATCGTCAGTGACAACCATGGAAGAGAGCGATTACGAGGATGTTGCGATGAAGGATGGCGGCGCGGACGAAGAAGACGCACGCAATGAACGGGAGGGCAGCAGTGCAGCCCACCACGACAACGGCGGCGGTCTTGAGGAGGAGAAGAAGATTAGTGAAGGCTTGGGCGCGACGCTGTCGATCTTACGGGGACGCGGCATTCTAGATGACGAAGGCGGGGACGACGGTGTGGGTGCCTCCGAGAGGAACGCGCGCATGCGGGCGCACCAAAAGTTCGTCACAGAAAAACGGGTACAGCTCGCACGGTTGGAAGACGAAGCACGTCGCAAGCGCGAGCATGACCGGACGTCCGGCCCCATGTCGCGTATGTCTGTGCGTGAGCGCGAAGAGTATGCCCGGAAACAGAACGCACAGCGGGAGTTCCAGACGTCGCGCATGCTGCAAGACATGTTCAACAAGAGCTACACGCCGAACTTTAACCTAGAATACGTTGACGAGCACGGCCGAGAGTTGAACCAGAAGGAGGCTTTCCGAGGTGCGTTTTTACCTTATCCCGCTTTCATCGCCACCCCCCCCCCCCCCCCTTTTTTTTTCTGGCAAGATTCAAATGCTAACATGCACATAGCTCTGAGTCACGGATTTCATGGCAAGACCAGTGGCCGTGGCAAAACGGACAAGATGTTGAAAAAGATTGAGGTTGAGAAGCGTCACATGGCGGAGGGCATCTTGGACGCCAGCCAGAATGTCGGCATGAGCTCTGCAACGGCACAGCAACTCAAAAAGCGCAAGGAGGCGGGCATTCGACTAGACTAAGGGGTTACGTTCTGGTCACGGTCTTCCTTTTTCTATCAAATTCTACTAGTCTTCTTGTAGGCAGTACGTAGTGTATATTGATCAAACCCATTCTGTTTTTCATTTCCACAGTCTCTTTGTTTGTGACTCTTCAAGTTTTTGTGCCTTTTTCCCCTGCCTACCAATTTAAATATTGATATATCGCATCTTGCGCAAAATGACACTAGAAGTAAAAGAAAATATATAAAACATAGCCGAAGAAGACTAAAAGATTGCTAAATGTTTACACCTCTGTCTCGATGTCCGGTGCACGCCCGGTAAGCTTGCCGACGTTCAGCACCCGGCGGACGGCAAATGTCGCCTCGTCCTTGGCAAACTGCATATTGCGCATGGGTTTCCTGTTTCATGTTAGTGCCCAAGACTCTTATGTATGGACTGGTGGTCGCTGACAAGATTGTATGATTCTTACCATTGCATTAACCCTCGGTGGCGGCGATGCAGGTCACGGTTTCGGGACTTGTAATCCTTGTACTGCTTGATGGGGTTGCTGATGCTGCTGATGCTCTTTCGGCGCGATCCTGACACACTTGTCCCATCTACGCTCTTGGAGCTATTCTGTCCATTGCTGCTGCCAGCGCCATCGCTGATCCCCGACGACAAGACACCGCCCGAAGGTCCACTGTTGGTACGACCGTGCCTGGCACTATTCGCCGTGGACGAGGCGTCGTTGATGCCCAGATCGACAGAATCGCCTGAGGGCTGAGATTGGTGGCCACTGCTTCGAGCGCCGCGCATACTTCTGTGCCGGCTACTCCGACTAGCGGCGTCAGCTGCGCTGCGACTACGCAGCTCGCCATCTTCGTCCTCTTCGATTTCGTCCTCGTCGAAGTCGTCCTCATCGAAGTCGTCGTCGTCGTCGTAGTCGTACGCATCCTCGTCTTCGTCATTGCCGACGTATCCAGTAGCACCGAGACCGCCGAAATTGTTCGTTTCCTGACGGTTTGGTCCGCTTGGTACGCCATCGACATAGGCGCCGGTCATATTTGCGGCGGCAGTATCCCCGGCAGTGGCACCTTCGGGGCGGTCTGCACTTGTGCCAAAAGCATCTGACCAATCAGTGCCGTCTTTGGCCAGCCATTTTTGCTGGTCACCCTTGGAAGCCGACGCAATCACATCCCGGCTCTTTAACAGGGACTCGTTGTGCATCTTCTGTACGTGCTTGGGGATCTCGGCCTTGACCACCTCACCACGGACGCCTTCAGCAAAGCATGCCTCCCAAGTCTCGACGGTCTCACGCGAGTCGTTGTCGCTGATGAACTTGAGGTGCTCGAGGTCCATACCGGGCTTGAAGCGACCGCGGAACTGCAAGCGGCCGACCTCTTCAATGTCGATGTCTGGGATGGAGCGGTAGTTCTCCTCGGTTATATAATTTTGAGAGAGGCGCAGTGGGTTGTCGCATTTCCAGATGGGAATGTCGAAGCTGGTTTCTTCGTTATCGACAACGTCTTGCAGCCAGATGCTAGCATAGGCAACCTTACCGCGGCGACCGACGGGATGAAGCTCAAAGAAAATAGGCGACCGGTAACGGTACTGAACGGGCAGGCGCACACGATTGTCGCTCCTGGCCGCGTGGTCCTTGCCCTCCTCGTCGATGCCGCTAATGTCCCAGCGCAGACCGTGGCCGGTCTCGGTGCGGCTGCTCTTATCGCTACGGATGTTGGCAGAGCTGCCTCCGGTGCGCAGACGCACCTTGACGCGAGACGACGGCGCATACTGTGTGGATGTAATGGAGTCGGAGAGGAATTCGAAGGTGCCGACCTCGCCGAAGCCGACTTGGGAGGGCGGCAGCGTCAGCTCGACGGAGCGGAAGAGCAGGCTGATACGGATGCGCCCGAAGCCAATGCCGCCATCGAGAGGATACCAGCGTGTGCTTTGGCTGCCGGTCAACAGTACCTCGGATAACTTCAACGGCACGACGCCAATGATTGGGTCGTGCTGGCGGTGGCGCGAGTCGCGGACGGTGACGGTGGCAATAGCAGAGCGCCAATCGCGGATGAAGCGCTCAGTACCGGCCTCAAAAATAGGCTTGGACGACACGACCTTGGTGCGCGTCTTGTACACGAGCTCGTCGTTGATGATGATGGTGCAGTAGGCACTCGGCAGCCTCTTTCCCTGCTCCTCTTTCAGTTCACCAGCCTCGGGCCGCGCAGGCTCGTACTCACGGCCCTTGCGCTTGCCGTTGGATCCTTTGACATTCTCGAGCTCTAGACCGACCACCTGGTGTACAACGACACTGAGGACGCCGCTAGGCCACAGAGGGTCAGGCGGTGTGTGGACGACTGCATCCTCCTCAGGGCTGGTGATGACGCCATGATCGTCCTGGAACTTGGGGTCATCGCGCAGCTCCTTCGGCAGTGACGGGTTCTTTCCGTCGGTGCGCAGTGCGCGACGGAACTGGGTCTTGCTGAAGTAGCCCACCTCCCAATGCAGGTCACCCGGCATACTGCTCTCGGCCTTGACACCACGCAGACCCGAGACTTGTGGGAACATCTTGCCGGGATGGGAAATCAATTTCTGGATGCTCAGCTCGACCTTGCCAACAACATCATCAGCAGACGAGCGGTCGCTGTCCCATAGCTCGATCGACAGCTGCTCATCCGCGCGGATAATGTCGGGTGTGACGATCAGGGCAGCACACTCCTCAAAGACGGGGTTGAGATCGTCCTGGATGACACGCGTGCAGTACTGCGGCTTACCAAACTTGGAGAAGGCCACGCAGATGTACGGGTCGGAGCCGCCGCCCTTCGACCCGCGGGCATCCTGCTTACTGAGATCGGTGGCCTTGTGGATGCGAATGAACAGTACGCCGAGCGCGGTTGTGTCCTTTTGGATGCCGTCGCCCTGAAGCATCTTACCAATGTCCAGCGTCATGGATTTGGGCGCGACATACATATTGGCAGCCGTGGCAATGGTCCAGTTGACAAAGTTGGAGATCAGGGGCAGGTTGAGCACATTGGCCCCCTTCTCTACCAACGGAATGCAGCTGGCCTCGATCTTGGGAAGACCCATCAGCGTGAAGCTGAGCGTTTTGACAAAAGGCGGCTCGGGCGAGAAGGCCACACGCAAGCGAACCGTGCAAACCAGGCCGTTGAGCTCAACCCAGATTGGGAAAGGGACGCCAAAGAGGCCCCGGATACCCAGGTAGAAAACCAGCTGCATGCCCATGTTCTTGGCCTTTGAGGCAACGTCGCTGCCTGAGGGCAGCGAGTGGTAGGCGACGGTGGCCTCAAGGTTGTAGAACTCGCCACCCTCCTCCTCAGCTGCGGCCTCCTGCGGGTCCTTGTTCTGCTGGTTCTCCTTGCGGATCTCTTCCTTGAGGTCGCTGACATGAGAGTCGGGAAGAGCACGCAAACTCAGCACGCGGATGGGATTAGAGCCTTGCGAGATGTCGTTGACCTTTACGTTATCCACGACTCCCGGCACACTGGCCTGCATGACATCCTCGAGCGTGTCGGCGACGCCGGCAAACATTTCCGGGTTAATCAGGCCCCAGATGAGCGCGAGGGCCGAGTTAAGCCACTCGACCGACTCAGGGATCAAATTAATGACAGCCGTCTCGCCCCGCTTCTGCTCGCTGGACCACTCCATGTCGCGGCCCTGGCGAATGAGGTCTTTGAACCAGAGAAAGATGCCAGAGGCCACACATATGGCTAGTGGAATCAAGCCCAGCAGGCGTCCGCCAAAGAGCTTGCCGACGAGCACAATGGCCATGAAGATGGTGGCGCACAGCACATTGGCACGCGCCTCGAGTGCGACGTACATGGGCTCGAAGCTCACGGAGGGCGTCGGGTGGAAGAGCACATTGGTCTTCTCGCCGTGGATGGGAACATCACTCGTCGAGCCAGGTTCTACCGGATCGGGCGGTGCTGTGATGTCCTGGTTGCGGCGGTACTCCTCGCCAGACTGCGTGGCTTCGGTTTTGACCGTGGTCTCCTTATCGAGGTTGGCATTGGGCACCGAAAGCACGGGATTCTGAATGGACTTGAGCAGCTTGCCATCCATGTCGTCAATCTCGACCTCACGCCCGGTGACCGGGTCGGTGACAACACGGCGTCGCTTGCCGCTGACATCGTTTGCCGTGTGGTCAACCGTCTCACCACCTGGCTGGCCAGCTTGTTGTTTCTGCAGCCGAGCATCGATTTGGGCATCTCGTTGTTTTTTCTCTTGGTCGAGGTTATCCATAAACTGCTTGATGTTGGGGATGCGGTTGGCCCCCGAGTAGTGCTGGCCCGAAGGCACTATCTTCTCCTGCGTGTTCGACATTGTGTCTCAGAATCGGCGGATGGCAGAATGCCTGGCAAGGGCTTTGTGAAAAAAAGAAAGGACGAAGAAAACATAAAAACGAGGGGGAATGGCAAGTTTTGTACAGGCGCCGGCAATTGGCACCAAGTTAGATACAAAAGCAAGAGGCCCCAAAGAAGGAAGGAGCAAGTCGAGGGGTGATGAGTACGAAACTTGGCATGTCCCCGTGCTGCCACGCAAAAGAGCGACCAATGATTTCATAATTTCGGCTGCCGCCGATGACGAACTTAGCTTGCTTCGCCAGGGAGCTTCCTAGCCTCCTTGGAACGCTTCGTACCAACTGCAGAAAATGCCCGGGCTTGTGCATGCAATAATACTTTTCTTTCAGGCTCCGTCATGATAGCAAGCGCTAATTGGCAAAACTTGCAAAGATTGGCTGCACGTCGAAAGTTCAGTTGGGAAATATTCGTACGAAGTAGGCATCGGACTGTTTCCTTGCACTGTTTCTCAAATGCTACAGCGTTTGAGAGACAGTGCAAATGCTGGTATGTACATACATATTGTGGGCTATTAGTGAGTCGTCGCCGATCGGTTGCCGTTCTAAGCATGAAAGTCTAGCTCGTCCATGACGTCACTGCCACTTTTATGTGGGACAAAAACTATGGGAATTATTGAACCACCACTATATCACTACAGTGCGACACTGTGTGAAACTGGCTTCAGTAGCACTCGGCTTGCAAAACAAGCCATCCATCAGCTTGACATTGACATCTCGGCTAAGTAATAGACTAGCAGATCGCTTCCTAAGATCTTTGCCAAGCGACAGAACTCGATCGCGATACAATTGAAGCCTGGACCTGGCTCACTAGGCACTAGGTAGGCACTAACCGCTGACAGGTTTGCCCCGTCAAGTACTACTTCCAGGGGCAGCCTTGCGCTTTGCTGGACAGCATCGGAGCAGTTCGTTCGGCCAGTGTTCTCTATTCATTGCATTTACGTCGCACAAGTTTTGTTGCAACGCAAGAAAGCTGCCCCCGCCGTCTTGTCATGTCAGTCTCACCCACTAGCAATATTTATGTAACAACGGCCGCAAGGTAGCGAGTGATCTCGTACTTTTTTAACGTGCTCATAGCAAATATAAATCAATAGATGTAGCTCTTAAAAATCAAGCAAAACCCTTCAAAACAAAACGCCTGCGCTGTGAACAATGCAAAGTGGCAAGAAAATCAGCGCCTCGCTAAATAACAAAGGGATGGTCGGCCTGGCCCCCCATGCCTCCTCTCGAACTCCATATCTTCGCTTTCCATCTCACACGACGTTGCACGCGTTCCTTATCCCGACAAATCCCATGGTGCCGTTCTTACGCGCCCAGCTGTGGCGGCTGCTGCCCGAAACCAAGCACCTTGCAATTGGTTGCCAAGTATGGTGGTGGGCGTCTGCATGTCCATGTCGGTATCAGCAGCGTGGGCTTGGTTATGGTCGATGTCGTCAAACGTGCTGCCATCAAGGCCGAAATCGTCGCCGTCGCCGTCGCAGCCGGACTCGCCCTCGCTGTCCGTGGCATACGGGGTAGGTGTGCTCTTTCGTTTGCGTGCATCTTTGGGTTTAGACGGCCCAGAGGGCACAACCACCTTGTCCGCTTCCGCAGCTGCGGAGGCCGCATCGCCTGTGACAGGCATTGTACTCGGCTCCGCTGCGGAGGCGTCTGAGTCTTGCATGTCGACATCCTCATTGGAAGCATTGGCAACGACCGATACAGGGTTAAGGCTGTGTGCAAAAGCGGTCGTCTGTAGTGCCAACGGTGTCTTCAAATCCGCATCGGCGTCGGCTTCCGATGGTGTTGCCAGCGCGTCAGCTTGCGACGTCGTTGGTGTTGCCGTAGATAAGGCGGCTGCTTCGGCCATCTGAGCAGCTTTGAGTGCTATCATAGCACCGCTCAGCGTTGCCTCTTCCTCCTCGTCGTGGCCCAGGGTCCAAACCCAACGGCGTTTCTTGTCCCTCCGTGGTTGTTTCCGTTTGCGGATGCCGCCTGGCGATATGGGTGTTGTTGCCGTGCTCGTGCTTGCACTGCTCGTGCCAAGACCCGCCATGCGCCGACGCATTTCTTCAAACGGCCCTGGCGTCGTGCCACCATCACGGATCTCGTTGCCAGTGTAGGCCAGAGTTAAATCCAGCACGGTGTCGGCGTCGTTCCCTGCAGGCGTGGATGTCATTGGCGAGGAAAACGGCGAGGAAAACGGCGAGGCTTCTTCACACAGCAGGTCAATGTGCGATTTCGTGTATAAGTTGGTCGTGATGGTCTGTGTGAGGGGCGAATTATACATGACGCGCCGAGAAGCCTTCTCGATAAGCCGCTGCGACTGCCGGCGGGCAGATGTGGGTGACAAGGCCGTAAAAGGTGGCAACGGCGAGTTCCGCAGGATGCTGTGAAGCGTTCGCGGGTGCACATATGGTGCCGGGCGTCTGGGCATCGAAATAGCTGGCACTATGACCCGACCGTTTGCCGTGGCGGCCGCTCCCGTTGTAGATTGTGAGTGGGGCGGTGACGAATGCAGGTTAGAAGGAAATGGAGTATCAACTCCTGTCTCGGAACCGGTAAAGCTGCTCTCGCTGCAACTATCTGTGATCGCCGTGTCGGCATCTCCATCCACCGGGCAGCCCTCTTCAGATCTGATAAGGAAGCTTGCATTGCCTGTGTTTCCGTCACTTTGACTATGCCGCCGTACGTCGTCTGGTGAAAAGCAGAACACTTGCGGCTGGGCACTTGTCTGGTCAATAGGCCCGGCAGAGAGAGGCGGCGTAGCCGTCATCATTGTACTTGGAAAGGCAACATCCTTCGCCACTGCAGGAGACATTGGCCGTGCGGTCAGGGGCGTCTCTGGAAACTGAGTTGTCACATAAGGCGTGTGCGCACTGTGGTCCAGTCCACTTTGGCCAGGCATTTGCAAACGCGGCAGTTGAGGCAGACTCTTAGCGGTCATGTTGATGGCCGTGACGGGCTCCGCCGTGACTGGTGCCGGTGTCGATGCTGATCGATCGATGGCCGTGGAGTACACATTGGATAGTGTGTTGAAAGATGTCGGCGACCGTGGATTGACAACGGCCGCAAGTGTTCGTGAGGTCCGAATGCTTGGGCCGGTAGATAGAGCCTTGATCTGGAGAGAAAGTCGCGGCCTCTTGGGGGGGCTATAGCTCGACATTGCGAAGAAGTAAACCGGGAGTCGAGGAATCGCGTTGGGTTGCAAATACGGCAAGGCAATGTGCGAAACTAAGAAATTTGAGGAAGAAGACTGCTCAAACCGACGAGGAAGTCTGACCAGTCTAGAAATCGAAACTTGGACGACGACTGCTTCCACGTTAAGAAGCCGTAAGAGACCGTCTGATCAGTAACGGGCCAAAACGAAACATTAACAAGTGCGCATGAAAAAGAAAAGAAAGAACAAAAAATGGTTCGGCAGTGAGGCTTGGGCGGTTCAGTAATCGGCCAACGGACGCAAGTAATAATATTCCGTACAAAGCGGCAGCAAACATCAGAGTTACTGCGATGGTTTGTCCCTAACGACCAAGAGCCAGGTAGCAAACCTGCGGCGCCAGCTAGGCCCAAGGGTTATGGGAGGCAGTGTGCGGCGCTGGGAGATATCCTTGAACTCAAAAGAAGGGGAAATGAAAGGGGAAAGAGAGGCAACATAAAACAGCAGAAAAACCAGCCGGGCGGGGAAGAAATCATACAATATAATAAATCAGAGAGGAAGGAAGAAACCAGCGAGAGCGGAAAGACGTCGTTCAGATAAGACTGGGCGAGACATGCAGGGACAGAGTGGCACATACATGGAGACAGAGAAATAGAGAGACGTCCGGCAATATAAGAAAGGTTGGGGCAAGCAGAGAATATGTAGGTGGGAGTCATATGCTGTGGATGTGTTGGGACAGGTGCAGCGGCTATGTAGGATGCAGAGGCCAGATGCAGCTTGGGCACATTGGATGTAAAGTAACCGTGCAAAAAGTGGCTGTCAGCCCCCCGTCCACCGAAAGAAAAAAGGAAAATCTGGGAAAATCTGGGAGAACTTACGAAAATCGAAGAAAATCAAAGAACACACCGCAACGCCGGGACCAGCGTGATCAAATTCCAAAGAGAGTGAAGGAAGACAAGGAAGAGAAGGAATATTGGAGATGGCCGGGTCCCCAAAGAGGCATGTCACCCGCGTCTAAGATGGCCCTATCACTAAACCCTTGTCGACTAAACAACGACCAACGTCCAAACAACAGACGGGGGACGAAGCCAAGCGCCAGGCCAGGAGCCCATGGACGCACGTCTATTTGCACCACTGGAGCGCATGGTTTAGACGCGTTCCGCAGGGGCCAAACGACCTGGCCGGGAATCGACCAAGAAGAAAGACAGGAAGAGTGGGGAAAATAAAGAATTGGAAGAGCACAGACCCCAGAAGGAAGAGGCGCGAAGGATTCGAGAACGGCGGGTATGCGTGCTAGGAAAGGAGGAGGTGGAGAGCCTGACGAAGGCCGGCGAACGATTGGATATTCAAGAGCGAGACGAGAAGCGAGGTGTGGGGAGCGTACGATGTACATAAAGGGCGCACTCCATACAGATACGGAGTATATGCAAGTATGTTTGTGTATGCAAAGGAGGAGAGTGCTGCGAGAAACGACAGATATGGGCGGCTGGATAGGACGGAAGAGAGAGGCAAGTCTGTATCCAGGCAGCCAGGTCATCCTTGACATCAGAAGCACGGCCTCCTTCGTTATTTGTTGTCCTCCGATTCTGTCCACATTTTCCATCACAGGGCCTGCATGTCATCAAAATCAAAATACCTCGTTCGAAACACACGACACTCCATACATCGTATTTTGAAGAGGGATTGCTGGTCATGCCACCCAAGGTCTCGAAGCGCCCAACCCTTGCACGCTGCCCCGTCCTGTCTGATTTTCGTCTTCCTTTTCCGTCCCTTTCTCCTATCACTTTTGCCCTTCCTTGCACACCAAATGAACACTGGATACATGGGGGGCCTTGTGTTTTTTGGGGCATGTTGGGGTGAGCTGGGGCCACCAGGATGACATTTGAGCCAACGAGGGTGGCAGATACGACGCACTAAGCTAGCCACTCAAACGCCAGCGTCTAAATTCGCGTTCCATGAACACCGTACGTCGGACGTCGCAGCGGCTGCTTTGCTTGGATGCAGCAAGTTTCTTGTTTCGTTCCTTCTGCGTTGATTTGGGTTGAATCTCTCTGCTTGCTCGTTGAGTTTCCCCCGGCCTAAGCTGCCTATCGCGCTCTCGACCCTTTGCCACAATGACCTTGTTGCCGCATGCTGGCTGGGTCTACCTTACAGGCATATGTTGTGATCACCCATCGGGTTTGTATCTTGGTCCCTCGTCCCAGCTCTCAGACGGCTGCGGCGTGAGTTTTGTCCCTGTTGCTTCGGCTTGGGAGAGTTCCTTTCGACTGGTTCTCGGGATTTTTGTCGACCCCGCCCCTTTCCCAGCACCCATGTTGGGCACAAATCAAGACGACGATTCTGTCTCAAGAGCTGCGGCCATTTCGGCGACCGTCCACACCTTTCGCCTCTCCTCTATTCTTCTGTGTTTTGACATCGATTCTCAGTCCAATCCGATGGGTCGCTTTCGACACTAAAACATTAACCGCCGTCTGAAAGTACATGAGACACAGCCAGAAGGATCGGAGCGGAGCATGGCGTTGCTCTCGTCACACTCCATTCGTTGCATCGTTTCTCGTCACATCACCTATCGTTTCGTCTAGCCAATCCGCGTGCGCCTGCAGCGCGAGAAGCGCCGTGGCGGCAAAGGATTCGCTTGGAATGGAGTGAATGGCTACAGTCGCCGGCTTACGTCGTATTGGGTCTAGTGTCCCCTTTCCCCTGCAGTCGCACCAGCCAATTGTAAGCGGCCTTGCTTGTTGCCAAACCCAAAGTGGATGTACTTCTGTAGAGAATATTGCTCCGCAGTACGTCGTACACTCGCTGACTCGGTCCTGTCTCTGCAAACCCCATCAATCTTGTGTGTTCGTCCTTTGCTTGTTCTCTACCGTCCCATCCCAAACAACTGCAATTGGCTGGTAGACGACTGGGCAGACTCTGCGGCTACAAACTATGGAAAGACCCACACAGCCTTCATTGCGGCGTCGTTTCGAGGTGAACAATTACCGACTTTCGGCTGGCCCCGGTGGACCGCCATTTTGGCCGATTGTCTTCACGATATGGCGGATGCCAATTCGAAGTGGCCCTGCCTGGCCCCCACAAACGCTCTTCAGGCTCCGCCTCGCCGCAACGACGGCCGCGTCATTTTGCACTTTGACTATGACTGCTTCTACGCGCAGGTTGTGCAGAATCGCGCGCCCAGCGGTGCTCTGATCGGTCGGTGCGTCGGCGTCACGCAGAAAAGTATTCTAGCAACAGCAAACTACGAAGCGCGACGGCGCGGCGTGAAGAAGCTCATGCGCATTGCCGAAGCTCGCCGCATCTGTCCGGACATTGTTCTCGTCGATGGTGAGGATTTATCGCCGTTTCGCGACGTGTCTAAACAATTGTACCGACTAGTGAGGGATGCCGTTGGCCCCACGTCCCCCGTGGAGCGGCTCGGTCTGGATGAAATGTTTGTGGATGCCACTGCTCTCGTGGATGCGAACCTCGAACGTATCCTGGCTCATCCTGACAAATTTCGTCCACGAAATGACTTGTTTGTCATGTCCGACGGCGCCGACGGACCTCAAGGATTCATGTTTGATACGAGCTCGTTTGCCGGCTGTATCGTCGGAGACAAGGATAAAGGTCTGAAAGCTCACGTCGCGCCGTCAAAGGAAGGTTGTGCGAAGATGGACCTCCGTCCTAATACACGCATGCGGTTGCTTTTGGGCTCGCACCTTGCTGCGCATTTGCGCCATCGCCTCGAGCATGATGCCGGCTACACAGCGTCAGCCGGCATTGCCACCAGCAAGCTATTAAGCAAACTCGCGGGAAAAGTAAACAAACCGGCAAACCAAACGACCCTATTAAGTGCTGGATGGACTGGTGATGTGGAAGCCAGTGTCGATACCAGTGCCGACACAGATGTGGAGGCGAATACCGTGGTATGGCAGTTCATGGATCCACTTCCGCTGCGCAGCGTGCCTGGTATTGGTTTCAAGACAAGCAGTTTACTCAGCAGCTATTTCATCTCTTCCCAACAAGACGTACGTAAAGGAGAGACGGACCAAATGGCCCATCTAGGAGAAGACGGCGACGAGCGACGGCGGGGAGGAGACGACGCCACAGATGAAGATGACTTTTCTGTGGTAACCGTTATGGATATCCGAACGTCCCCCGGCATGTCCCCTCGCCTTCTCGATTCCATCTTGGGTGGCAACAGCAACGAGCATCGCCACAGCACTGCGAGCACAATATTGGCCTCAACCGGTAACATTCCTACGGGGTTGCGCGTATGGCAACTTTTACATGGCGTTGATGAGGCTCCCGTCCGAGGCGGTCGCGATTTGCCCAGTCAGATCAGCATCGAAGACACCTACACTGGTCCCCGCCAAGGGGCACTGCGGCCGGATGCTGCCACAGCCGTTGCCAGTGAGCTTCACAAGCTGGCCACATCACTGCTACGGCGCATGTATGTGGATCTTCTCGAGCCCGCGCCGGCAGGTGAAGTCAGCTCGAGAGGCACACAAAATGTCACATATAGCATGGCTGATGGTATCCGTAGCCCTCACTCATCCTGGTTGGTTCGGCCACGAACATTACGCTTAACGCTACGACCCCAGGTGCCACAATCGAGCGACAACAAAGAGCCAGGCAATTATTTTACGCGAATGAGCCATAGCCAACCGCTGCCCGGTTTCATGCTCAGTCTCACTTCAACACCCAAGCAAATCGTGGACCGCCTAGTAGCGGGGAACCTCGTACCAATGTTTCGAAAGCTGGCCGCATCAGTTCAGATGGGAAAACGGACCAGTTCCGGGTCTACCTCCGGACAGAGTAGCGCGGCCTGGACCGTTAGCTTATTGAATGTTTGCGTCACCAATATGACCCCAGTCGCTGGTCGCGGAGGCGATATTGCTGCAATGTTCAAGCGGCAACATAACGGCTCAAACAATGGTGATAGTCTTGATAATAGCCTGGGAAACCACGACGGCCATCGATTCGAGTACAACGACGACCGCATCACTGCTGGTGACAATAGTAGCGAAGGCGACGCTAATGATGGAGATGACGATGGCTGGGGTGTAGAAGAAGATGCTGGGGAGAGCCCTTTTGAGAGATGCGAGAAATGTGGCCGTTTTTTGCCCTTGTTTGCTCAGGCAGCACATGCTCGGTACCACATTTTAGGAAACTGAAGAGCAATGGTGTCTTTAGAGCTACCCTTTACTTCAAAGAACCTAGTCAGATAAACAGTGTAAGGAACCACTAAAGCAAGAAGCGAAAATAATAATGTAAATTTCCACATCGAGCACAAAGCCCATCGGATCATATTTATACTACACAGAATCGGTACCTCAAACATCTGTAGCAGTTCACCGATCCATAAATTCCTTGTCTCCAAATTCCCTTGCCATAAAGATCATTAAGTTAAACGGAGTACCCAAAAAAGTAAGAAAGAGCCAAAAAGGAAGAAAAGAAAAAGGCAGGAGATATGAAATCAATGGCCGGTTGTCCTGTCAACTAACTATGCGTTCTATCTTGCAAAGGCAGTGTTTGGCATGGAACGGAGCTGGTGTTCCAGCCTTTTATTTCCCTCCAGGAGATCCGATAACCAACCGGCAGCCGTTGTCAAAACAAGACTCTTGCTCAAGTTACCGCCCTGCAGTCCCGGCACAAGAATGCACAAATCTTCAAAGCCAGTTTTGATGAGGGTACGGCGCTTCTGTTCGCTCTTGATATGGTTTTCGCGCTTCTGTTCCTCGGTCAAGTTCTCGCGAGGTGGTTTGGTGGGGGCAGCTGATCGTCGGCGCTTGCTTGGTGTAGAGCCCGCGCCACCGCCATTGGCGCCGGTGTCGTCCACAGATGTTGGGTCGGCGGCAGCCGGGAGCAGGTTTGGCGGGGATGCAGAAGCTTGGGATGGAGGATGGCCGTTTGTAGCAGTCTTTGCTTTGCGTTTTCGCAGTTTTCCGTTCTTCGTAAACCCGGCGCCAAAATCCGCAGAGTCACCGTCACCTTCCCCTGCAACACCGTTGGCCGACAGCGTACTCTTGTCGTCGATGTCCTGATCGGCCTCATCACTCTTTGTGCCTTTTCCCTTCCGTCGCTTACGCGGCGGTGCCATGGCAAGTTGTCCGTTTGCATCGACGTCACCCAAAGATGATGCTGTTCGTGTCTTCAAATTCAATGCTGTAAATGAAGATTCATACGTTGGAGACGACGGCCGAGTTGCGCCTGTACTGTGGTTTGGCTCCAAACACTCCATAGACTTAAAATGAACGCTCATTAAAGCCTCAGTCGTCTCCTTGTCAGACCGAGGTGTAAATTGTTTCTGTGCAAAACTTTGATCTGTGCCCCATAGCAGCCCTTGCCGGTGCACTGTTGGCGCCATGGGTGAGAGGGCCACTTGTTGAGCGGCAGTTCCGTCGGCCGAGAAGATCAGACTGGAAGTTTGCAAAGAGCCTAGGTCACTGCCCGCGCGGGTTGGTGCTCTTGGGGAGGTTGACAAGCGCCCCGCACCAAGTTGTGAGCCACCAAGTTGTGAGCCACCAAGTTGTGAGCCACCAATGTGGCCAACGGGCGGTAGCAATGCCGATGGCGATGCGGCAGATGTTGCAATCGATTGCGACGAGTCCGGTGCTAGCGCAAAGTCGCTGATACTCTGGTGTGGTTGGGACATATGGAGGCGCTGGCCGTAGTTAAAGCTAGAATGGCGTGTGCCGTGTTGCCCATTCAGTAAGAGTGTATTGGCAGCTGCAACGACATCATCGGATGGAGACTGGTCGACACCAACGTTTGCCCCCGGTAACACAAACGACTGCCCCGAGCCGGAAGCAATATGAAGAGGGAGGGCGGGTGAAGAGTTGGATCGAGAAGCGGATGCCATCGCCGCTTGGTGGGGCGCCAGGCGCGAAGAAGACATTTGCCCAGACCCAGACCCAAACATTGGTAGGTTGTCGAAAACATCTTGGGGCAAGACATGGTTGCCCAGAGACGCGTGCTGAAGGTCCTGGGGTTGGCCAAACGACGAAGACGATCCTACGAATTGGGGGATGTCAATCCAGTTTTCTGAGTGAATGGCATTGCCTGTGACGTTGTCGTTTATGCGGTCGTCGGACTTCATAATCTCGAACCAATTATTGAGGTCATTTTGCTCGGTGTCGGAGAGGAGCGGGGCGCCGGGTGCTGGTTCGGGGGCGTTCTGGAGGAAAGGAAAGTCGTCGCCAAACGAGTCTGTAGGTGTCAGATGAGCGTATGTAAGACGACAAGGCAATGAGGGTACAGAACAAAAGGTGACCTACACCCAAAAAACATAGGCGACTCTGAGTCTATATGCCGCCCGGAGGCCATGGCTTGGGGCGGTTGCTGTATGCTAAGCATGGGTTTGACGTCTCTCAAGACTGAGGCGGCTAGAAGGTGAAAAAGTGGCGATTGTGCCCCGGATTAGCAATAGTGACAGGACAACAGGCGCGATTGGAACCACGGTGACGTGACCTACAGCGTATGTTGAAACGATAGGAATGAAATTTGTGTTATCCTGGCAGCCCACGCAGTCTCGGCGATGACTGAGGGCTGAACTGTCCGGCAGGGCCGTACAACGCAGGGGCCAGAACGACAATGCTATGGCATAAATCCCCGGGTCGTTGGACAACGGTGTTGAAATTGTGTGTCGCAGATGATGCGGCGCGAATAATGCAGGTTACGTCGCAGGGAGGATGCAGCGTCTGCGAAGAAACGCTCAGTGCACAGTCAAGGATGGCGAAAGAATCTGGCAGTCGTCGGTGTATGTTTGTCGAGTGTCAGGCGCAGAGGCAACAGCAAACGGCGCTATGAAAGATCCAAAACCAATCCCGTCAAAGAACCAGCCCGATGATATGTCGCTGGCGTTGTCTGAAGCCGGTGCGTATCGTCGTTGATGTAGAGAGATCGTGAACTCGCGCAGGTGGTGGTTCGTCTTTTTGATCAAATGGATTCCATAAAGAATGGGGGCATGGACGACTGGGGCGGACGGGTTGCGAGCTAAAAGAGGGATAACGTCGTCTCGGGGATGAAGATGGCGATGGTATTCAAAGAACTACCAGCAAGCATAGGTTGGTATTGATAGCACAGTCGAGCCACGAGAGTTGGAAGGTGAAGAAACGTGAAGTGCAAACGCTGTCGCGGGGCGAGGAAAATTGTGCGCATGTGAAAGGTGAACGGGAGGTGGGCAAGACCGAAAAGATGGGGACGAAGACCACACTTGCTTTGTCGTGCGGGTTTTGCGGGTGTGGAGAGGGCGCGGCAAGCGAATGGGGGGCGGTCTATTAACACACGGAGTGGCACATACTCTGAGAGGCCTGAGCAATGGCAAGCACCTAATGTGCTGTAGTACGGCCAAATTAGTTGGTAATTACGACAAAGTCGTCCTTGTTTTGCTTTTGGGGAAGGCACTGGGAAATGGAGAAAACCGGGGGCAGGTGGGGGCTGACAACACGGAACTGTGGGTGGGCAGCCAGCAGTGGTCGAAAGGCCGTTTCCAACTAGGGAACCAAGCGCATCGCAAAGTCTAGCACGCTTCGGGCTAGCCTCATCCGCAGGCCTAAGAATAATATGGAGCACTTTATGGGGAACCAGCACGCGGTATGTTTGAAAAAGGACCCTAAAGTAAAACAGCCCAGACAAAGACGTGCTACAAAGACGTGCTAAACGCAGCCCCGGACTTGAAGTGGGCAAAGGCCAGCCAGCGAGCCGATAAGACACACGACGATATTCTCGTTGCGATCGCGGGTACTTTTGTCTATTAGCTTCGTAGGGAGACACCGTGTAACGAACCAAGACGTACGGAGAAGGACGGGGAGGAGAGTGGAGGAAGGCGGCAGGCGGCTCGCAAGCCCAGACTGGACTGCAGATCGTGCGGGAAGGGAGGGCGGGGCGATGGCAGAGTGTTACGTGCGCCTGGGGAACGAAAAGGCAAAGGCGCATTAAAGATCTGGCGTTCTCCGCACCATACTCGCTAAGGCACGGATTCCCGGTACAGGGAAGGTCAAGGCCAGATCAAGAAAAAGAAACGGAATGCACTCGAAAAAGCACACGACAACGAAAGGGCGGCAAGGATGACGAACGGACGAGCCCAAGAGGACCAGGCAAGGGCAATATCAGCTAATGTTGCAGCACGCAGGGGTTGATGCACGGACAGACCAAGCCGGCAGGGCAGAGTCTTGTCGACCAACAGCCTGCGAACGGGCAATAAGAGAATCGAAGGAGAAAGACGACAAGGACGGTCCCTCGATCGTCGAGGTTGCAAGAAAAAGGTAAGAGGCGCGTCGAGGACGTATGAGTGTCTGGGCAATATGGCAAGTAAAGGCCAACGCAATACTTGATGTACGAATTGTAAGAGCACGTCCATCTCATCCGAAGTATTTTGTCAGATATGTCTTGGTAAGGCGGTTCGTAGGACGTTTCTTCAAGGGGCCTACTGTCATCTGTGGATATTGCGGGGAAGCAACAGATCCTCTGCCCATGGGGCATGGACTGGTAGGGCACAAAAGTCACTTGGGGAGACGACACTTTCATCCCGCTTTCTCCCCACGCCAAAGCATGCATGAAAGGCGGCGGCATTACCTCGCACACTTGAAGGCGAGCGTGGCCTTAGCGGCCCTTGTCACCAGGCTTCACATGCTTTCGGCTCGCCTCCCTTTTGACTCCATGTCCCCGGACACCGATTCATACAATACACCGGGTACGCGTCGTTCTCCAGGCACGGTGGTCGCACAGCTCCCTCCCCAAGACATATGTTTTTTTTGTCATTTTTTTTTGGTTCATAATATCCAACTGATTTAAAACAGACGGGTTGGCTCTGGCGTATGTGGCGAATTCAAGCACTGTTTTGCAGAGCCCCTCGCTGGCTCTCAATGTTCCCGTTTTCACATGCCACCGAGAGGAAACAACCGCTGAGCCGACGCTTGCCGAATTAGGGAATGGCGTCTGTGTGTAATAATACCCGTCAAATGCGACTGTTTCTTCAGCTGCGGAAGTATGAGCTACTTTGGTCCCATTTTATTTGCATGTACTAGAGACAGAAAGAGTTCCAATTCGTCGACGCGCTCAATGCTGACATGGGGTTGTGGCCACAGCTCCTACGACGTAATTACTCCATGCTCCTTCATACGTTGGAGTTCAAACGACGAACACTGTCAATATTGGTTTGGCAAATTATGCCGCGGGAGGACTCCTCCTTGCTCGGAGTAACTTTTTCGACAACGAAGCGCATGATCCACTTCTCCCGTAGACAACGACAGGAGAGCTCCTTGTCAAGCCGGTGCCCGCCGTTAAGTCCCGAAACACCACAACCTGCCGGGCCTGCTTATTGGAACCCGTCCCCACGCCTAGACGCGACGCAGCTACGAAGTAGTGCCCCCAAATGATGGAACTGGCGCTTTCTTTCACGTGCCAGCCGTGACGGAAAGACGACCCAGTCCTCGACGAGCATCATGAACACGGGACCACAACCGTAAACCACACTCATACGGCAAACGAACTACGACGAGCATTACGCTATCCGGCATTGAGGCCGCTTCGAACGCTCTCCCAGGTCACGGCGTGTCTTGCTGCCACAATTGCTATTGCTGCCGTGGCACTTCCCTGCGAACTTCAATGTGAGTTGCACACATACACGTACATTACGCGTGTGCGCACTTGACGCCACAGTTTGCTCGTGAACGCGTCCACGGTCCCCCCCCCCCCCGCCCGCCTGCCCTGGCCTTGCTTGGTACATCGGGTCGGCCCCGAGAGCGCCATATATCAACCTGGGGAAAAGGGGCGGCGTAACACTGGATGGCCGCATTGGGTACATGTGAGCATGCCCGTACGGGGTCAGACCCAGTACCGACCGCCCCTCGATGCTACTCTAGTCCGAACTGTGGTTTCTTGCATCTTTGGGGTTGTTGTTGTTTTTTTTTAAATAAAAAAAAATTGGCTCTGTTTACGAAACTAACTGCTACACAGACTTTCTTTCCCCTTTTTGCTTTACCCTCACCCTCCTCCCACGATACGGGAAACATGTCTCTAGCGGCCCATCCGGCCGCACCCTTTGCGGCCTACCGGTCATCGCAAGGGCCGCGAATACTTGATCCTCCACCATGGTCCAACGCAGCATCAGTCCCGCAGCATGGCCGCTCCAGAGCAGGCCTAGACGCAATCATCCCGCCTCAGCTTCATCCCCTCGTGAGGGCCTATCTACTTGGCTATGCATCTAGTGTCGCCCCGCGTCTTCTCACCGTATTCCTTACATACTTCACCGCGCACCGCCGCCGGCGTCGGGGTCTCCCCCCAGTTCAGTCTGAAAAGGCGTCCTTTGCATATCTGCGTGACTCGGTGCGGCATATTCTAGGTGCTGGGCTAGAATGGCGGCGCTTCCCGGCATTTTGTGCCACACTTGTTGGCGGCAGCACACTTCTCGAGGTACACCACAGCTCTGCTTCTCTAGCCCCGTTGAGTTTCAACTCTTTCCCGTAAACAAGCCCTATCTGGCTTGATGCACATGCTAACTCGGGCCCTACAGGTCCCTTTTTGTAAATTGCTGGCACGGTCTGCCCCGGGTCTCTCCATTGCCGCGCGCACACGGCTCTCTCGTTGGCTTGCCTCGTTTGTCGCTGCCTATGGCGGGCTACGTCTCCTACAACTGGGGCAAAGGCCAGGACTCACGAGAACTGTTGTTGTTAATTCCGACGTTACTTCTACAGCTCAGTCAGACAAAGCCGATGGCACCAAGACAACGGCTACGGCCGGTGCTGCCACACCGGCCACCCCATCTACCAACGCTACCATACCATATGCAGGTCGCACCCTTGATCTGACGCTCTTCGCTGTCACGCGCGCGGTCGATGTCATTGTGGGGGAACTATGGGCACGCCACAAGGCTCGGCGAGTTGCCGCAGGGTCATGGTCAAGTCTGGAGGTTTTGATTGGCCGCCTCGTCGATCCAGCAATTTTCTCCATGTCGTCTGGGCTGGTTATGTGGGCATGGTTCTATGCTCCGTCAAGGCTACCACATGCATACAACAAGTGGATCACATCCGCTGCTGCTGTCGATGCTCGCCTCATTAACGCTCTCCGCCTCTGCCGTAACAACCAGCTGCAGTATGGTAAGGATTTGGGGCCCGATGCTCGTGTTCTTGAAGGCATGTCGCAGGACTACGGTTGGCCGCTCTCCTGGGGCGATCCGGCAGTAACCGTACCTTTTCCGTGCACTATGGTCCACATGGATTGCGGTCCATCGTGTGAGTATCACGCATTGATGCGCATGTGGCGGTCGTGGCGTTGGTCCATGGCCACATATCTACCACTGAGTTTGCTGCTCGTCCTTCGCAAGCCAAACAGGAATCCTCGCGGTGTCTTAAAAGCCATTCTGTCAGCCATACGCTCATCAGCCTTTCTTGGAACATTTATCACGCTCTTCTTCTACGGGGTCTGCTTGGCCCGTACTCGCGTCGGACCACTCATTCTCGGCACGTCTGTCGCGGCTCGCCAGACCATTGACTCCGGCCTCTGCACCGCTGTCGGTTGTGGCCTATGTGGCTGGAGCATTTTAATTGAGCGTGCCAGTCGGCGCAAGGACATTGGTCTCTTTGTGGTACCACGCGCCTTAGCTACTATGTTGCCTCGTCGCTATCCCCTGGACAAGCAGTGGCGCGAAACATTGGTGTTTGCAGCAAGCACTGCCGTTGTGTTCACGGCCATCCAAGAAAACCCCAAACGTGTGCGCGGCGTCATGGGCGAGGTCCTCAAGACCGTTCTTGTGCCGTAAGTTCATGCATGTTGCCCTTCGGCTCCCCGATTTCCCATATATCAGTCCTTTGTTTCTTCCGTTTCTTTCTCTTGCGTCTTCTTTATGGACGGTTTATTCTTGCATGGTTTTCTCTCATCTTTTATATTTTATTCGGCGTTGTTCTTAATATATCCCTACCAAGATACACGCACAGTTCTAGAATAGATGGTAACTTGACGGTGAGGACCTGAGGTTTTCAAGGCATCGTGATGCATCAAGTCTAGGCCGAATGGCTGATTAGGCAAATCGATATGGAAAACTTGCACAGTATTGTATAAAGTAATAAAACGCTGTTCGGTTTCTTTTCATTTTCTTATTTTTTCTCTCGTTTTTTGACGGGTCTACAACGGCACAAGCTCTGCCATTTACGACCGTAGCCATGAGCAGACGCCCAAGACAAACACGCACACCAACAGATCAGATCGCACGGTACCAAATATCTGCCAATACCGCATAGCAATCTCCACATTACGCTTGACGGCAGGCGGCAGAAATCCCATAGCCATAGCAACGATGCCACCGGCAAAGGTACTCCCCGCACCGCCGCTATTGGCATCTCGTTCTAAGAAAAGACGACTCGTTAAAAGGATTGTCTCTGCGGAGGCGAATGCGTAGAAAAAGTAGCGCTTGTGGAGAGCAAAATTGTCGGCTGCAGGGCCGTGAACAACTCCGACAGATCCTACAGCATGTTCTGCAGAGGCAGCATCACGCTCAATTCGCGTACCGGTAAATGGTGTAGCAAGTGCGACGTAAAGACCAAGGGCAACGGCAACGGCAAAGTGGACAAGACGCCACAGTGCTGCCGACTTGCTTGGCTTTGCCAGAGCCTGCTGTTGCTGGCCTGGGGCCCCCATTCCTGGAAACGCAGGGAATCCGGGAAAGCCGGGTCCCATGCCCGGCATACCAGGCATACCAGGGAATCCAGAACCCGGTCCGCCTTGTCCACCTGGCCCGCTTGCGGCTCCGCCCATAGACTGCATCATCTGGGACAGCATAGCAGTGAGCGGATCACCATCAACACCTTCGCGGCCGTTGCCACCAAGGCCCGGGCCGGCCATTCCTCCAACCCCGAAAGAATCGCCGCCGCCACCTGGACCATCACCAAAGGGAAAGGGGTTCGTTGGTTGTTGCCCTCGTTGCTGCTGCGCAAGCAGCAACTGCCGCAGACGTGCGTCGGCAGCGGTGGCATCAGGTGGTGATGGGGTGTTGGTCGACCGTGGCGTGATAGTAGGTTGGTAGAAGTGGTCAGAAATGTCAACCTCGTCTGGGTCGTCATGCTCCTGAGAGCTGGTTTGAGTCGCACTCGGGAGCGTTGATGGAGGATCTAGTCCACTATGTTAGCCCACTCAGTGGTGTTCGCAGCTCTCTGAAACCACCCTGTCATCTCCAAAATCCCCGTGCCGTGACTTTGAGTGCTCACCCCGTTGTATTCCCCCGCCAAGACCGGAAATCTTGTTCAGTCTCGTTGAGCCACCGGCCTTGATCTTTGCCTCGCGGCGTTCTTTGCGACGGCGCGCTTGTGCGGCGGCTACATCTTCGGGGTTTGGTGATAAGGACGCGTTTTCTACCATGGCGAAGAAGGACTGTCGATTTGTGCCACAGGTCTACTTTCGGAATAAAACCTAGTCTTGGGACGTTGAAGTGAAAGTCGGTAGTCTTCGAAATTTGGCTACCTAAGAGGATTGATGCCAATAGTAGGTAATATCTGCAGTGGGTGGGTTGTGGGTTAAGCGCTGTCACGTGGCGCGCCACTGTGCTACTCACCTATGTTTTGATGTAATAGCTGGACTCATTTTCTTCATGTTTTTACGACATACGACATACGACGTAAAACCACACACTCCACATTGGTGTCTTAATTAATCCCATCAGCCTATCAAGACGCACTTCGAGTACGTCTAATCCAGACCCGCAAACTAAACCTTCTTACAGCTTTCCTACCCTCGACCGTTCCAAAACATACTGCTCACCAGCAGAAGCGTATTCAGTTGTCAATTTTCCACAGCGGGTTTACGACTTTCCTTTCATCAGGCTAATAATAAAGCGTCGTGAATTTGTAAGTTATGAAAGTCAGCGGGCGTCTCAACGTACGATGTGCTTGCCATCGCATTAGATGCACTCAACGGTTGAATATCTCGGTCCATCAAAAGTCGGGCATACGACCGTGGCTCTTTGGCAACATCTGTATCAGTGTATGCCCAGGCACCGTCCTGCGGCCTGCAGCCGCGTAAGTTCTCCCAATATTCGAGAAGAATCCTCATGGGGCTGCCAGCATTGCGAAGCACATCTAAGATTAACGACGTCCTTCGTGCACAGATAACCCAACTACCGCACAAACAGGAGGAGCCGTAGAATCATCGCCGTGAAATACCGGTCTGTCCGGTCCCAAGCGGCACCTGGCACGCCCTCGGACCAACTACTATTAAATGATGCGAGTAGGGATCTCTGTAATTGGACAAGTTTGGCTGTAAGCGCGTGCTAAAGCTAACAATAGTGAGGCGCGACCAGCCTGCGGCCCAGGGACCTTTCCTTAGTACAGCGGTTACCGACACGCTCTACGGACGTCGGGAGAGACGGACAGGATGTCATTTCCAGCGGCCATACGTCGATTTTTGCCTCGCGCAGATCGGCCGCAGCAGGCTCTCTTGGACAGGGTCCGAACGGTGATGACAAGCTGCTAAGGCTTGAGGGACAGCAAATACCCGGTTGTATGAAAACCAATGCAGTTTGCGCCAGTAATGACCACTTTTCCCGAAAGAACCCAATTAAACTGAACGGCGATAAACACAAACTTATCTCGCAGCCACGCTATGCAAGATAATATCACTGGCAAGGGAAAGACCTCGATTAGGACAGGAGTGCTTAGGCGTCGGGCTTGCTGGCGTCCTCGGAGGGCCGTGTCCGACGACGCGGTGTCTCCCGTATAGCCCTTTGCCAAGCCAAATCTCTCGGTATTCTAAACAAGACCGAGCAATTTGATCATCGCGGGACTAGCACGTTGAATGTGAGCATAGTTTGCTTATTCTGCTCTCTATGGTCGTGTGACTTACTGATGTTACAGCCATTGCTGTCATGAAGCAGGCCATATCCCCTGTCGAGCTTTTCTTCGGCGCCGGATCTGACGAGCCAGAGTGATGTCTTGACACTTCACTATTGGGCGATGCCGCCTACCAGCACGTCGATCATATTCCACCCTAGCTTCCTTCGATACAAAACGCCTCTGTACACCGGGTAGGCAGAACGGTCACAATGCCCTTCTGCGCATGACCGAAAGCAGGCGGCTTTTGCTAAAACTAATCCGGCTTCAGGATCTAGTATCAACAAACCCCACCGTCTACTCGTCCCAGCCCTCGCAGTCGCGCTTTACAAGGGCAAGCAACCTCGACTCTTGTCTGACGGATCGACAGCCTGCTTCCAGAGATTGGTCCCTTACAGATAATTCAAGTGTCGTATACGACAGCTTCTATGGTGCGCTTCAATTTAGCTGGTGCTCACGTTGCAGGCAATCGACTTACCAGGGTATTACAATTCCCTCATATGTATGTCGCAACTATCAATCTCATTCAAACAAACCCACGCGGAAATAGCTTCCAAGTTCTATCAGCATACGCTTGTCGAAGCGCGTTACACGTTACGCGGACTCTCGCGCATGATGGGCAACCTGGGTGAAACTCCGCACGAATTCCATCAAACTTTTCTGTACAGCCGTCTTTCTCGAGACATATGAGGGCAGACTTCGCTTTTTGGCTTTTGCATTCCAATGTAAAGAATCCTTACAGGCGTGGAACACTTCGGAAGTCTCGGTTTGTCCCCCAAAGGGGCCACCAGAAAACGACAGCTCCACAAGTTTGACTTGCGGGCTAGATTCGTCGTCGCCGCAACTGTATTGCGAACGAACGCATTAACATCACGAATGGCTACGGATTGAGCTCCCGGACACAACCCAGATCGTCCATTGTCAAGCTGGGACACTGTGTATACTATCCTGTATTGTTTTCAAAGGGTGGCACCAGTACTCAATGACGAGCATGTCTAAGCCGTAAACATGACACTCACTACCCCGTCCCTCTCTCTTTATCGTTACACAATACCAAACCACTTCAGGTCTTCTTGCGGGTGCACTGGCACCGTGTGTCCAACGCCCTCGGCGGAGTACGCCACAAACTTTGTTCCGTCTCCAAATACCATTTCAGTGTAACCGGCCTGCGGTGTCGCCGTCAAGTTTTTCACGTACGTCACATCAAGCAAAGTACTCCATTCCTTGATCTGCTCCTGGAGATTTAGGTAGCTCACGAACGTGTCGGCATGTCCGTGCCACGTGGCCAACCGAGGGTAGCTGCCATTCCATCCTGGATACATTCCGCGAACTTCGGCAGCCCACTCGGCGCCACTCTTGACAATACGGCCAGATGCACAGTTGGGATTTGCCGTAGACGGGCTCGACCCTGGGCTCCCTGCGAGGCATCCTGCTGCAACTCCCGAATAGCAGGTAGCAGCTGCGATTATGTCCGGATAAACGGCCATCATGACATTGGTCATCATGCAACCAGATGATGAGCCGGTAGCGAAGACCTTGGCCGGATCAGCGCCGTATTTTGAGATTGTATAGCGGATCATGTTGGCGAGAGTCTGGCTGTCACCACCGCCCTCGTGCGTGAGAGATTTCTTGCTGGCGACATCCCAGCACTTCCAGAGTTAGAAAGGCATTTCCAAAGCCATCGCTAAATAGGCTAACTCAGTAGCCATTAGATGTGTCCTTACATTATTATCGTGCGTTGTCGTCGGGTATATAACAAGAAATCCCTTAGCGTCGGCCAGTGTGGTATATCCAGACATCTGTAAGTACTGCTGTCCTGTTCCACCACAGGTGTGCATCTGTGTAGGTTAGCAAAGTATGCAACAGAACCAATTCTTTCACGTATTATACATACTGCAAGTATGACAGCTGGCTTAGTGGCTAACTTGTTGGGGACGTATATCGACATCTGCAGCCCTGTCGGGTTATCACCGAAGTTGCTCACAGACACAAGAGCCGCTTGCGTGCTGGCAACGAGCGCGGCCGTGGCCAGTGACAGGTGCTTCATAGTTTTCATAGAGATGAAATAGTAATATGACACTCTGAATAGAGGGGTTGGTAATGGGACATTGAAAAGGGAACATTGAATTTTCGCTTTTCATACCCTCGCTTCGACATATGCACCTCGTAGCAGGGGGGCAGGGGGAGCAAGTGTTATTTTATACACAAAATATGCGAGCCTCTTTGTAATAAATTTCTGTCTTAATATTCCGTCGTCACATTTTTCTGTTTCCAATTACTTTACTCGCCCTTCCCTTCTCCTATGGATCTCTTTTGATTTGCTATATAATTTTCCTTGCGTCTCGATATTGATTTGTATTTTTATTATATTTCTTTGATCAAGTTCATTTACACTATTCCTTTATACCTTTTTTTCTCTGCCCTTATCCCCCTTCTATAGTACCAATTACGTCTAAACAAATTTCACCAACAAAATATCCCTCCCACAGCCCCGAAAATGAGCATATTTTACAAGCGACCACAGCAGCGTAAGCGATAAGATGGATGGTGGGGCCCCGACGGTCCGAGGACATACTGCAAACAAAACCAAGCCGGAGAGCGTTCGACAAGCCGCGGGATTCGGGATCGATGTTCGGAATTGATAGAAACTTCATCGGTGGCAGGTATCGAGATTCGGCATCTATGGCTAATTTGTCCTCCTCTATCTACAAGAGCATGCTTGCACCCATTTTCCTTGGTCAGTAGAAGGCCCCTTATATTCCCGTTGATATACCTGCCAGCCGTCTATATTAAGCAAAATAAGCAAAATAGATACATAAGTAATATTTGGTGGCCCGGCTATTCACCAATTTGGCAAAGCAATAACAGTCAATTTCCACGGGATGACACCGGAGCTTGGGCTTTAAGCGGCAACCCTGTCAACTAAATATGTAGAAAATATACAGGTCAATACTGGTGACCCAGGAAACGGGCATCCATATGGAGCATACTGCATGGCTTTAAGGGGGGTTGTAAGACCATGCTTCGATTGGCTTATTCTATTTAGGGCACCTCTACATACAATCTGCTATTGATCATGGGACATTTGCATTCCTTGCAAACTACAGACCTAAACTGGATTGACTGTCGGAGTAGTTCCTTGCCGCGTCAACGGCTGAGATGACATCTACGGGGTAGCCTTACTCATTGCAATCAGGCGCTTGACTCCGACCTATGCAAATAAAACCATTAGTTCATAGCACGTTATAGAAAGGAGAGTTATTAAATGTGTAACATACCATCCAGTGACCGCACTCTTCCGACTTTTCACGGTGGATGTCGACCTGGAGCTTTTGGGCCGAGTCATAGGCCTTGCTTTCAAGGGCAATAGCGAGATCGTGAAGCTGCTGGATCGTATCATCCTTGACGAGCTCTGCGTTGTTGAGGTGATCGAAAAGAAGGTTTAGACGTTTCCGGGTGTCATTCACCTGCGGCTTAAAAGTTTCTGGAGCCCGAGCCGCGACTCGCTGTAGGTCGGATTCCAAAACCTGCACAAGCTTTTGGGCCTTCGGCGGGATGTGAGATCGATCGCCGGCAGGATATTTACTCTTTCGTAGTGGCGGACCAGTGGTCTGCGGCGGCGGGGGCGTGGCAGTTGCAGCAGCTGAAGGCGTAGCACGAGGGGGTCCACCAGCGGACAGATGAGATCCAACGGGTGGCGGACCGGACGTGCCAAGACCTGTATCAAAGGCTGGAGGTGCGTACTGGCCTAGTGCTGCTGCTGGCGGTGGAGCATATTGGCCGGATGGTGTACGAGCAGAGCCAGGAAAGGGTTCGATTGATGCCCCGTTTTGCGTAAGTCCTGCCGGGGAGCCTTGTTGTGCAGATGGAGCGGGGGCATATCGACTCGGCGGTGGTGCTCCTGTTGGAGGCGTATTGTAAGGGGAGTCTGTCCGAGGAGCTGGGCGGTTCATACTAAGACTCGGAGTACTGCCGGTGGCAGGGGGCGGTGGTGCGTACGCATTTGCGACTGAAGACGGAGGACGAGGCGGCGCATTGATCGTATTTGATGGCAGGCCAACAAGAGGGGAACTCACACGGGGGGGTGCTGGACCCTTGGGGGGAGGGGGAGGCGTGGAGCCACCTCGGGAGCCAGCACCATAGGGGCTGTTAGGCGGCGGCGGGCCCGAGAAGGTCTGCGACCCGAACGGTGCTGTAATAGGTGCCACGCTCGGTGTTGTCTTTCGTATAGGTGCCTTTGTGACCATGGGAACATCATTCCAACTACCTACATCCTTTGCCTTAGGCGGGGGAGGCAGACTTGTAGGGGTTGCATTGCGTGGAGGGGCACCGTATGGGTTAGCAGACGGTGCTCCGTACGCGCCGAGTGGAGGAGCATATGTGGAGGTCTGCTGTGGCGGAGCATAACTTTGGCTACTATACGATGGGGCTGCCACAGACGGGTAGGGTCCATGTTGAGGGATACCGGCCGGTGCATAGGGGCTGGATGACGCCAGAGGAGCTGGGGCGCTATATAGATTCGTCGGGGTGACGCCGCCTTGGACCTGGTTTGTCAAGGGCGGTGGCGCGGGGTAACCAACACCTACAAGCGGCGTTCGAGTCGCTGGAGTCCTGCTTTGTCCTGCCGTGGTAGCACGTTGTACCGGGGCGGATTTCTGAATCGCAAGTTTGACACGGCTGCGCGCCAGTTCAGCCGCCTCGTAAGTTGTCGGGACGAGATCTAGGTAATGCTGTGCAACAGACATGAGCCCGGTGGACGCCATGATATCGGCGTACTCGATGTACTTGTCGTATAGCGATGCAAGCTTCCAGCCAGAAGCGAGAGTGGCTTCTGGTTCACTGAACTTTGTAACATATCGGAAGACAGTGACCTTCTCGATGAACTGCTGCAGCGACTTGGCATGTACTGCGAAAGATGAGTCCTCCATATTGTCCTTGACTCCAGCTTTTTCAGCCTCTTCCAGCTCTGTAATCCAAATTTCCACCACCTTTTCTAACTTTGAGCCGATCAGGTAGCAAAGCGAGGCGTCTTTGCGCGAGCCAGCCTCAAGAATGCGATCGCCAAGACCTTCGCAAAAGTTAGGAAATTCGGTTGGTTTTGCAAATGTGCAGAGTGTCGCCAATGCCTCTTTCCAGTTCGCCAAATCAGCGTTGTGGACGATATCCCAGAGGTCCTCGGAAATGACTGAGCCAAGCAGCCGAAGGTAGCTTGGCGAGCCACTGGCCTCAGCTAGGTATGCTGTCTGGACCTTCTGAACCAGGTCCTTGCCACCACAGTTGGCAATAACGAATGCGTCGGCGATGCGATTTTCCCGCAGGCAGATGTCAACAGCACGCGTAAAGTTGCCGAGCATAACCGCCTTTGTTATGACGTCTTCCAGAGCAGTGTTACCCTGACCGAGCAGATGGAATGGCTGCGATAGCTTGACACCACCCTTTTCGCGAGACAGACCAGCCAGAAATTCGTCATCACCGTCAGCATCTTCTCCATCCCCAAAGAGATTGGACATATGGTTATCCTTTTTCTTTTCGCCAATCGCGTCTTTCGATGGCCCACTCTCTGATTTTGTAGCTGCTTGCCTTTTGTCGCCATCGGTGTCAGGAGCGTCTGTTTCGGCATCGTCTTGCGTAAAACCGAGCCGGCGAATGACCTTATGACGAGGGTTTTCGTCGATAAGAGTTTCAAGCACCTCCCAGTCCGCCTTTTCTTCGTCGGTTTTGGCACCTTCGATGTGCGAATCGCAAATAGATTTCACATCACCCGATTGAAGAGCTTTTTCAAATTTTTCGGTGGTCGGGGCAACGTCAGAGTCAGCCGAAAACCGCTCAATATGAACTGTGGATGATTGGGGCTGCCCAGCGGGCGTGTCGTTCAGGGTAAAGTAAACAACTTTGCCTCCAAAACCAAACGCAGCGCCGATAGGCTTCAAGTACCAGTTTGGGGGGGTTGGCAGAGAGAAGTTCACAACCGAAGGAGATGCATGAGCAGTTGCAAAAAAATCTTCGGCATCCATACTGCTCTGCGCTGCCACCTGTGCATCGGCCGAGTTGTTCGTGGTCTGTATCGTCTGTATGGATATCTTCCCGTCGAAAGCGGCGGTGGCGCTCAGATTTGGGTTTTCGGGGTTGAAACGCGTCAAAAAAGCCCAATTGGTCCCCTCTTGAAGCTCACCAAACATGTCACCGGTGTTTGGATTCCACACTAAGGTACGGTTGTCTTTTCCACAGGAGATCATTATATTCGGGTCCTGTGTACACCACGAAAGAGACAGTACGCCTTGCTCATGGCCTGTTAGGGTCTTTTCCGGGGCATTGGAATTGCGCAGGTTCCAGAGATAGATCACAGGCGTGTTGTCGTCGGGGGACGCAGTGATGAGCTTTGTCGAGTTCGTTGGATCCCACGCAATGGCACTGACAGCCTTACGGTTGTTATTCAGTGTCAAAGACGCCTTCTTCGTCTTGACGTCCCACACAGTTACCAGTCCACCAGAACTACCACTTGCTAGTATGTGGGACACCTTCTTGTTCCAGGCCAGACATTCGATGTCGTCCACACGGGAGGCAGCGGCGTTACCGAGCCGGAACGGGTTCTGGATATCCTCAACATTATAAATGAAGAGCTCGCCGTTTGCGCCAGCCGTCGCTAGGATCTGGGGCTTCAATGGGTTGAACTGGACAGCCCTAATCGCGCCGCTATGCTTTGTAGCACGCTCAATATGCGCATCGGAAGCCCCGGTCGCAAGCTTTTCGGCATCCCAGAGGTCGAGCGAACCGTTCTCCAAGGCACCAGCTATGATACCGCGCGGATGGTCGGCATCCGGCGGGCCCCAAGCAATGTCGTAGAACCTGTTATGAGTAATTAGCGCAACATTACAGGTATAAGAAGAGCACTCCGCACTAAGAAAGCCCCATAGTGATGGCGATGAGACTTACCTCGAGTCCGTGGTGATGCTGTGGATGGGTTGCAGCTCGACTGCGTGGCCCAAACTGTCCAGGCTCAGATCCCAGATTTCGAGCTTTGTCTCATCGGAGAAGTCAGCATCGACAGCGCCGGCGCGAGTCCCGCTGACGAGAAACGGCTTGCCAGTGCCAGGCGACCATGCAAAAACCGCCGTCCGCGGGATCTCCCTGAGATGCACCATTCTGAAACGAGGAAAAGAGGTCGGGTTGATGGATACAAAAGGAGGTCGAGTTGCCGGGGTGGTAGCTTTGAGTAGGGCGGGCTGGAGGTAACTGTGGAGGAGAGAGGAAGAAGTGTGATGGGTAGACGAGAGGTAAGGAGCTGGGCTTCGAGACGATGCGAAAAAAATCTACGACGTAGTCTCCCAGGGAGTCGACGACAAAAGGGGGGGTACGACCGTGAGCAAGCTTCGAGAAAGAGCCAACCTTGTCGATTGCGGGATGAAGTAAGCTAGACGGGATAAGAAGTATGTCGTAGAGTAAACTCCAGACCTTGTCTCGATTTTGGAAGTAAAGGTGTGTGTGTCCTGTTCTCTTGGCCCGGTCGTGGGTTGCCAAGGCCGTTGTGGGAATGATTGAGTTGTCTGCTGTGTTGGCCTTTCTGGCATGTTGTCAGGGGCTAACGGCCAATCGCACGTGACAGCACAGCCACCAAGTATGGCTGTAGCTTTGCCCCGCAACTCCAGCACACTTGGATAGTTCTGATAAAAACATATATTACTGGACGTTGGAGCTTAGTTCGTGCCTGGCGTGGCCATTGTGATGTTTTAATTCTGAAATTTCGTTAACTTGCACTTCCTGTCAGTTGCTCCAGCGTGTATTACCTGCCCCCTAGATAATTGGACCCGAAACCTACGTTGGAGGGAAACCAAGAACTCTTTTGACGGCCGTTTGAGCATGACGGACACACCCCGGTGGAAGGCCACGATCTATGTGGGCGGTCTTGGGCCGCAGGTGACCTTGGCCAATTTGCACGACGCCTTTATACCATTTGGCGACATTGCTGATGTTTCGCTCCCTAAAAACGATAGGCATGGTAAAATCGACCGAGTGAATGGCACGAACGAAGACAGCTCTGTCGCAGACGCAGACGCAGACACTAGTAGCCACCGTGGGTTCGCATACGTCGAGTTTGAGGATGCCGACGATGCTACAGAGGCCATTGACAACATGGACAAGTCCGAGTTTTTCGGTCGGAATATCAAGGTCATGGCTGCCAAGGCACCTAAGACATCAAGCGAGGGTTTAGGAAGCAGAACGGCTCTCTGGAACCAGGTAGGTGCATTCCTAACCACACCCCCGATGGCCATTCCATTTGCGTTTTGCTGCATCGACGACTAACTGTCTATTAGGAGGCTTGGATCGCACAAAGTACTGCCGCTGAGGATGGACAATTAGCTACCAAGCTGGGCTCTGGTAATGACCCCGAGGCAACAGAGGACTCGATGCAAGGGCTTGAGGGCCTGGATGTTGCTGGACCGAGACCAGAATGAACGGGCGAGGAAAAGGATGGCAGATAGGATGCGGTCAGGATACGCTTGCAACATGGTTTTGTCGCGATTTGCATTACGGGACCGAGTCGGGACTAAATACGCTGCTTGGCTATTAGCAGCATCGGAGGAGGATAATGTTAGACCGTGGTCAATTGGGCCTGATGTAATTCGGGGTAGCCTAAGTGATATATACGCGTACAAGAGAGTGAGCAGACGGCCAATATTCAGTCTTCGTCACGCCCAAACCCCTACCCCTTCTAAACACAATGCAATTCGACTCCCATAATCTCCTTCCTCAGGAAACACCCGCCAAACGAAAGCTACCGGCTGCCGCAGCTAGCTTTAGTGGTGTTCGGCCTCTGCAACGTGATCGGCGGCACGGTTCTGGCGCTTCAGGCGGATGGTGCCGTCAACAAAGAAATGGCGGACGGACGAGTAACCGGCAGCAAAGACGGCAAAACCGACGACGACACCTGGCGCATTGTTAGAAATTCGTTCGAAATCCGGACTCCTTAAGTGCTGATGCGGCAACAGTCGCAAGGAACATACCAAGGGGAATAAGCTCAGCAGGTATCTTGCGCAGCCGGCGCAGTCTCTGCGTGATGGTATGTGCTACATGACATAACAGTTAGCTGTGCCTTCATACTTCCATTGCCATCTTGGTTTTTTTGTCCTGCGGTATTGTTGCTCCGTTTCCACCAAAAGGGCAATTCAATCAATGCACCGTGCCGGCCGTTTTCGTTATCATATGTAGCATTGTTTCGATCTTCACATACCGGCTTGTTCTTCCTTCTGCGTATTGGTAGTCAGCATCACATGAGCGGTGGCCTCGGCTGTGGAGAGGCAAGTTGAGAGAATTGGTGACAAGAGTGAAAACTTACAGGAACAGGTCGCATCAGGCGAAGTGTAGGCCGGAAGGCCTGGAGAGCCCGGGTAGCATACATACTGATGTATGAAGCAAACAAAAGACAATGGAAATTTGGTTTAGATGCAGTTGTCGCGAACAGGCGGCGATGTTGATGGCGGTGATGGCGAACAGCAAGAAAAAGGGAAAAGTGAGGTCACCTTGGAGCTGGCTGACTGGCTGTAGATTCCGAATCAAATGCGTCAAATTGGGGCGGGACTGCCTCAGCGCACCTGGTTTGCCAATTCCTGGAGCCAGCGCTACGGCTTTTACTGAGTTTCAATTCGTCGGCCACAAAGTCTGCCAATTCTCTGGCGGGGAACGAATAAAAAAAAGTAAAATGGTATGCGAAATACTGAAAGAAGAAAATGGGCAAACAATATCAGCCGACCGCCCGCTGCGGCCTGAAAAGCAAGGCCGAATTCACCCGCTACCTGCCCATTATTCCGAGCGAACGAATCGAACCATTCCAATCCCAAGCTGCATTGCTCGCAAACAACAGCTCGCTCACGTTCTTTTGTTACTTCCCACGATCGCTTTCTCCCCGACCTCTCAGACCGACTCTACCCAAGCAAACGCACCAATTGACATTACTTTGCCGTTCAAGATGTCTGACGACGAGCGTGTTACCAAGCCCTTTAAGTTCGTCACTGGTAAGTCAACCAATTTCCAGTCGCAGATGCTCTTTCGCATCTGGATAAAAATTAATGAGATTCGTCGTATGACACATTTGCTAACGATTTTACCTCTAGCTGGTATGTTAACACCCCGACCGCATCTGCTCAAACCGTCCTACAATCGCACTTTTGCTGCGATCGGCGACCGAGGGCATCGACATGCTACTGCCTGCCCCGACTTTATGCAAACCACTGCCGGGAGCATGCGACGATCTTCCAAACAACTGACGCGCTCTCTCTAGGTGTCGATGCGCGGTTCCCCAACACGAACCAAACCAAGCACTGCTGGCAGAACTACGTCGATTACCATAAGTGCATCCTGGCCAAGGGCGAGGAGTTCGCCCCCTGCCGTCAGGTTCGCTCACCCCACTCTGCGTTGACATGACCGGGCTACACTTTTGCTTGGATTTGCTTGATTTCCCCACATACTTACATATTCGCAGTTCTGGCTTGCATACCGGTCGCTGTGCCCCAGTGGTTGGGTAAGTTGTTTATATATACACTCCTGTTTTGCCTCGGTGGCTCAGATGTGCTCATCACCGGCACTGTTTTTAACAATGCTAATGTGTAACTCTACAGTACAAGCGCTGGGATGACCAGAGAGAAGCCGGAACGTTCCCGGTCCGCCTTGAGTAGGAAGCTGGGAAGGCACATAGTTTGAATGTGGCAGCGCGCGTTGGTAGATACGTGGTAAAGGGAACATCATCAAGTAGAAGCATTGGTTCGTATTGTATCAATACACTGAATTTAACCTCTTTCGCCCGAGCCTTTGTCATAGTAGAAATGTACGGGGTCCAATCTGAAATCTGTTATGAATATACCACTATTACGCCCAGACTCTCACACTATCCCGGGCAAGGGTCAGTTATCGACGGGTTTATGTGGACAGAGTCAAGCTACGCTGGCCGACATATCCGGTTCAAGGTTACTGCGTCGGCTGAGCAGATGCTGACCGCATCTGCTCACCTATTCTCGGTGCCTTCTCGACAGACCATCGTGAAGTTGAACTCAGAAAGAAACTCTGCCCACCTCGTTTGACGTTTATTAAGGGCTTCCGTGGTCCACGTGGACCTTGACAAGGTGTTTCGTTCCTGTGAGGTAGTGCTTCCATTTTATGAAGGCTTCGCACCAGTTCTAGGTGGTGAATTTTGCAATTAAGCTCGGGTCCGTCGAGTTTCTTCTAGTAGAAGTTGCCAGGCTAGAGTCGTCCTTCTCGTCTCGGTTCCAAGTTGTCCTCCTAGAGCGAATTTTCAAGCATCAGTTACGACTTCGAAAAGTCTTTCTGGGCCTAGAATTTAAGGATAGGTTCATAGAGAATCAACTCCTTAAGCTTATCGAAGGCCTTCGCTGAGGTTTCTTCCATCTGAAGACTTGATCCTTCTTCGTGAGCTGTGTGAAGGTGTCGCTACTTGACTGTATCCATTCATAAATCGCAGGTCTAAAATTCATGAGTCCAGAGACGCTTTGTGCGTCCTTGACGTTCTACGTCAAGGCCAATCTCGTATGGCTCGTATCTTATTTTGTGATATATAGTAATGCTACTGACCAAAAAAATTTAAGTATGCCAAATATAAAATTAAAAATAAAATAGATATGGAATTATTGCTTTAGGCATTAGCTAGCCCTTGTTGACCGTCGCTCAAAGAATCATCCTCGTCAGAGCTCAAAAACTCGTCATCTTCGTCGTCAAAGGCAAAAAATACTTTTGCCTTTTCCTTGCCTTTCGAGGTTGCCGCGGGTATTGTTGCCGCAGACGTGGCAACAATGGGCTTTCGACCGGACAAATCAGGGCTACTACTGCTTGAGCTGTCATCTGCACTCTCACCTTCTTCCTTGAAGATAACACTGGGATCACCAGAAGTGACAGACGTGTTCGATCCTGCAGATGTACCGAGCTGCAGGTTGTCGATAAACTGATGGCTAGTCATGGCCGAGAGAACAGCCGCACGGGTCCGGTCACTGGCTTCTTCTTTGTCCTCAACCCACTGGCCATCAAGACGCCCTTTCCCTCCATTTCTTATGTCGTTCTCCTTCTTTTCAGCCATTTCGATAATGTCTCCCCATCGCTGGCGCCTCTTTTCCTTTTCTTTCCGGTCCATTTCGGGTTTAACGGCCAAGTACTCGGCGAGAGACTTGGCTTCTGTTACGGTTCGAAGCCGACGGCCGTCTAGATTTCGGCTGGAACCATTGTCATCTGCTTGGTTGTTTTTGCGTTTTGACGACATACGCCCGCCGGCAGCACGTAGTTGTGAGCCAAAGCCGCCCTTTCCACCCAAGACGGGTATGGAAAGGCGAAGGCAAATGAAGTCAGCTTCCGCTGTCGATAGGAGTTCGCCAACATTTTTTGAAGCATCCCGGAGAAGATGTCGGTTTCCAAGTGTGGTAAGAATAAGGCGAGACTGGATAGGAGGTAGGCGGTCGTCGAGATTGTTCCATAGTTCGCTGAAGGAAGTCGAACGAACTACTGGAAGAGAATATGTAGTTGGCAAGCCATCGCCCGGGATACCAGTAACGAGGACGTTGACTACTCTCTCCGCCATGTTCGCTTTGTCTTCCAGATAAAATGACGTGCCTTCGACCTGGCGAATTTGTTTCGGTGTTTGTTCTTATAAGAGCAAGTGGAAGATGTGGGTGGACCATAAGTCGTGGAAGTGGGTATGATATGAGTGCTGAACTTTCGCCACGGAAAAGAAGCATGTGTCTACGGAAGGAAATATCACGTGATTAATTACTAATAGTAATCGCATATGACAATGACTGAAGCTTGGTAAGTAATTACGTAAGATTCCTTAAGCCCTACCTGGTCCGTGCACAAAGGGAAACTTCACAAAAAATTCATTCTAACATTAGGACCCTAGTGGATGTGGGCAGAACTTTACGTGCATGGTTTTTCGCCCTCGCGGTTTTCCTGACTCTCGACAGAACAATATTGAACTTCACCTTCCAATACCATATTTCACCAATACCATCCAAGGGAAAGCGATTCAAAATGTTGATTCCCAAGGCCGACCGCAAGAAGATCCACGAGTCCCTCTTCCGTGAGGGAGTTCTCGTGGCGCCGAAGAAGTACGTTACCGACGACGTCCCGTCTCATAAAGCCACGATTGCTACGAACTCGGAACCTCGACCGATGCGCAAAACGTCTCAACGCTTTCATCATCTACGATACTAACTTTTCTTACAGCTTCGAGATTCCTCACCCGGAGATCGACACCAAGAACCTCTATGTGATTAAAGTGCGGATGCCTTGACTCGATAAATACACCAAACTAAGCAGGAGACATACTTCTTTTCTGAACAATAAACTGACTGTTGTGAAAACAGGCCTGCCAGTCTCTGACCTCGAAGGGCTTTGTCAAGACTCAGTTTTCTTGGCAGTGGTACTACTACACTCTCACTCCCGAGGTACGCATCTTCCGAAAAACGCTGTGGCAACAAGCGCACATTACATGCTGAGACGCAGGTGGTGGATATACGAATAAATGGGTTAACTAACCGTATTTCAGGGCCTCGACTACCTTCGTGAGTGGCTCCACCTCCCTGCTGAGATTGTGCCTTCCACCCACATCAAGCAGCAGCGGTCTCATGCGCCGCCCCGTGGAATGATGGGCGGCGAAGAGCGCGAGCGGCGGCCGTTCGGCGGCCGTGGCCGTGGTGACCGTGGGGAACGTGAAGGTGGTTACCGGAGACGCGATGCTGGCGAGGGAAAGGAGGGTGGTGCACCTGGCGAGTTTGCTCCTCAGTTCCGCGGTGGCTTCGGCAGGGGCCGTGGTGCCCCTCCGTCGTAAGGTTCGTCGCAGTAGTGGTTCGACAACGGTGACGTGATACCGACACCTTTCTCTACGACCGAATTCACACATTATGCAACGGCGCCGGATGTATTGAAAAAAATACGACGGGTTTACGAAAAACAAAATTCACAGCCCATTGGAAGTCTATTGTTTGCTTAGGAGCGGTTTATGGCCGTCGGACTATTGTTTTGTATTGTAGGGCAGGAGACATCTTACAAAAGCAAACCAAAAAAAATATAGAAAACGCCTTCTACCGATTGTTTTGTCTTAGTGATATGAGATACGTCAACCGAGATGCGATATTGTCCAATTCCTATATGTCCTCAAACGAATTTGAATTCCAAAGGCAATAGAGAAGTCACTGTAAAAAAAAAGAGAGAACAAAAAGCCCATCTCCCGTCGTAAATTATTCATTTCTAAAGGACAATCACCTTTGCCCAATTGATATCAAACAACCTGTACGCTGTTGTTTCACTCCGTAGTAACAGTGAAAAATGAAAGTAAAATCGAAAGACGGTGTATCGGAGAAAAAAAGCTTACAGAAGAAAAACAATCTAAAGCATATGCAGAACAAAAATCGCAAGGCTATGGCCGAATATGGGCGCCGATTCCAGCACCTTCGTACCAGATCCTTTGCCGCCATTGTCCAATATTGACGGCAACCTCAGCTTTCGCATCTAACTTCAATACGCCCCCTAAAGCTTTTCGTAGCTTATCAAAGCCGATAGAATTTGGGGACCAACCCACGGGTAACTTAGGTGTCTCCGAAAGCCCAGGGGGTGCACCGAAAAGATTATCGGACACGATAGTGCCAACAAGTTCGGTATGATTGTAATATGCCGTCGCATTAACAGACTCGATGTAAAGCGTGTCTTTGGCAAGTGGAGAGGCAAGAATAAATGATGCCGTTGAGGAGAATATGTGGAACGTGGCATCGCGAATGAAGCTGTGTTCGGCTGTATTCTCATTCTCTTCGCCGCCATTCCTACCGCCGCCATCTCCTCGACCAGGCAGTGACAATCTAGGAGTAGGGACGGTAAAATTGAACTTCGAGAGAGCATCTCCGAGTACAGGTTGCAACGGGATACTTTCACGATATGCACGCACTGTGAGTGAAGTATTGAAGCCGGAAATGAACTCGGAGAGTAAGTTACGACCAATCTCGAGGCCACGTTCGCCGTCAAGGGATGGATCCCAAGTTGCGGTCATAGCTAAGTTTGTGTTGTTTCCTGCGATGACATTGAGGTGTTCAGCTCTCACTGTGCCGATTAAGCTGCCATTGCAAAGAATGTGAAGGCTGATTAGAGGGATGCGTGCTGCATATTCAGTTGGGTTGGTAATGTTCGCAATAGCCTCTATGGTAAGTGATGTTGGCGTAGTGGCTAGGATTTTGATGTTTTCGACACGCGGAGATAATTCGTTAAATGAACCGGCAGCAATCGCTGATAAAGAAAAAAATTATAAGACACGTCAGTGAAAACTATCAACTTAAGCCAACTGACTCTCGCACCGTATATAGTTTCACTGACATATTCAAATATGGAAACAAACCTAGTACGGACGTTTTACAGGAATCTTCCCTTCGGCAGGTACGTCCTTGAGCGTAAGTTGCCCAAGAATGGTGTCAACACGGATATCGACAAGAGCTTTGACTTCCAAATCGACAGGCTCGCCACCGAATAGTAACTTCTGTATAACTTCTGTAAGGACATCGCCATTCGTGACATTGAGAGGAGCATTGGCAATTCTGGACTCGATTTCGAGTATCGCCTCGTTGTTTGGAGTTGCTCTTGTCATTGTCGAATTAGCGTCCTGCCATTTGTGCAAATTCAATTCACCGAGCTTATCGTCGATATAGAAGACATCGGCATTTGCGCGGACGCTTGTCACGTTGATGGCAAAGTTCATCTGTGAGGGTAAGCCGGCCGTTACTAAAATAGTGCCCGAAACAGTGGGATTTGACTCCGGTGCGTCCGGGTCGGCTAACGGATCGGGCAGGGAGAATTGGACGTCTGTCAGAGAGAAGTCTCTTATCAGATTGTCAAATGTTCTACCGGGGAATGGAATGGGAACATTGATGCTTGACAGGATATCGCTGATCCATCCTGGAGTGCTGTCTAGAGGCTGCCTTTTCCCTCGCACGAAGACTACTGCGTCACCACCGTTCAGGTATTGCTTCAAAAACATATCCAGGGGCGAGGATTCGGAGTTGGGGCAATGTGCTGTCAGCGAGTCTGGAAGCTCTTGCAACGTGCCGTTCACGTCAATAATGACGCTGGCCTTTGGCCGTAAGACGACCGGTGCAGTGATGGCATCGGCGACTTGAATGGCGGGATCGAGTAGGTTGCAGTTTGGAACAAAGACCTCGAAAGCAAGTGGGGGTATGTCGATCTGTACAGGATAGTCGTTGAATGCAGAGATTGAGAGCTCAGCGCCCATTGCTTGGTTACTTCCACCAGGAATACTGGTTTCTTGGAAGATGATACGATCGATGTGGTACTTTGGAAGGCGGGGAAGTTCTTCAGCTGTATAATAGACCAGTTAGAAAATCGAAATTGAAAAAATAGCTGCAACGCAAGTCAATGTGGTTATTGGGAACAAATTTAAGAAGAAAACATCTTCTTTGCTCTACATGATAAATTTCTCTCCGAAATACAACGACGCAAAAGAGCGGTAGAGGTATTGACCTTCGAAAACAAGTGACTCGGACACAGTATGAGTGCCTAGGGGGATGAACCCTGTCCTCAATGCAAGGCTGGCGTGTCCTGTAAGGCGGACAGAATCGAGGCGGCCTTCCAACCACTGGTTCGCGATGCCGCGAATGGCTTCGGCATCACCTGGAGCCAAATCGGCGACAAAGTCGATTGCCGTTGTGTGCCCATCAACCAAGTCGACGGCCAATGGCGGGATACGAGCCGACCCCAAAAGCACATTCGAAAACTCGGGGAGGTAAACGCTGACAACGGTTTGGTCGGTGCCCAACCGACGGACAATCCATGTTGTGGTTTTGCCAATTCGCCTAACTTGCTCGTTTTTGACCCTCGAACCATCGAGACGGAAATTTGCTTGGATGCGCGCGCGTACTCCGTCGGCGGTGATCGATTCGAGTGACAAGTTTGTTGGCTCAATAACAACGCCCTGCTTAGCGTATTCCTCGACCGCAGCGGGAACGAAATAAGCCACAAAAATAATAAACAAGGATGCCAACGCGAGAAAGACAATGGCCATAATGGATGGCCATCGCTTGCTTGACTTTTTGTTGGTATGGACAGACACCTGGTCGCTGTTCGAGGCTTCAGTGATGTGAGAAGCGGCGTCGTCATTCAGTGACAAGCCATCGTACCGCACGGATGAGCCACCGGTGACCTCTGTAAGAAGAGGCGTTGTCTCGACTGGAGGGGTCGTCGCTCTGGCGGAGGCGGAGGCGGAGGCGGAGGCGGAGGCGGTCGCGGAAAGTTCGCGTTCGGACCCGGAACCGAAAAGAGGCGAGCGGTTGTCTCCATGGTTGGCCATTACGCCCAGCAATTTTGGCGCACCACTAATTAGTGGAGTGCCTTTCTTCACTGCGGGCCGATGTTGGTGTTGAACTCTAGGAGTAATGGCACGGATGGTAAAGGGAGAGAAGTACGCGTATACGTATTGTGACACTGGATAAGTAGAAGACGAGAGAGAATGCAGACCTTTATTTGTTTTCGCGATTATGGGAAGTGTGGCGTCTTGGGGTAACGTGGATGACGGAGAGGAGAGGGAGGACAGGATCAACCAACTGTTGCAGATAAGTTAATGGCACGTGATGAACATTGCGTCATGCCTTCGCCGACGATTTTTTCGTACTCCGAAATAGGACCCGTCACTACTAGTAGGTGTACTGTGCGAGCACCATATTCTTACCGTGCTAACGTAAACAAATCCGTAAAATATTTTTGACCATATCCGGACTGTTTTGACCCCCATATCGACCAAATGAGTCAACGGGGTTATAAAAATCATACATCCCTAGTGGCATCTGTCTCGCGCTTGTGAGTTAACCAGAATTGTTTATTTGGTTGCCCGTTTTAGGGAGCACAAAGCCGAACAGGAAACAAAACAAACAGTATTCTCGGCAACAGACAGGCTTGTCGAAGAACTTTATCCCAATACAAATCATGAGCAACTCGCTCTTCCAGGCCGCGAAGACGGCCACCCGGCATGTACAAACCCGGGCTTACTCTACCCCCCGCCATCTGATGTCAATTGCGGACCTTTCATCGACAGAGTTTGCCCGTCTTGTTCTAAATGGGGCCGAACATAAAAGGGCATTCAAGGCAGGCACCGCTTCCGAAAAGCTCAAGAGCAGTCTTGCCGGCCCCGCAGTGGCCTTGTTGTTTAGCAAACGAAGCACGCGGACGCGAGTTTCAACAGAGTCTGCGATAGCCATGATGGGTGGCCGTCCTATGTTTCTAGGCAAGGATGACATTCAACTTGGTGTAAGCTTAGCCGTGAATATGAAGGTTACGAAATACAGTTCATCCTAACTAACCCCAATCCATGTCAGGTCAATGAGACTCTCCTTGATACGTCTAAAGTCATCTCCTCTATGACTTCGTGTATTGTTGCACGTGTTGATCAGCACTCTGATGTGACCGGCTTGGCTGAGCACTCCTCAGTCCCTGTCATCAATGGCCTGTCGGCCGATTTCCACCCGTTGCAGACGATTGCTGACTTCTTGACAATCCACGAGGCGTTCCCTGCATCTAATTTGAGTAAAGGTAGCCTTGGTCTCGAAGGCAGGAAAGTCGCATGGATCGGTGATTCAAACAACGTGCTTTTTGACCTGGCTATCGGTTGCTTTAAAATGGGCGTTGATATCGCGGTTGCCTCACCGAAAGGTTACGGTATCCCCGACCGCATGCGATCCCTCATCTTGTCCTCTGGCACCAGCAGCAAATTGGTTGAGACGACCGTTCCAGAGGTTGCTATCAAGGATGCTGACATTCTGGTGACGGACACTTGGGTGTCTATGGGTCAAGAGGAAGAGGTAAAAAAGAGGCTTCAAGCTTTCGACGGATACCAGATCACAAGTGAACTGGCGAAGCGTGGCGGGGCAAAGGAAGATTGGAAGTTTATGCACTGTCTTCCACGGCACCCCGAGGAGGTGACGGACGAGGTTTTTTACAATTCCCGCTCGCTGGTTTTCCAAGAGGCAGAGAACAGGCTTTGGGCAGCTATCGGTCAGTACAGCCCTCTACTTGCATTTGGTTGACAAGACAACAAGGACTGACATGCTATTTAGCTGCATTGGAGGCTTTCGTTGTTAACAAGGGCAACATTGCTTAATACAGCGACTAGTTGCATTGATCAAAATCTACGTATGGCTGTCGTTTTGGGCAGAGCTTTTCATTAAAGGACTAGTTGTTTCGTATCTGCTAGCAGGGTTTGTGGCCAGTGGTGAGAAAAGAAGGACGATGCCGGGGGAAAGGCCACAAACCGAAGTTGAGATGGTCATGGCCCGAAAATAAGGAAGAATTAGGCACGCAAATACGGACATATGTCGTCTTCCCTCTGTTCCAAGCAATCTTTTAACCGGGTGGAAGCTGACTAGCATCAACCACCTCGTCTGCCTCCTTGGTTGGCGTGTCGTCGTCAGGACCATGAAGAGGCGATCGCGGTAAAGCCATCAAGCCCGTACGAGCCGACTCCAGAATGCCAAAGGGAGCAACTAACTTAAGAAACGAGTCAATTCTAGAGGGTTTGGCAGATCTGGTGGCTATGTTAGCATTGGCGCCTCGTAGAACAACCAGGGCGAATTGTGCAGCACAAAGATGTGTCCGCAGATGTTCCCTGTCATGGGACACTTACACCTCAACAATGCAGCTGTTGGTGCTGATATCCAATACCTTGCCACCGAACTGGTGAGTAAAGTATGTGATGCTTTTCAGATGCTCGTGCTTATGGCGAAGGGCCTCGCTTGCGGCGAGGCGACTGGGGTGGAAATCCTCTCCGGCGTTGGCAAGCGACACATCAAAAACCTCGCCATCTTGCCCACCGTTGGCATCAACGGGGGCCGTGATCTCGCGGTGGTGAGCCAACAACTCCTCAAAGTATTCGGGGCCAAGAATATTGACCTTGGCTAGAAGTAGTTCGCGTTGAACCAGGGCCGCATTGGTGTAGTCCAGGACAGCCCAGACAGGGACCAGGTCTTCAAGTTGCCTTCGCGCCTGCTCCACGACACCATCCTGGCCTGTCAGCACGATCGTCATGCGCGACAGGTCCTCGACCTCAGTGCTGCACACAACGAGGGAGTCAATGTTGAAGCCACGGGCGGCAAGGATTCCGGACACACGAGAGAGGACACCCGGCTCGTTCTGGACAAGGCAGTTGAGAATGTGGCGTGTAGATGGGGCTAGCGACGGAGTTGGGGTCTCGTATAGGATGTTGGAGACGGCAGCTTGCGCAGACCACGACGGCGGCGCATCGCTCACCGGGAGAGGCGCCTGGCGGCGCCGAAGGGCCTTGTAGGCGATAGCGGACGTGGAACTGCTTGTGTTGGAGCTGTGCCGTATGCTAACGGTGGAGGTAGGGAAAGTCGCCTGACAACCCTTGGCCGAGTGGAGGCCGGAGGGCAACACTAGACGCCATGGCGACGAAAGCAAGAGGTGGCGAGAAGCCATGATGCAAATGGCGATGTGGGAATTTAGATCAAGCCCTATCGCCAAAGGGCATTGTCCCCGAAAATTATTTCAAAAAGGACAATTGGAGGTGAAAAAGGCACGTATAAGAAGCGGCCTAGGCAGCCAATTGGGCGTGTTTGAGGTGCCTTTTCGTTCGTCGTGAGTCAGAAGATGAGAGAAGGAGGCGGAGGAGGGAAAAACGAGACGAAATACGGAATAGTGTCAGCGGACCAGCCAGACCAGACGAAAAAAGAAACCCGACTTAGCACAATTAGTTCATTGAATGCAAAAAACACTACTGTGACAGAACAGCTTATAATCAAATCGTTGGTGGAGCCCAATACAAAGACGTTATCGGAACCGGGACAAAATTTTCACGAGCTCAATGTCCTGCGGGAGTAATGCTCCAGTAAAATTGAGAGCGGAGGACGTATTTGGTTTATTTTCTGTCAGGCTGGCATTTCTGATTTCTGGAACCTTTGCACACCCCGCCTGCCCATTCATTGGCTCAGCCGGCAGGACAATCCCCCAATGCGTTCAGCCTCACATGAACCAGTTAACCTCAAGCCTACCAAAAGGCGTACGACGGTACAAAAGCAATCTGACCAGCATTCTTGAATACCCTGACAACCCTCACCGTTCACTACGGCCTCCACTCATGTACAGCATCGCAGTGAGCGTTCTGTGCCCGGATTACATCGAGCTTTCCAATTGTCCCTCTTTTGTGCTCCATATTTCGTCAGAGGTGTCCTGTCTCACTTGTTTCCTTGTCAGCGATCGCGCCTCGTGGGCCCCGTTGATGTCCGTGGATCATGGACTCTAGCGAACGCAAGACTACAAAACGGTCGCGTTTTGATCAGACTGAACCGGAACCCAAACGCATATCCCGTTTCGATCGGCGCTCTCGCTCCCCCACTGCCCGACGGGTCGATGCGGCGCGCGAGCATCCTCTGCCGTCACGCGAGCCAGGTACGCCCGGCGACCAGGAGCCCAAACGCCATGACCCTGCTGCCGCCGCTGGTACGTTGACAAGACCCCTTTTATCCACCCTTACAACTTTACCTCTAGAGATCATTCGTTTATTCCTTTCTTTCTACCCTGTGTACCTATTTGAGGGATGGCCATTAGCTAACTGTCCTTTCCGAAACAGCGGCAATCGCAGCCAGAATCAGTGAACAGCTGCAGACTCGGAAAAGCAGCAGCCGGGATGTTGATGAGTCTGTAGCAACACCGGTCGCGCCCACGAGCACAAAGGCCACGGCCTTGGCGTCTGCTGCTAATATCAATGGCGAAATTTACATCTCCGACGGAGACTACATAAAGGATGTTGAGGTCAATGATCAAAGAAACCGATACATTGTTACAAAGGCTTCAACACAAAAATTGGTAAACTCCCCGGACATTGCGCCGCAAACCTCGGGCAGCCCCGTTTTCTGTTTCTGGCTAAATTTCTTGGCCAAATGCGCTCTTTTTCGTACATCTGAGATGGCCTCACCTTCTTTCGTCTTGGATGGTTAGGCTCAACTTCCCCTTTGGCAACTGCTGACATCGATGTTACTTTTAACACAGATCAAAGATGAAACTGGCGCAGGTACGCCTACTCCTTTTATTTGTTCTAGTGGCAAGCCGGATCCTGTTGTGTGGAATGATCACTGTTGACGTATTGCCTGCTGTGCCTTGGTTTAGATGTCACGACTCGCGGAAGCTATCTTCCAGATAAAAGCATGGCTTCGGCATCAGTAAGACCTTGGCACTTTTTATTAAATCGGTCGGGAACTGGGAAGATTCTATTTGATACTGATATCGTCGCAGAACCCCCCTTTATATCTACATATTACCAGTACAACCAAGGAGGGCCTGGAAAAAGCCATCGACAAAGTCAACGAGTTACTTCACTCAGAGCTACCGGCCCTCGTAGACGAGAGGCGATTTCGACGTCGCGAAAGAGAGGAACAGCCGACAGGCGAACGAGATGAGTTTGGTCGGGTATGTTTTGTATCATTTTGCTTTTCTTGCCGTACGATTGTCGTTGCTGACACGCCAAACTGAAGAGAAAATGGCCAGATAAGCAAATTCCCGTAAACCTCGACCCCATTCCCGGATTCAACCTGCGAGCACAGGTTGTTGGCCATGGCGGTGCGTACGTGAAGCACATCCAGCAGGAAACAGGTTGTCGAGTACAGATCAAAGGCCGAGGCTCCGGGTTCATTGAGTCTTCGACGGGCAGAGAAAGCGACGAGCCTATGTACTTGCATGTGACGTAAGTCTTTATACTCATTTCTTCTATCTCATCCCCCTTGTTTCATTTTTCCCCATTTACATTTGATCCAGTTTGTCATGCATGGATACGGGGCATGGTTTCACTAACATCGCCAAGCGCCCCAGATCCAGACATGGTCGAAAAAGCTAAAGATCTTTGCGAAGACTTGTTAGCAAACGTGAAAGACCAATATGAGTCTTTCAAGAGCCGCCCCCAACGCCCATATGGTGGACAAGGTAGCTATGTCGACCGCCATGGAAATGGCAGCCAATACAGCCATTACCAAAGCTACTCTGGAAGTCGCGAGGGCTACAACGGGCGCGGGGGACGCGGGGGCTACAACGGGTATGGTGGGCACGGTACCTATGGCAGACAAGATCGTGACAGAAATGAGCAAAGTGGCTACAACTCGCCAAATTCTGCCACGGGCAATAGTAGCAGCGTTGTCCCTGGTCATGCAAACCGGAACCCAGCCCCCAATGCCGCACCAGTCGTCCCTACTGCCCCACCTTCGACCAACACCGAAACTGCTTTACCAACTGGTAGTGCGGACTATGCGGCTCAGTATGCACAGTATTACGGGAGTAATGATCCTTATGCGCCGTATGGCGGCTATGCTGCGTAAGTTTACTTTAGTTGCGGTGCTTGAAGCGATACTTAGCTTACAACGGGAATGCCATTTTTTCTCGATTTAGTTACGTCCAATACTACCAGCAGTACTACGCAGCGGCACAACAAGCCCAGCAGCAACAGCAAGCAGCACCATCTACGCCGCCTGGTGTTGGCCAGACATCGACAACCTCGTCGCCGCCTCCACCCCCGCCGCCGCCTGGGGACGCTCCTCCTCTACCTCCACCGCCCCCGAATTCTGACGGCGTCTCACCAGTAAGCAAATGTGCCTCTGAAATATGCCCTTAATATCTGACAAGTTTTGTATTTATTAACAATACGAAGGTGCTACCACCACCAGGGCTTTAAGGTGAAGTGCAGGCTTATAAGCTTCTATACCTGATGGATTTTCGACTCCCCTGTGGACCGATCGACTTTGGCTCGTTTCCCGCCAAAAAACAAAGTTCTAGGAATTAAATTGTAGCAAAGTTCACTAGACTCGATTAGAACCGAGACATGTTAAATCTGGGTTATTTTGGTATGTACCAATCGCCAATATTAAGCAGCGTCAATCGATATGCAAGTAAGCGGGTTCAGAGGCCAGCCCTATTAGGTACATAATAAGCTCATACCATAGATTGGGTGTGTTGACTTTCAGTATTGCACCACGTTCTTTCACTTGTGTCTTTCACGTTCCCAGAATGCTCCATTTCACGAAAGGCCAAATATCCACAACAACAAAGCACTCTATATCGCCCTTTGCACATAAGCGGTCTTTCTCACAATGATCCACCAACGTTTTCCATCCCAGGATGTAATCAAGGAGCCACATCCCATTTCACTTAAAGTTCTCAGGCAAGATGAATACTATCCCGACTGAGCTGAACGGTGTTTTAGGCACCTATGTTCTATGCTAATACAAGACATTCTCAGACTATCACGGCCCGCCCTCGTGTCCCAGTACCCTGTAGCTGCACCACTTTCATCGGAGGTGTCACCTCTGACCGCACAGGCTTCGCTGGCCTTTCGGGGACATAATTCGGATTACCTTGCATCCAGCACCAATCCAGACCCATTCCTGTTAAGCCCCATACTGAATTTTCCACCGTCCTTCGGGTCCGCATATGTCGGCGAATCTTTTGCTTGCACATTATGTGTGAATTACGACATGGTAAAGGCTGCCGATGCCGAAGCCACCAACTCTGCAGCACCCAGTACTGGGTCAACGAAAACGATACGCGATGTGCGCATTGAGGCCGAAATGAAAACACCATCAACTGCTGGGGTGGTGAAACTTGACCTCATCCAGGACGAAAACTTCGTCCGTGGCCATGCTGTCCGCGACCAAAATAGTGCACCCGTAGTAGCTAGTGGCACCGGGGGCGTTGATCTTAAATACGGGCAGACGCTTCAGAATGTGGTTCGCTTCGATCTTAAAGAGGAGGGCAACCATGTACTCGCCGTGACGGTCAGTTACTATGAGGCTACGGAAACCAGTGGACGCACGCGAACGTTTCGGAAGCTGTACCAGTTCATCTGCAAGTCATGTCTTATTGTGCGAACGAAGTCCGGGCCATATGCTGCATCAATGTCAACGCGGCGGCTCCACAAGGCCGGTGGGGATGCAACGCTCCGGCGCTGGATATTGGAGGCACAGCTGGAAAACTGTGGTGAAGATGTCTTACAGCTGGGCCTCGTGGCGCTCCAACTTGAACCGGCACTTACCTACGAGAGCTGCAATGACTGGAACGATGATGTCAAAATGCCATCATCAGCGACCGGCTACGGCAGTAAACGACCCATTCTTCACCCCGGAGAGGTAGAACAAGTGACTTTTTTGATACAGGAGACAGTTCCCGGGTTGCTAGAGGAAGATAGCGGCCGCATAGTGTTTGGTGTGCTTGGGATTGGATGGCGAGGCGAGATGGGGGGCCGGGGCTACTTGTCTACGGGCAAACTGGGCACCCGCGCAAGCCGATAATCAGCCATCAAACACCTCGCTCACAGGGTCGGACTGTGAGAATCGCGTTTGCCCATTACATACAGAAACACAACGCCTCTTGCCATGGCCAATGGCAGAGCCATGGTTGTAAAGCATTACCACCGAAAGTGGGCGCTTTCTTTAAACCAAAATGGTACAGATACATCCTATTTATTCACGAGACGGCCAAAGGCACAGTTACTGCTGGTAGTCATACTTTGAACCTAACATGCGTTGGCGGCACCATATCGAGCTCAGCACTCCCGGCCTACACACCCTAACCATTGATTTCGTCAAGGCCGCTTAGAGTCTTGGTCAAAGTGCTCCGTACGACAGTAATTGCAGCATAAAACATCGCGATTTGCACTGCTGTGCTAACGAATAAGAAAACCCAACCCGCCGGACTGTGTAGAGCTCGATCGGAAACTGGCGCTCTGAGTGTGTGAGAAGGACGACTAGTAGTCTGTGGAAACTCAGTGATAGTTCCAAAGAAGAAAGAGGAAGGACTGGGCGCCGATACAAATGGGCCACTAGTGACTTGCGAGTATCATTTAATATGTGTATGATATTATTTCTCGTGAAGGCTAGAATGAGAGTTTCCGTGCTGTTCTTCGACAAAGAGCAAGGGACCCTTGTCTACCTGGAAACACGTCCGTACAAGCAGCTATGTGCGGTGGCATTTTCGAATACTCCATATAACACGCAGGGAATTATAGATAGACTAAATACCCGACTGGGTCTTGATGCGACAGAATGCGGTGACCGGGAACGGGAAGCAAAGACGACAAAGATCGCACTTCTGTGCCTCTCGGCCAGCTGGCCCGAGAGTGCGGATGTAAACCCTGTTTTGATGAACGTTATCAGATTCGTATACGGATCGTAGCTCGTTTGTGAGTTTGTCGTATGTGGTATTTCTCTATTCGTCTTGTCCCTTATGAGATGCTTCGACGTCGCACAAGTGGTACGACGCATTTCAATTCGAGATGTAAAGTAATAATGCCTGTTTATATGGGAGTCTCTACCCGTAAAGTACGCCATCTCTAGTGGGCTTAAGATTACAAGAAGGGAGTCTCATTTTAAAAAATATTGCATGCGTAAAAGGTCGTAAGTCACTGCGATGTACGACGACATATGTTCCTATATGTCTAACTCCTTGGCCGTTGCCCCTACGTGCATTTTGTTGCAAGACGGGCACTAGTGACGCTCGTCCGCCTTACTATCGAATTCTAACCGGTAGACGTGACGGAATACCTCATTTACGCTATGGATTTTCACCGCGATGCTCCCTCCGAGTGCCATGCCTTGTAATTAAATTACGGTGTAAAAATGTGCACTGCTAGTCATTTCTTCAGCGGAGTTTGTTTCTCCCTTAATTCTATGTGGTAGATTTGGTCTAGCAGTAATCTACATTGTCTTATTGCGGGGCAAACTCCCCGTTTCAGTGTTTGTTTGCCCCAGAGCCGCCGTATTCTCTTCTGACGTGGCCACCAATTCTCACCCCCCCCCGGGCCTGGTGGGGCCTGACAGCTTCCCTCGTGTTTGCTTTCTATCCCATACTTTTTTCCCATCCCTTTGCCAATTTTCCCGTCCTCCCCACCTTTTATCTGCCCGCCCCAAGTCACGGGCATTGGTGTCACCCCTCGTAACCAATCCCATTTTTCCAGGGCTTTTCACCAGAGCATGCTTGTTTCTTTGTCTTTGGCTTTCACCCGCCGACTTTTGTACCCCTTGACCTACAGTGTCTGGGTTCTTTTTTTATTTTTATTTTTTTATTTTATTTTTTCACAGTAACGGCGATCACCACTCCAATGTTGCGATCGGGAGGCCCGAGACCTGACAGCGACCGACCCGTTGTTAATTATATCGCGGCCCCTGATAGCCGTACTCCGCCTTCCGATATACCGATATACTGATATCTATCCTCCTCCTTACGGTTCACCACCGGCCACTCGCCTCCTGAATCTTAGCCTCTCTTCTCAGCGCAGCGCATACGAGTTTCTCTCATATGCCGTCATGGATTCGTCCGCGTCTACACCCTTGGCGGACTACTTCTGGATCGCCGGTGTCGAGTCAATTTCTTATCAGGACCCCTTATTACCTACCCAGTCCTCTCAGCAGGTCAATGAGACCATAGATGAACATGGCGAACCTGAGCTGGCTGACGCCTCTCAGGGCCCGGCAGCATACCGAACGAACACGCGTCACTCCCGCCAGAGTTCTGCGAACCGCCTTTCCAAGCTATCTTTCGAAAACCGCTTTTCGATGCAAACACTTGAGGATCTCGACGACAATACACGCAGCAACCGCAGCAGCACAACCATCAAAGCGCCCTTGCAGACAAGGGCGAGTGCGACAAGCCTTTCAAGCTCCACGAAAGCGACACTGGAAGGCAATCCAAACGGTGCTACAAGTGCTAACGGAACAGTCAGCCAGGCTGATGTCGACTTTGATCAAATGCTACTTAAATTCGCTGTGGAGCGGGAGAACTTTCTTGAGGATCTTAGTTTCAGTGCGGGCGCGAAATTACACACAAGACCGCCGATGATCAGCCCACGTCCTGAAAAAATAAAGGTCGACGACGGCGAGCACACTGGCCGTCGTAGCCCACTCCGCGGCATCAAGGGTAGCATTCGCCGAAAGTTAAGTTTCCGAGACATGAACAGCGTTCGAAAACCTCACAATACAGCGCGAACAGGTGAGAGGAGAGCCAAGGTGGCAGCAAGATTACCCCGGAAAACCTTGTACCAAACTGACCTTTTCTCTCTTCCTTCTTTCCCCCTTGATACCAGCCTCCGTACGTACGAGCAAACGATTGAGCAACTACAACTCTGTCATCCCACCTCCTGAGCCCTTGAATTCCGATACGGACATGCACCCTCTGAAACGGCGGTTTGAGCCTATTCTACTAGACCGATACCCTCCTCGGGATGCCACAGAGGAAATCCTTCGCAGGGGCAAATTCCCCGACTATGTACCCATGTTTGCTTTCCCTAACGACATTCAAATTGTTTCGTCTGACGACCGCCCTCGGTCTACCTGGCACGGGTTTACTATGACGTCTGACGACAACTCCAAAATGTACGGCATTTGCATTACAATATGGACTGTCCTGAAAGCAGACACCGCCGAAGAAGTCGAAAAGCGATGTGAGCAGTGGCGCCAAAGCCACATGTTGGATGAGGAGCGAGAACTAGCTGCTAGTTTGGGCATGCGCCTTGCCGCAGAAAGAGCAAATCTTTCCCAATTGCTCGCCAAGTTGCCTGGAATACCGTCTGGCTCACCAGCGCGAGAAGTATTGGATGACCAGATCAGCACAGTCGAGGAAAAGATCAGCCTGATGGCCGAGATGCTTCGGCCTCTCCGGCACGGTGCCGCCTCCAAAATCGATGGACTGACTTCGGGCGAAACGGGCCTTTGGATACCCAGAGCCTATGGCATTCTGGGACGCGACCATACACGGATGTCTTTTTGGAAGGAGTGGCTGAGGGCGGTCATTGTTCCCATGACTGATGGGGCTGTCTTGCGCATTCCTCCCAGCTCGCCAAAGGTTGGCCGGTGGCAGCCCCTAGAGCGTTATGTGGTCAACCTGTGCACTGAGGCTTTCAGCCCACTTAGCTCCAAAACGCAGGTTGAGCTAGGGGTACGCGAGCTCCGACTATATGCACGGAAAGAAGCGGCCAACGAACTCCCGGGCAGTCGGAATGTGGATTTGTTTGCACTTTTCCGCTGCCTATCACTGGAGAATATTGTCACGCTGTTCGAATATGTCATGGTCGAGTCGCGCATCATCTTCATTTCCTCTCATTCGGCCATGCTATATCTTGCATGCCACGCCATTGCGAATCTGCTATACCCGCTAAAGTGGGCGAGTATATTCATCCCATTGCTACCTGCACGCCTTTTGTCGGTCGTAGATGCCCCATGTCCCTACATTGTTGGCATAGAACGACGCTATGAACGTATCGATCTTCCAGAGGACGATTTTGTTCTAGTTGACCTTGATAAAAACACAATCGAGGCCACGTCCTCTCCTACACACATGCCGCGCCAACACCGTCGCAAGTTGCTGTCCCTTCTACAAATGGCCGCTCCGCATCAACTACGCTATGGTGTACCTCCAGGGCCGCCTCCATATGCTATGGAGACGTTCCCATACGATTCCTTTTCCGCCGAAAATGAGTCTCTGTTGAACCCCATAGCGCCTCCAGCCACTCTTGGCAAATGGGTGACGCAAAATTCGACTAGCTTTGGAGAGCCGGAGGCCTCGGGTGCGTTGCGAATCCCTATCTTTAACGCATTTGTTCAACTCAGAAACGAGTTTGCCCGTGCCGACCGACCTCATACGGCGAGATCCAACAAAACTAGCCCACCTGCTTCACTGTCTCCCATATCTACAAGCTTTCCACAAGTTCCATTGACTCCCGTATCACGAAGCGACTCTGGTTTTGCTGTTACCCAGACGTTACGCGAGAAAAGGTCTGGGCATTTTGACGAAAAGTCAAGGCGAAGCTCGTCATTTGGCGTTGCAGATCCGAACCATCCTCTACACAGGCCCAGCCTGCAGTATCTCAACGGCCACAGTCACACACAGAGTATGTCCATCTCAGCAGTTTCAGTTGATTCTCAATCTTCGTACGGCGGGTATGCCCCCTCGACGTATGCACAATCTACGCTTGCAGCGTCTACTGTGATGCCAAACATGATAGTCCAACCCGTGCGCAACACGGAGACGACAATGTGGGTCGAAGGGCATTGCTTTACTTGGAGCCGTGAGGATGCATCGGGGACATGCGGCATCTGCGAGGAGCGTTCAGATGGTGATGGCCTTTATCGATGTGTAGGGTGCAAGTGCCTTTCTCACAATAGGTGCCTGGGTTTCGCTTCTTTGGTGTGCCCTGAGGCGTTCAGCGCCGACAAGGTTCGAGCTGCTTTTGTTCGTTGTCTCGCCAGCATCTTCTACACATACCGAAAGCACCTCACCCGCCCAACGAAAGAGCAAAGGTCAAACGGGCAAGTATTTGCTTTTGATACCGACGGATTCATCAAGAGCTTGCCCTATGACCAGCAAGAATACGTGTCTATGCTGAGAAATACGCAAGGTAATTAATATTCACTCAACTCCCATTATTAATTCCCACTACACAGTATTTTTGTTCCTTGCATAAACCCGACGGCCATTGTTACGTTCGTATTGCTAACGGTACTTTAGCATTTAACGAGTTCATCTACGAACGCGAAAGGTCCCCCCCGGGACACTCTTCGACAAGGTTATTTGACGAGATCATCCTTGCAAAGAAGGCCCGCGGCCGACCAGTGTTAGGCGGATTTGGTGGCCTGTCACGTCTGTCCACTATTAAGGCTTCGCATGGCGTCTCCTCCGGGACGGTGTCCGGCTCTAAGCAAGCTCGCATACCCCCTTATCTAAGTGACACGTCGGATCATATTTGGCGAACTGCTTCCGTTCCGGTACCGAGCGCGAAGTTTCCCGGTGAATACCGAGCAGTGACAACTAGAGTTCCATCAAAGCTAGATCCGTCGCTAATGAAAGAGCCAAGGGCCATTCAGGGGGTGCCGCGACCGGACCAGCGTGGATCTAGAAATCTGATAAGGAAACAGGTTGCCAGTATGCTTGGCCCACCCGCACCCAACAACGATTTCATCTAAAAGTTGAGGTTTGAGGGTCTTGCTGCAAAATATAAACACTGAAGTGTAACTTATTACAATGATGCTCTGAGAGGTGAAATATACGAAAATTGGTGTCTTTTCCCCCCATGTACATCGTCACCGCATTATTCAGGTTTACAGTTTCCCTCCTTCCTGAATGAAATAAACCAAGCACAGAAGGCGCTGATCGTATTCCCACGGTTCGTGCCATGTATTGATTATCGTGATATCCAAACCGCAAACTTTCATGTGTTACTAAAAGTCAAAGGCAAACAAGAAGCACGCTCTAGCTATAATACAAATGCCGTATAACCGGCCCCTAGACGCCTGTCGTGGATGGTTTCCTATATGGCGGTATCTTCTCATATGCATTAGGGCTGGGCTTTCGTTTTCCTTTTCCTTTCCCTCCATTGCCGTTACCACGCCGAACACGGAAATTACGCGAGTCGGCCTCATCACCACTGGTGCTATAAGCACGTTGCACATTGTCAGGGCGATCGGGTAGGTGCCGATTGTGGCCTGTCAGCCCATTGTTGTTACCTGCGACGCCGGCCAGGCCCCGAAACGCCTGATCCGCATCACTACGCGCCGACAAACCATTGTCGGAATCATCATCCGAGGACGAACTAGAATCGGATTCGGAGGACGATGAAGAGTCGTCACTGGATTCATCAACAGCACGAGGTCGGTGATATATGCAGCAAACTCAGCGTGTTAGAAATTGATAAAATAGACCTGCATGTATCACGGGCACACGCTTCACTAGTCCCCTCCTCTTGAGTTTCCTGTTCCACCCTGGTCCTTCGAGACGTCCAGGTCTAACCCGGTTAGGATTCAAACGCACCTTTTGACTTCTTCCGGTTCATCCCCTCGTTGTCGACAACGCCTTCAGCCCACTGGACGTTCTGACTATCTCGGCTACTGGTTCCTTGTAAACGTAAGATGGCAGGTGATGATTGCTGCTGCTGCTGTTGTTGTTGGTTCGTATCGAATGAAACATCAGGGCCACGAGGTGGGCCACGAATAGTCGTGATAGTTTGGCTGCCTGATGCACCAGTTTGTGGCTGACAGGACAGAAGTTGCCGAGGCGCTATCGGGGTCATCGTGAAAGTAAGGAGGGCTCCGCAGGTAGTTCTTATGTGTATATCGCTGGTTACGACTTGATAGTAAGGATAGTGTGGTTGGCCAGGTCTGCAGCAGTGTTTACCGTGACAAAAACTGAAGTACTGTCACCGAAAATATACCAAAGTGCAAACAACGGTCGTCGGGCGTGCCATTGCAGTGTTGCCACCATTAGCCGCCCCACACTTGGGATGGCTATCCGCCCAAGGACTAGACATTAGTCATGTCAATTTTGTCAATTGGGGCAGGACGGAAATTTGCATGCGCATATCAAAAATCAACTACATTAATTTCACTTCTTATATTCCAATTTTGTCTTTTACAGCAGCAAACTTGATTATTTCCTAATCTACGTGTATAAATAGTAGTTGAGATGATATCAGTATTGTCCATTTTGTCGTCCATGTCCTTGGCGCCATCCTCACTGACCTAATGCACGCATCGAAGCCTTATCTCGCTTTTTTGCACCCTTGAGGCTCATTTTCGGTCGAGCGCGCGTTCTCTTTCTTTTGGTTGATGCTTTCGGCTGAGCTAGGAGCCATGCATTAAGTGGCCTTCGTGATCCGACGAACTTCCCACCGGGACTGTAGACATCGATGATGGGCCATTGAATTTGACCATGGTGACCCCCAGCCTTTCTTTCCTTTTCGCCGACTGTCTCGCCTGTGTCCATTATGGTGTCGGTGTGCTCGGCCACTTCGGGTTCGGAGAGATCAAGCGTCTGAAGTATCTCAGTCGTATTGGTTGCCTGTGTCTCGGCCATCGCCTCCGGCCGTCTACTCGTTCTTTCAGAGAACAAATCCTGGGTGCGCACCTGCGCTACAATTTCGACCCAGCCACAGCCTTCGATTAAGAGGTCAAGGGATACGACCCGGTATGGAAGGCGTTCGACACGGATATTAGCCGCATCTTTTCGTGTGATTGGGCCAGCACGAAGCTTGGTAACGTCGTATTTTAGCTGGAAGGACCCGGCGAGTGAGATATTTTCCGCTGCGTTAGCAACAGCAATGTTTTCCACATTCAGCTCGCTTGTCTGTGTCTGGATGGCTATGGCCTTTTCAGTCATCGTCTTGTGCTCTCGCAAGGGGGAAAAGTTGTACGCCAAAAAAACGAGATTCGGAGTTCGCGGGGTAATGCGGATGAATCCTCCGAGTAAGAGTGACTGCCAGGGGCCCTTAAGAACGATCTGTTTTGGCTTTGCATAAGTCTTCATGACAAGAGAGTTCTTGTGACTTTCTTCCACATAGTCAAATAGAGCTGTTCGTTCCAGGCCAGGAAGATCGATCAGTTCGCCTTTCCCGCTTCCAAATGGGATGCGAATGGGCGACGCTGTCGTGCCAGGTAGCGTAGAAACCACTGGCATTTGCGGATAGTTGGTCTCGGGCGGTCTTGGGGGTAGTAATGTTTCCTCGTTAGTGCTGCTATCAAGGTCCGTATCGCGACTTGCATCGTAAAGTCCAGCCTCGCCTGTATGACCAGAATATAAATCATACCGACCAGTGTTTGACTTCCGCATGAGGAGAAGCGGCTTCTTGTCTTCCACAGCGTCCATGCGGCCCTTTGGGAAAACGTGATGTACCAAATAGCTCTTACCAACGTTCGCTTTCCCAACAAGCCAGTTCGCGCCGCCTCGTTTCCATATTTCTTCTCTGAGCTCGCTTGTCCACCAGTTGCGTCGGGCGCTAACGCAATGCACGTTGCCAAGGCGCACCCTGCGGCCAAGACGACCAAGTGCATCTCGCAAAGTGTCCCGGATCCAAGGCATTAACCTGTCTACCTGGTCTCGCCGTGGTGCAAAAAGGTCTGACCGTGTAATGACAAAACTGAGTTCCGTTAGACGGCTGCCAAAGAACTTGCCAGATTGCGACCGGCGGTTGCGTGAACGTAATGGCATAGTGTCAAGAAGGTTATTTATCCGTGGCAAGAGTGACATGGGGAAGTCGGCGGCGTCAAGAACGTGGTATACATGATTATACTTGTAATGGGATTCGGCAATAGTTTCGCGAATGGCATTGATATCTGGGTGGTGAATTGGAGTACCAGAGCCGTGGTGGAGTAGATCATGGCAGCGGACACACAGAATCGTTGTATTCTCATCTTGACGGGCAGCTGCTGGGGATGTGTAATTAAGCGGTTAGTAATGTCTTTCAACGGGAATATGATTGACAGCAGGCACTTATAACAGTCGCGTCATACTAATACCGGTATGTTTCGATCCCCCTTCTTGTTGGCGCAAGAGGTTGTTGAAGCGGGCATCCTCGTATCCGTTTTCGACTTCCAACCAGCGCAGTGCTTCCTGGACTACCACATCTTCTTTGCGTACGCGTGGAGTATTCCTGGGATGAAGTCCTAGGTATACCATTGTCGATTGCCGTCCAAGGTCATAAAACCCTGGCTGGTCGGCGTGTGTCGTTTGTGAAAATGCACCACACCCCGGGCACTGACTGGGCAACCGTTTTGGCACTCTGGTTCCCGATGAACCTTCCTCCGGTGTTGCGCCCGATGAGATGTCTCCAAGAGTTTTTGGTATAGTGTCGACAGCCGCAGCGGATAACCCGGATATGTATCGACGTCCGCGTAAAGCCCGTGGCCAATTCCCAGATTGTCGTGGCGGCTGCGTTAATGCTGCTATAGTCGAGGTTCGCAACACCAATGGGCAAAGAAAAACAGGCGGCGGACCAGGTAGAGTGGAGAGGACCTTATTGTCAATAGCGAAGACTGTTCTAAGCCAAGCCCGTGAGGCTCCTCCAACGGGAGGCATTGTGTGCAATCGTACAGATCCGTTGCAAACAGCGGGTAAAAGTCGTCTGGAACAGTTTTCAGAATCAATCCAAGAATCTCGATTTGTATCTAGAACACGCGATAAGAAATTTGCCTAGGCTCCATGTTATGGAGTTTAGCCTTTTGAAGACCGTTATCAGCACGTGATCTTAATTGCTACATTGGTCTGTGCGTAAAAAGTTATCAGATAATACGTCGTAAAAACCAACCTGTTTGTAACATTTTCTCGCGATGTGGGGATTCATGAAGCAGGGCAAAATAAAAACGAAACGACGACTTACGACGTGATCAGCAATCCAATCTGTTTACACAACACAGCGCGATAACTAGGGATACCACACGGGATTTCGGCCCACAGCATCTGACGGGTCTACTTGCGGCGGCTTTTCTGTGACCTATCAATATGGTTGGCGTCGTCCGTCGCATGAATAAATTGAAGACTGTAAGTTACATTTCGCGGATGCCGCACCCGTGCATAGCTTTCCGTTGCAACGCCCTACTGACTTATGGCAACGCTTCTCCATATACAGGAGGTACATAAGACTTGAATTTTCAAAATATGTTGAGAGGCTACTGACGCAGTCGACAGCTCCTCCGCCTCCGTCACGGTCCCGGTGCCGCCATACTCCCAAATGAGGTCACAAGATTACACTTGGAATTTGCAAATCGGTGGAACGATGGGCAGTACGGCCCACGGTGAGTACCCTACCAGTGGGAGTTGTGGAAACCATGAGACAAGCGTGGTATTCTGAATTAATGTCGGCATGTAGCTGATACGGTGGCCTTGCAGGAAGTTTTGGCAGACCTGTCTTCCTCGCTTAAAATACTGGAACCCGGCCACCCCCATGATTGTTAACCGGACTACCGATACTACTGGACCAGCGACATTGACAATCTACTTTCGGGAGAAACATGGCAACTCGTCGGCTTCCGCATTTCCTGTAACTCCGGACATGCAACCGGGCTCATCTTTCACCGGGTCGTCAAAGGCACCCGAACCCACTGCCGTAGAAAGCACAGTCAAGATTGACATGAAAGGACTTCACTCCGATGCAATTCTACAAGATTTCCTGGCTAAGTCAGGTGCTATCACCGTGTCTCCAACTCCCCAAGAGGTGGCAGAAATGCGCGACGTGGAAGAACGTGCTGAGCGCGCCAAGGTGGATCGTGAGGTCATGGCTAGGTACATATTTACAAAGCGGAGGGAGGCCTCGATTATTGCACAGGCGAAGAGTGAGGCAGCCGCTATGAAACAAGCCCTGTAAGGGGCAACTTACATTCACATTGTTCGATAGAAGGTCACGACAATGCCTTATTATGGAGAATACGAACTACATTCATTACACTGATACGGTTTGCAACGTCAGCACTGCCTAATTGGTACGACAGCCTGGCATGGGGCGGATGTTCTGTTCATCTATACTTGGTCTCTGGGCCTGGCCGCCAGAATCCCCCTGCCGCACGAGCCACACACCAACCATTCACTCAAACATGCATAAAGCTACGACTTATTTCAAGCCAAAACCTTCACTGCCATACACAGCCCCCCAAAGCATCGCCTGCATGGTCTCTCTTGACGTGTATCGGTAGAGCGTGAGGACGTTGAAACATGTCCTGGCCGTTGGGAAGCGACCGGTATTGTCACCAAGACAGAGTATTCGAATCGATAGCGATGCTGGCCCAGTAACGGGAATGCGGTCGCTCCCCGTGATGAAGATTAAAAGTTTCCGTTGGTCTTCTGAAGATGCTTCTTCAAACATATCCCAAAACCACTTAACTGTCGGTTCTGTATCGGCGGGGTTTGTAGAAGGCCAGTTTTCATAACTTGCAGCAAGCCGTAGTTCAGCGACGTCAAGGGGCTCAGCTGAGCCACGAACGAGAAGGTCAATCTCATCTGGTTGAAACAAACCCAGTGCATTGCAGCCACACACCGTGAAGAACCCACGCTTGAAAGGTTCAAATTGGCGGGAAACGGCGGTGTCAAGCAAATATCGGGTGTATAGACGGACGTATTCCTCCCGATTTGATTTATTCACTGCCCGAGATTCTCCTCCGGGACAAAGAGGTATCGCATCTACCTGGCCAAACCTCTCGATAGACACAGTGAATTCAAGGCCGAAGGTAGACTCAACGTCGCCGTTATAGTCGAGTAATTGCTGCAAACCTTTGGCCAGTAGTGGCCGAAATTCTGCAAGATCGGCCAATGTGTACGCCATATGAGGGCGTGGCGAAGTCGTCTGTCCCCCGGCTGTTGATGTCGGCGCGGCAAACAGCAGTTTCCTGAAGGCAAATGGAGGTAGTGCCACATCCAGAATAGTCGAATTATAGATGGCCAGCCCCAAGACAACGCCGACAAGGAAAAATTGGTCTGATGTTTCAAATGAAGCAGGATTGAAGTAGCAGTAATGCGAATCTTCATCGTATACAAACATGCCTAGATTTGTCAGGCTAGGGTCAAGAATTTTGAGGGTAAAGAAACGCTGTTGTAAGAGTTACCATGATCAGGGTTGAACAACTCTCTCACCAATAAAAGAAACCATTCTTTCCGTAGCCCCCCAGCATCGATTCCTTCTTCACCGCTAAAGATGATGCGCAGGCCTTTCTTGATGTCATCCGTGCCACTTCCAATGGCTGCGCTGACACCCTTGAGGCTGTCTTCGACGAGACAATCCCGGCGAACAGTCAGAACGAGGTGCTGGTCGAAATTTCTTCGCGTCATGATGCTGTCGAAAAAGGCATCGCGAGCTTTGTTTTTCATTTGGCGACGAGCCTCATGCTCGAGAATTTGTATTTTAGCCCAAATGCTCAGCAAAAAAGGGTATTGACAGAAGGCAAACTGGCTGGTCTTTTGTTCCCATCCCTCAAAATCAGCTACAAGGTCACAGTCATCCAGCAATGTTATATAGAAGTCAGATGTCGGCACAATCTGTCGTTTCTGGTGGCCAGTAAGTTCTGAACTGTTGACATTCGTTACCTTGCCAGGAACCCGGACTAAGTTCTGGTATGCTTCCGAAATATTGTTGGCAGCGAAGAGAAGCCTCAACACGCGGACAGCCGCCTTTACTTGCCAGTCATCGCCGTGTACCAACTTCTTTTTTGTGGAATTCTTGTTAGCTTTTGCCGAACTGATGTTTTGGTTCAAAGCAGCGTGGAAGGATGCCGCTGTTGCGCCTTCTGGAACCTTCGGTACCAGCGGATCAGAAGTTTCTGTTGTCTTGTTCTTGTCCCTTTTCTCGTTATATCGCGCGAGGCGATACGCCAGGAACCCACTGACGAGGTCCTTAAGTTGCAAAAACCTGTCTACTGGAAGGTGCGCAAAAAAGGCAATTATTTGGCCATGCCACTTTTCAGGAGAGTTTGAAAGAAGGCCAAGAATACGTTTGATGATGACCGAGTGTTGGCCTGATGCAGGTCCTGTCCCCCAAGTTGATCCAAGCCTTGCCTCGGGCCGTTGTTTTCGGTCATCCACAGTATGTTGTAGTACCCCAGTGAAGAAACTGCTCTGCGCATGCAGGAGAGGATTTGCAAGGGCGATAATAAGAAAGCGGTAATCGCCCACTTCACCAATGCGACGACCCGGCCGTTTCAGCACAGTCTCTGTGGCTTTGAGCAAGACGCGCTGGGTATGCTGCTGCCCCTTCAAGATGCATGACTCGACTTCGCTGAGCAAAACAGGCGATTGGGGATGGTATCTCCCATTGCCAACAAGCTCGTTGTAAACTGACTCCCATGATGCGCCGGAATTGATCACAGCGTTGTACCATTCGTCGACCGAACCCCAATCAACATCACTCGTCATCGGGGCATCAGTGCCTCTATTAGTTCTGACTTCGCTACCCCGGCGGCGAGAAAAGCCTCGGATCGGTTGCATACAGTGTTGAATATCAGGTCGCCAGGAGCTGTTTTCGGAGATTATTGTAGAAGAAGAAGAGTCATGGCGCTTGTCAGACTCGAACGGTACTGTCGTGACGGGCGATTTTATTTCCTGGCCCGCTTTTTTTTGGTTTGCGTAAAGACCTTCGCATTTGTCTTTGAAGTCAGAAATATTTGTCGTGGGCACAAAAGAACCATCCAAGCTGTTTATGGAAACGATATGTCGAATGACATAATCTTCCAAAGCCTGAAATATTCTCTTCGCCTCAATTTCCTCTCGCTTGTCTCCTCTTACAGACAACACGTGCGAGGCGTTCGAAATCGGCGATGCCTGCTGAGAGACTCTAGATGAAAAAAACATGGCTCCATCAAGCTTCGAATGCCGATGCTGGCCGGAGATACGGGATTTTGGAGGAGTGCGTGGTCCAACCGGCGCGTCATTGGGAATTGTCTGCCGAGAATTTCGTCTGGGGCGCGAAGGGTGCATATCCACGACGGTCAAAACGGTCTCAAGATAATCACGAATACACTCCGAGACTATGTGTTGGGTTTGCTTGACGGAGATAGGGTACGAAGATGTGGCCTGTGGCTTCCAAGTGGTGGCGAGATTTGCGTTAACAGGTATGAGGTCGTTCACGGTCAGACATATACCACACCGGAATGCTTCCGCTCCACGAGCCCATCGCATGAGTGATCCGCATGTAATACAGGGACCGCTTGCAAAGCTGGGTCTTTCGCTTCGGCCAACGCCAAAGAGCGTTGGAGAATGGGCCGCATCCTGCTGTTCACGTCGAGTCCTTGTTGAAAGCATTTCGCCATCTGTGCCGGATGTAGAACCGCCAGATCCGAACGACGACTCGGTATGAGCAGCCTTTTTCTTCTTCGGTGAGAACAGGGAGGGAAATGGGTTGCTCAACGAGCGTGAGTGACTGGATCCTGCAGTAGTTCGTCGCGTGGCTTGATAGCCGGGGTCAGACGAGTCCGTTTCAAAATGCAATTGAGAAATGGTCAGGTTCGGAAGTGCAAGGTCAGGTACGGCGACAGACGCATCCTGCGTATGCTGTGTACGGCGAGTTTTTCCGGATTTCGGTTGTGCGCCGCTTGATTGAGATAATGAAACAACCGCCGAGATGTGTGATGTCGATGTCGAAGTCGAAACCGACGCAGGTGCACATTCGCGAGAGCCAGCCTCGTCATGAACACCGCCATATGATGCTACATTTGGCGGGCGGATCGGTTCCCTTGTCATGTCGGTGGGTTGAATGCACAGTCAGATAATAGACCTGTGGAACGTCGAGCCGTGAAATAGGCCATTCAGTGTTAAGGAAACGATGCAAAAATGGTCAGCTTTCGAAAGTTAAGAACGCCCTGTTGAATCGCAAACCAGCTATTTGCTTGATTCACCAAAGTGGCAACATTCAAGCAGGGCTTATCTCTCGTCCGTCGACTGGCCAACCAGGGAGCAGTGGCTGTTATTAGACTCTGGCAGGTCGAAACCCAAAAAGACAGCTGCGTCACTGTCCACAGTGCCGTGGGGACATATACATTTAATTGGTGGCATGTCTTTTTTCGAGAACGACGGCGAAGTACGGAATACAGTATTACGCATCCGCCGAGCGTGGCTCGACCGGCTTAGCCGTGGGAGCTTAGCGTCCAAATGCAAGGATAACGAAACGACACCAGTCCCACTTTTACCGATTGGTCCTCAGTACAGTTGTATCTTATTTTGTATTCACGGGGCATGTTCGACGGTATCGTGACCAGGGTGCAGAACATAGAGAACGGAGGCTGGAGACTGCAACCATGATTAGCCCCAGCCTTCAAAACTCCGTGACTAGCATCTGCACCAGCTTGATATTTATATCAACGCGACCAACTCCGCTTTGCCGAGAAAGTGTGGCATTCGCTACCTATCTCTCAACAAGAGCAAGATGGTCCAACGGCCACGTCTTCTAAATCCAATACTACAGCAATTGCTCTGATCAATAGCCACATATGTCCTTCCTCTGCTAGACTCCAAGCGCAAGGGTAACCTAATGTTGCCGTATGCGTGCGGCACCGCCAAATAAGTGCAGACCCAAGCAGGCCTCTCTAACTCTCCCGTCAAGCAATGCCCCTGTTTCTAAAATATGTTTATAGATAAAAATAAGGCCCTGATTAGGCCACTCTTCCATGTGCTACGGTGCCGCTGGCAGTTTATACGTGCCAACCCATGAAAATCCATACCTACTATCTCTTTACAGGTACACTTGGTGCATCCCAAATATGAACCACTATTACCACCTCACAGGATGTCTCGGCCCAACTCATTCGCTTCATTATAGTAGACTGTTCGGTCATCGTACACCTTGCTGCCTCCTTGCGTAATTTCAATTTCAATGCTGTGTATGGTAACACCAATTAAGTGTTCAGATTTTCCTGTCCTACCGCGACCGACCCAGCATATCATGCAATGCCAAACCCCGAGTATGGCAAGCAATATTTTCTGTCACCAGATACAAGTTTAAATTTACGTTGGCAGAATCAGTATGGTCCGCCATACGCATCCATTGCCAGCGGTTGACTGTAGTGGCACAGTGATACGAGAAGGAGAGACTGTAGAATCTGAAGAAGTGAAGGAACAATCACTATGGTAAGAATGGGGTTCCTGAATACACAGAGTAATACATGGCCGGGCCAACCCCAGGACAAACATATAACAAACCAGAAGTAGAAGGTGCAGGTCGGTGCAGACCCCACGCGATGCTCATTCTCTAACAAACTCGTTCGTTCCTTCCTTCCTCGTAAGTGTTCCTCGTTTCTTTAGCCAATTGAAAGGCATCATATTCACTTTGTTCCTCTGCTTTTGGCAGTCGCAACGCGGTCCCTCATAGCAACACTTCACATATCAATTGTTATGGTGGTGGCCAAGTGGCCGGTGGCTCCTTCCTCGTTGGTATTGTTTATTTTGCCCTGGCGACCAGTCGCCCGTCAAATGACCATGGCGTCACCCTCAAACTCTCCCACATCCGCTCTTTTATCCTCAATACATAACAAAGAGAGCGTCAGAGAGGAGAAGTCAACACTATCAGAAGAAGAAGCACAGCACATTTCCTCCTTTACTGCCGACACCTCGCAAAGGGTGGATCAACCTGGGGAAAATATGGCACCGCGAAGCTCCCAACGCGGCGGTGGCAGATCAACAAACATCCAACGTCGTGAGGCAGATCTCAGTGGGATCATCTCCACCGCACAAAAGACTGAGCTAGTACTTTTGGTTGCCTCTATTACGAGCGAAATGCAGGAACACGTTTGTAAAGTCTTCGATCACCAGCCTTCATCCACATTCTTCCGGCCCGTGCATTATTCCAGCAACTCACACGCGAAATCACCACCGCTCATGTCCAGTGGTCGCAATGTCGTTGTAAATCAAATCCATGGTCAATATCCGCATGCTATGGGGTTCGACGGTGCACAGGGAGAATTGAAGAGAGAGGCCCTGTCATCATTCCAGAAATGGCAGGCAGCCGTCACAAAGCGAGTGTCTGAGATCCGTGCTTCAGGCGACCAAATGCAACAAGCGCCTCAAACCCAGGGGAAAACATTCAACAACAAACAATCCGGTAGGGCGGCCGGTACGGGATTTGATAGAAATGGCGGAATCAACACTGGAAGGGCAACACCAAACGGTGAGTTGACAACAGTACAGAAAAACACTGAATGAACGGCTAATAAACGAAGCAGACGCAAGACCAACTCTCGCTGTTGAAGTGGTTCAACGTGGTAATGTGTTAAAAGCACCCGGAGTTTCAAATGGCTCAATTACACAGTTGAATATGGAGAGACGGCAGCATCTCCTCCACGTTCTTATTCTGCTGATTGTATCTTTGGAAACATACCAAGCTTACTCGCGTACTTTTATGTCCCGCATTGCCGCTCATCTCCGAATTCCCCAAGACGTTATGGCAGAGGAGGAATACCGCATCGCCCTGGGTCTTTCGCATGCTGCAAGCAATGCTTTCAACGAAGAAGCTGTTTTTAAGAAAAGTGACGAGGGGCGGAGAGAGAGGAAGGGACGGGCTGCCGGCCCAAACAGATCATCCACAACATTGAAGCTGGCACATTCCCTCGATGTCGCTAAAGTTGGATCACTTGCAGGAGGTCATGGGCTCGGATCTACTGCCACAGCATCAGTGCTTGGAACCATGGGAACCCTATTGGATGGCGGACTTGCAGTCTGCGTGTTCTTCGGAATGTGTGGACCGCGTGGTTCTTCTGCAAAAACACTGGATGCATTCACGAAAGATGTGCAAGATGTGGCTTTGCTGCCACTCTATGGCGCGCAAAAGTTGCAGATTCACGAGAGCATTATGGTCATGCCTACCGAAAGGCGCCTCCGTCTCACGATTGGTATCAACGGGTGGCTATCCAGTAGGGAAGACACCAGTGGTCCATGGAGCATGTTGGGCAATAAGAGTGAGGCATATACTCTCAACTGGGAGCAAGAAACCCTCTTCAAAATCGGTGCTTCGATAAACTCAGTCGCTAGCAGTGTGGCATGGCAAAACGCCAAAAGAAACCTTGAAACCCGAAATTGTGCGTTGCCCTGCTAGCTGCGACTTCTCTTGAATCGCCTCCTCAGAACAAATCACAAAGCTAACCAGACACTGTGAGCAGTCCTCGCCAGCCTGGAAACATTAAGATGGCCCAGCAGTCTTTTGAAGATCAGCAAGATTGTCGACAATCCTTGGAGCGTGGGAATGGTGCGCGCAGATAAGGTCGGAATCGCCCTCGCCGACGCCATCACTAACAAAGTTCATGGAGAGCGGGGCGTGTCTATGATCGGGTATGGCCTTGGCGCGCGGGTCATCTATACATGTCTGATGAGCCTATCTGAGCGGCGTATTTTTGGCCAGGTTGAGAATGTGCTAGTTATGGGTACGCCGGCGCCTTCTTCCGGTTGTGTTTGGACGGCTCTTCGAAGTGTTGTCTCTGGCCGACTCGTCAACGTTTTTTCGGAAAACGACTTCATTCTCGGATTCCTGCATCGCACCGGCTGCATTCAATTTGGTGTCGCAGGTCTGCAACGTATCCAGGGCGTATACGGTATCGAGAATGTCGATGCATCGAAACCAATCACGAACCACCTCAGATACCCCAGCCTAGTTGGGAGGATACTCAAAGACGTCGGCTGGGAGGATTTGAACGCGAACGATGACAGGACAATCGAGAGCCTAAACCATGGCAGCTGCGAGCCAGAGTCTTACATGGAGACTAAAACAGTCCAAACAAAAGGAGCATCAACGCAGCACCTGGTGGCGAAAGAAGGAAAGAAAAGGGCAGGAAGGAGAAAAACGGATGCTCCGCTTCACGCCATGAGCAATGTTCGTTGAGTGAAATGTGACAAACAACCGAACCTGTTGCAGCCACTTGCATCGCGTTGAGAGCAGGAAGCTAGATACTACTCGTTAGTTAGCATCGTTACACGCTTTGTCTAATAACGTTCCTATCACTGTTGGCACGAGGAGGCTAGATTATATCCCTCGGTAGGTTGACTTAGCCATAATTGATAGCTTTCATGATGTTAGAATATTGTTACGTGTTACCTACAACGATATACTTCCCCTCCTTCCGGGATGCCGTGTCCGAAATGGTCCAGGCTCCGGACTTCATCGCATCTGCAATGTCTCTACGCCTCCGAGGCCGTCTATGGCGGCCAAAGTATTGCTCCTGCACCAAAAATTTCGCAACCCCATTCACGCCTATTGTCCGCTCCTTCAAAGAACATTGTGTCTCGTCACAAATAGCTTGCAATGGAAGGCTTCCGGTCGCATCGAAATTTTGAATGTCGTGTACAAAATTTAATTGCGTTCGCAGTGCTTTCAGCTTGGCTGCTTGCTCTTGAGGGGAAGAAGTAACTGGAAGAGCGGAGAGCCGGAGGAGACGGCGAAGATTTGAGAGAGTGACTTCAGAAACTAGCCCGTCTGGCGCACCTTTACCCTCAGCTGAAAAATCGAAGAGAGACCATGTCGGCAGTTGCAAGAGTCTTGTCACGTTCAAGTTGTTGTTCGCGGACGTTCGGTCATTGCTGGATTCACTTGACACGGCTCGTATCGAAACGGACAAAAAGTCGCAAGTTTCTCGTGTCTTACTTCGCATTTTCGAAGCGATTGGCGTCGATATAGTGTGAATGGAAAACATTGTGGGTGGGCGGCGTGTAGAAAGGAATAAAAAATATCGCAGTCCAATCGAGTTCAAATTTAAATACAAGATTCATGGTCTGCACGACATAATCTAAACGCGCCCCAAACTTCGTCGGATCATAAAAGTCTTCAATGTGCACAATGTCGTGTTTTGGCGCACTAGGGACTTATTATATAATCCGATGCAACGCACTGTACTTGCACTGTCTCCCCTCTAAACGAGGAGCCCCGCCTTATTGAGGGAGGGCCATGGCTGCTGGTGTTACTCGTCATATTTTAGAGGCCAACATTCGACTCTTCCTTCACAACATAAATGTTGTGTCTAGACGCTCGACGCGAAGCTTCCTTTCCATAACGACTCACCGCAATCGGATCCTTCAACATAGTAGCAACTCAGCCATCACCATGTCACAAGATGCCAATGCCATTCTCCAAAAGGTCCGTATACACCACTGACAAGTCATTCGATACCTTGACAGCCAGCAGCAGCATTGTCGTTTCGAGATGAGAAAAAGTGGCCTAACAGAAATGTAATACGGTAGGCCGACAAGATGTTGGCCAGCGCAGGTACCGGATTCGGGTTCTTCGGCAGTCGCGAACAGAAATACAGGGACGCCGCAGACCTGTATGTCCAAGCCGCCAACGCCTTTCGCATGCAAAATTTGAGTACGTACTTTTGCCGCTCACTGCATTCCGAAATCATTGATAAGCTGCAACAGAATGGTCAACTCTGCCAATCAACATCGTGCCCTGCTAACTGAGCGGTTGTGCTAGATCGCGAAGCTGGGAAAGCTTTTGAAGCTGCCGTTCCCATCCAAAGACAAAAGTTAGACGAGCCAGATGAAGCGGCAAACTCGCTGCTCAGTGCTTTCAAGGTGTATCGGGAGAAGAATCCGGAGGATGCTGCCAGATGCCTTGAAGACGCCATCCAATACTACACCTCCCACGGCAATTTCCGGCGGGCCGCAAAGCAGAAAGAAGATCTAGGTGAACTCTACGAGGAACTCCAGATGTCAGAACGCGCACTTCACAGCTACGAAAAGGCAGCTGCTTGGTACGAAACTGATGGCGCTCAAGCGTAAGTTTTTATCGCATTTGGCTCAAGGATGACTTATATGCTAACCCTTACGGAACTGATAGGCTGGCAAACAAAAACTGGCTCAAGGTGGCCGAACTTTCCGCTGTCACAGAGAAGCACGACTACTACAAATCCATCGAGATCTTTGAACGGGTCGCCCAAAAATCCATTTCAAGCAACCTCATGCGCTACTCCGTGAAGGAGTATTTTCTGAAGGCCGGCCTCTGCCACCTAGCCACTGGCGACATCATCGCTACCCAACGTGGGCTCGAAAAGTACCGTGATATTGACCCGAGCTTCGCTACGACCCGGGAACACCAACTTCTTGTCGATTTATCAGAGGCTGTCGAAGGCGGCGATGCGGACAGGTTCTCCGAGAAACTGTTTCAATACGATCAGATGAGCAAATTGGATAAATGGAAAACAGCAGTACTTTTGCAGATAAAATCGAAGATTGAGGAGGCGGATAACGAGTTTTCATAAGTTGCTATAGGCAAGCACTGCAAGACTTTTATATTGATATACGGATTTTGTACGACTTACTGTTTGCTTCCCTTATTCTTGTACATTGTTATGTGTTTGTTGTCTGTCTTAAATTGACTGATGTGAAAAGGTGGAATGTCTCATTGCATAAGAAGTCATTCGTAATTTGACACGCATCCGATGCTTCTTAGTATCACCATTGCAAACAACCATCTCATACCTCATTATCCGGAGACTTTCGAACCACCACAGTGTTCCGGTTTTCCTTATCTTGCATAGGTGAGCAACATTCAAGTCAAAATTGTACCAGGTAATTTCTTTCTGTATCTTCCTGACCATAATTTATGTGTGAAATTAGCAATCCTTGAATCCTATGATATTGTCCTTCCGTTCAGATAATTTTGTGTTTTCCAGTGTTGATTCTAGTGGTCGTCCTGGGACTTGAAAACAGTCTTTCGGAGTGCTAACGAGAGGTAGTTGGCAGGGGTTCATGGCTGATCAGTTCAGAACATTGTTTGGCTAGGTTAGGCTCTCGAATCATGGCCAAATGGTCTGTATTGAATTAGCGGGATAGTCATGATTAGTCATTTTTGTATAAATTTTACGGATTTGCTAATTGTAGATAAGATAAGAGCCAGAAAAAAGTTCGTTTGCATTTCACGCCGGCGGGCGGACATCGTTTTTTTTTTTCTCTTCTTTTTTTGTCTCAAGCACAATACCTTGACCATCACGATTTTACAACATGGCAGACATCACATTAGAAGAGAGATTGAACAAAATACGCTCTCCAAATCTTGAAAGCCAAAAACAGGTGCCCTTACATTTATCTTCCCTCGTTGCCCCTCTGACCGCCACAGCAAATAACTAATGTTCTACGCATAGACCGCTATCATACTTCAGGCTGTCGAATCGACTCTTAAAGAGCAACATGAGGAGACTACACCAACAGCGTACTTCGCTGCCCTTCTCGGACTTCTTAACCAATCCATCGACCAGGATGCATCCACGAAGAGCCTCAACACTCCCATCATCTACCTGCTTGACCTAGTGACTCCCTACACGCCGCATGGTATTCTACGAGCCAAGTTCACGCAAATTCTTTCGGCATTGGCCCCGATACTTATACAGCGAGGTACAGATGCACCGCTACTTCGCCCGTGTATTGGATGTTTAGAATCGATTTTGCTAGCACAAAACTCCACTGCCTGGGAACTTCCAGCCACCGAGATTAGCCCTCGTCGGGCTATGGTCGGCCTCCTAATCCTGTCTGTCGATCAACGTCCGAAGGTGAGGAAGAGGGCGCTAGAGGCTCTTCGCAAAGTCTTGGATACTCCTCCGCCCGGTCCGACTTTGGACCATCCAGCCAGTGGCATGTGCGCCGAGGCCGCATTGGCAGGCCTGAAAGACCTTGACCAACACACCAGCCAGGAAAAGAAAGACATACGCGACGACAGCCAAGCCACCAACAACCCGAATTTGTTTCGCTCCCTGCAACTTGTTCGTACGATTGCCTCGTCAAGCTCTGGTTGGCCCGGAAAGAAGATCGATACCCTTTGCGAACTTCTCCTCGGAATTGCCCGGTATGGCAATGATCACATGTCTGTTGCGGTCCTCGAGGTCTTCGAAATCATTTTCAAGGGCATGAGCAATGAAATTACTAAATCAAAGCTTGGTCGTCTCCTGGATATCATTTCAGAACTCCGCCCAGCTCCCAACGATACACGGCTGCTACCCCCGTGGATAGCCATTGTTTCCCGCGGATATGACGTGTCGGCTCAAGTAGAACCTGAGGATACATTTTATAAACTCCCAGAGCTGTTCGATTTGGTCGCCCCTTATCTCGAATCCCCGTCCAGCAACATTCGCATCTCAGCCTCTGAGTGTTTAATCTCATTTTTGGCCAACTGCGTACCAAAACAAGTCATCTTACAGCCGTCGGTCTACGATGAAAAGGTTTTGGCGAAGCTCGCCAAGTCTGGAGAGGAATTTCTCGGTGTCCAATATCAACTGGCAACGCAAGAGGTCTATAATGTCCTTTCGGCCATGTTTGATACCTTCCGGTGGCAGGCAGATCCGTTTCTTTCAGATATGACCAAAATCCTTGGTGATATAAGAGGAAGAGAGTCATTTACGGCAAAAAAGGAGGTCGATAAGATTATTGGGCATGCCATTCGAGCCATGGGTCCAGCCTCTGTCCTCAAGATCCTACCGCACAACCTCCTTCAGCCCTCAGCACGACACCCTGGCCGCGCATGGCTTCTCCCTCTTTTTAGAGAATATACGACAAACACAAATTTGGCAGACTTCAAGTCGGAATTTGTTCCCCTCAGCAATGCCATGTTCCAGCATGTTCTTGACAATGGCGACGCCGAAAAAACAACAGAAATCAAAATTTTCGAAACGATTGTACAGCAAATTTGGTCCATATTTCCCGGCTTTTGTGACCTGCCTCTGGATTTAGTGGCTTCTTTTGATGGCAGTTTTGGCGAGCTTCTGGCGAATATTCTGTATCAACAAGTTGGACTACGATTTGACATCTGCCGGGCTCTGAAACTGCTGATTGAATCCAACCAGGCTATTGCGTCTATCGAAGACGAAGAAGACCTATTTTCTCAGTGCAGGGTTACCAAAGCAGAGGCTGTCGCTAACCTCGACTACTTGGGCTCATTTGCCAGTCAATACCTTGCTGTTCTTTTCAATGTCTACGGACAAACCCTGGCACAGTCCCGTGGTCCGATTTTGCAAACAATCAACGCATTCCTCAGCATTACTCCCAGGGCAGACTTGGTCAAATCTTTTGATGAGGTTTGTAAACTCCTTGCCTCGACACTTCGGAAAGCTGACGGAATGCTTTCTACACCGATGAATGCGGATGGCCAAAATGCAACAGCACAGGTCCCATCTACAAGCCATACCTTGATTGACCTCGTGATAACAATGGCTTTACATCTTCCAAGAGAAAGCTATTCAACGTTATTCGAAATTGCCGCGCTGGCCATTGTCAAGGAAGACGATCCGCAACTCCAGAAGAAAGCCTACAAGCTCATTCCACGACTTGCCGAATCTGAGGTTGGCAGAGTAGCCCTTGCAGAACGCCACGAGGAGCTTCAGAATTTAATGCTGGCCAGCGCTGAGAATGTGTCTGCCCCTGCTCGACGGGAGCGCCTCGCAGCACTTGCCGCTCTTCTCTCTCTCAGCCCCAACGACACCCTACACTTTATCCCTTCTACACTCTCTGAAGTTGTTATCAGTTGCAAGGAACATAATGAGCGCGCCAGAACTGCAGCGTTCGATCTACTTGTTATTATGGGAGAGAAAATGAAGGCGGCAAGCGGAGTAATGATTGACAACAGCAAAATACCAAGCATGGCCAACGATGCACCATCAGTCGTTGCTAGCATTGAAGAATTTTTCACCATGGTGAGCGCTGGTCTTGCTGGTTCGACACCACACATGATTTCTGCATCTATCACGGCCATCACTCGCATTTTGTACGAATTTCACAGCTTGCTCGACAAACAGGCGCTTGGCGATCTGGTTCAAACCGTCGACTTATTTTTGACATCGAACAACCGAGAAATTGTTAGTAGTGTCCTCGGATTTGCGAAGGTGTGCACCATCAGCCTCCCAGTCGAGATGGTCGGCGTTCGGCTTCCGACCCTTATTCCCAACCTCATGCGCTGGAGCCATGAACACAAAGGACACTTTCGTGCGAAGGTGAAGCACATTCTCGACCGAATGGTCCGACGTTTCGGATTCGATATTGTCAACAAATACTGCCCTGAGGAAGATCGTAAGCTGATCAACAACATCCGAAAGACAAAAGAGCGCAACAAGAGGAAGAAGCGGGTCGCAGATGAGGCAGGTGATGAGAGTGAGGATGAAGAGGGGGACGATGAGGACGAGAGAAAGCCTCAAGGCAACCGTTTTGACAGTGGGTTCGATGCGGCACTCTATAGCAGCGACTCTGACAATTCAGGCGACGAGGGCGGCGACGCCAGTGCGGAACACCCGGCTAAAGAGAGAAAGAAGCGTGGAAATAATGGCGGGCAGGCGTTCATCTTAGAGGAAGAGGGCGAACCCTTAGATCTACTTGATCGTAAGGCAATTGCCAGCATCTCATCTACGCGGCCAATGAAGATGCGGAAGCCAGGGCTCGGCAAGGCAAAATTCAACGCGGATGGGAAGCTTGTTTTGGGTGAAAATGACTCTGGGAATGGCAACGGGGATTTCGACATGGATATTGACCAGGAAGATGGCGGAGCGGAGAGTGGCGTCAATGCTTACCTGTCCGCCGTTTCGGGAAAAGACGTCGCCAAGAGAGGCTATCGCGGCAAACTCAAGTGGACCAACAAAAGAGGCCATGGCGGTGATGATGACGATGTGATGGATGAGGATGAGGCCGCAGCCATCAAAGCAAAGCTTGACAAGGGTCCAAGTGGCGGCCGCATTTCTCCTCGTGGTAGCGGTCGCAATGGAAGAGGTAGCCGTGGTGGAAATAATGGACGCGGCCACAGTCGTTCCGGAAGCGGTCGTGTTATGTTTGGAAGAAGGGGGCTTGGCGAAGATAAGCGAATGGGCGGATCGTCGGGAGGTGGACGAGTAGCGAAATCATGGCCTCAGAAGCGATAAAAATGTGCAACCCGATACCATAGTTTTAGTCCATTCTAGTCTAGCATATTGCGGTAAATTGCTAGACTGATCACAGGCACTCGTTGAAGGAAGATCTCAAACATGTGACTTGTACAAGTAAATAGTCTCCTGTTGTTCGCTGTAGCCAAATATACAAAGTGCCTGCAAGGTAAACTGGGACAGCTGATTGCAAAACCAGAACTAAATACATCGTCTATCACCAAGAAGTAAGGGAATGGGGCTACAAAATGAGAAAAGACGTCGGAAATGACAGCCAGAAAAGGGTACAGAATGAAAACTAAACGATACGGACAGTACTAAACTCATGCACTCCATGCAGCTCACGTACTGGCTGTGCTGCTCGTTGGAATAATGGTAAAAACCGACAATCATCTGAACTTGCTAACGATGACCGCGAGAATGAGAAGAACAAGAACCGTGATTATGGCGATGGTGATCACCCGATTCGTAGCCATCCTAAAATAGCACAGACATATGTATTAGATATAATGTCGTATAGGGCCAGATTGCCCATAAGGCTGGGAAGGTCAGGGTCACAGTACCTACGCGCCATGCCACGGAGCGTCTTGACACTCCGGTCAACGTATCCTTCACTCTCAAGCAGCATGTCCGTTGTGTGTTGGATAACGTTGCGCTGGCGTTCTAAATCGGCGAGAGTGCTCGCGCCAATCGCCTCTGTATCGTTGGCAAGGGCTTGGCTGTTCTTAAGGCGTTGTGTGCTTCGGTCTAGACGGTCGGTACCAGACAAAAGTTGCTGGCGTTGCTCCAGCTGCATATCCGAGCCGCTCGGATTGTCGGAGTAACGGCTGCCAAAGAGGGCAGCACGGTCGTCGGCTAGCCCACGCAGCTTGCGTTTGTATCCGTCCACATCTGATTCGTAGTTGCGGAAACGTTGGTTAACGCGGATGCGGCTGGACGACGGAATGTTCTGCTTTTCGAGCTTCATTTGGCCGATCTAACAAAACGCAAATGTTAATAACCGTCTTTCTTTAACGGACTGCACCATCAGGCATTAGGACTCCAGAGCCCGGTATCAAAAACAAGTGCGCAAGCCATTACCAGCTCATCGGCTTCTTCCACGGCACGCTCAGCCTGCGCAATGGCTGCCTTCCTAGGTTCGCTGGACAGGTCGGGTATCTGGTCGAGCTTCTGCAAAATATCCGCCTGCACAAGTCGGAATTCAGCCTCGTAGCTGCTGAAGAGCTCGGTTCCAGCATCCGTGTCGAGCGGGCTGGCCATTTTGGACGTCGAGTATATTTGCGAAGGTTAGACAGAGGATAGAGAATCGGGGATAGGGAGTGATTGATAACGGATGGACGGTTGTTAGTTGCAAGTTCAAGATTAACGCGAAATTAGTTGAAGTTATGAAACTTGTATGTCGCTTCGAAAATGCCCTTCAAACAGCACGGCGCGAGGCTCATCTGGTGAGAAGGAGGTTGAGTTTCGGAGGCGTCTATGGGGAGAGAACCAAGCGCCACATCCTCCTGCTGACGACATTCATGCGAGGTTTGGAGGATCATGTGGCACGTGAGTCACGTGATGATAACGAACTGATTGACATACTCCGATAGCTTCATTTGCTGACAAAGAGGCTTTCCGTGGCGTACGGTCGCTGTGTTACAAATATGATGCACTGGTAGGTTGAAGGCGATTGCTAATTTGCTAACCCTCTTTACTCTGTATTACTGGCGAAAATTTTTGACAGCGTTGCGAACCCTACACCTGGCAAAAGCGCCCATCAGATCGCGTTCATATGGGACATATTCTTGCCTGACAAGTTCTGCGCTTTACTTAAAACGCATACGACTTAAACCAGAGGCCATTGTTGTTATGGCGTTGGTATGCAGTGCTGCTGCACCGGTCACGCGATAACTGGCAGATCGGCGACGCTGGTATGTTCATACTAGACAGCTTTGGGCGTTTCTTGGGCCCGGAATGGGCCCATTGGCTCGAATCGCCGTTCGCAATGCTCCATAGCGGCCTATACTTAATGCGAGATAACTAGCCGCACATACAAGGAGAGCTGTCTTGATGAATTGATAGCTGTCTGTTCACCAAGATATATCCGACGTGCCAAAACTCGTGATAGAACTAGTCTTCTGAGGATAAAATATAAAAACACGTCTTAAATTCAACATCACCGCGGCCGTCTTTCACTGGTGTATGTGCCAGCACCCAAATACGCCGGTTAGGGGCTATGTACTACGGTAGGGTCATCTCTATGATTTATACATTGCCAGCACTATTATCCCATCAGGTCCCTGTACCTAGTGGCTATATTATCACCCTCCTACCCACCCAGGACGAGTGGTCAGTACCTAGGTGCTTAATTTGAAGTTGCCGGGGACGTCTGGTAGCGACCTTGACTTGGTAGGCAAAGTACGAGCGGGCCGTTTATGTAAACATTACCACGGTACCTATTCAGTGAGGAGAGGATCTGGCAGGTTCGTCTCCTCGGCGTTGGCACTCGGTCGTGGAAAGCACATCGTATCTTAACAAAAAAGAGACGTCAAACGAAAATCTTACAAACAGCAACGGCGATCTTCCTCATTCTTTTGCGGCAAATAAATCGAGTCACCATACGGGGCCACTATGTATTGTATGGGAACTAGACCGCTCCCACTCAGCCAAATGGCAAAATAGAGAGCTCTTTAACACCAAGGCTAGATAACAGGTCTAAAGAACCGTAATCTGCTATACTATGTATATATGCAGTATTATATAATCAGTGGTAAACTGGCGGCTCCCAATAGGTGCACACATGTGTGTAAATAAGAAAAGGCTTATATAATCGTTTTCATAAGCGAAATCGCCAAAAGCATCGCGAAAAGCATCAAAAGAGACAAAAACACACTGTGAAATCGCTGTATAAATTGTGTGCCCTTTTGATATTTTGTCGGACGTTTTATTTGAGCCCATGTGCGTGGACCAATCAGAAAACGTATTTCATATTATATAAGCTTTTTCTTATTTGCACACATTTGTGCACCTATGGGGGCCTAAAGTGGCACTAGTACCTTGTTTTTCTCTCTGGAACCGGCCTTCTTTTTTTTGTTTCTTTCTCCTTTTCCCCCTCAAAGTTGATACACCCTGGAATGCAGATAACAGGCTCGCTGCGCACCTATGACTTCTTCTGACATTTTGCAAGCACAGCGAGTTGTATGACAAGGGGAGATTGATCTACGAAATGAATTTTTTGTGGCGGTGCTTTTAAAGAATTGGATATGGCAATTGAGAGCCATTTCGCTTTCACATCGGTGCCTATCCAGTCCCGTTGAGCTTCGACAGCCTAATCGCAATTCATACTAAATGCAATGCGACCACGAATACGGTGTTCAATTTGTTGATGGCTCTGGCCTCATTTTGAGGTCTTTGACTCGCGTTGATGGCCGTGCCAATAATGTAGCATAAATAAACCACGACATGGCAGCTAATACACGGCTTGGTGCTCTGTGCACTGAACAAATGACTGTTCTACTTTCCTACCGGCCTCTTTGGTTTTCGATGTTTTGAAGCCATCTAGTAACCCGTCATCCCGTGACCTACCTTTTGGGTGAGTTCTGGCTGGTCCGTGCCGACGAAAGCACCCCCCAAGACGTTTCAAGATTGGTCTCCGATCGCAACTTGCCGCGTATGCGTCGGAATCCAGTTGCTAACATAAGTACGGGGCGAGGTTGTCACCTGCTGCACCGTTCGCTTCATCTCTCTTACTGCCAATCGTCAATTGCATCGACCTACTATCCTCCCACCATTTTCCAAGTTGAGTCTCGATATCGTTTGCCTTGAATCGTTCGACCTGGACAAGCTGCCATGGCAAACCAAACACCGTAAGTCGGAGTCGTCGCACGTGTCACATTCTTCATTCTCGGCCAGGACGGTTTTATTGTCATTGAACGGACACCAGGTGACGACCACCCGCTTTCGTTCTGCTGGCCGTGGCCTACTAGTCATCATTAAAAAAAATCCATAGCCCTTCGCCGGCCAACGGCCCGGCAGGTCATCCAGTACCAAAGGACGTACTCGGTATTACAAATGTACACCCAATCCAATTACGGGACGAATACGGCCCTGCAGAGCCCGTTGGTTTTATACAACCCCTTGGCCAAGGATGTTACTCTGGTCATCATATTGATCGCATTGCCTCTTTATTTGCAGACAAAACTCAGTCTACAATACTAGGCAGACATGCACTACCTTTCTAATATGTTGATACTGTCGTCTCTTAGTCACGCCAACTAACCCCATGTCCAGGAAGCGGGTGGCCATCGTCGGTTCTGGCTGCTCAGGCATTGCTGCACTGTGGGCCCTGAACTCAACAGCTCACGACGTATACCTCTACGAAGCCACCGACCGTTTCGGAGGACACACCAACACAGTGGACTGGCGACGTGGTAAATATACTACCAAGGTTGACACTGGTTTTATTGTCATGAATACCGCGACATATCGTGAGACACAACCCCGCCTCCCCAGCATGCCCTCGAATAAGGCTCGTGGGTGTATACACCTACTGCAATGCTAAACTCAACGCTGACATAGCTCTATTCCCTTACCAGCCAACTTTCTGAATTTTCTCAGTGACGTTGGTGTGGCCACTGTACCTACGCAGATGACTTTCAGCGTCTGCCGCGATCGGGGGTCTTTTGAGTGGTCTGGTAGCAACTTGGATGCGCTCTTCTGCCAGCGCCGCAATCTATTCTCTCCACGTATGTGGCGTCTCGTATTTGATGTCTTCCGTTTCAACCAGTTCGCACTGGATCTCATCAGAGACGACTACGACTCGCCACATGGGGCCGCATCCGACGAATCCATTGGAGAGTATCTTATACGCGAGGGCTACTCAGAAGCCTTCCGAGATGACTACCTCATTCCCATGACCGCCGCTGTGTGGAGCACCAGCCCGGATAAGTGTTCACTTGAGTTTCCAGCCACGACTCTGGTTCGTTTCTTGTACGTACTTGGCGCTAGCTCCAACGCCGGTTTGGCCCATTGCTTTGGTCTGGTAGGCATCAGGCATTAACCTAGTCTGCACAGGTGGAATCACCATCTTCTGTCGACCGTGGCCCGCCGCCCTGATTGGCTCACGATCGGCATTGGCTCCAAGGCGTATATCGATGCTGTCTTGAAAGACTTCCCTACAAGCCATCTCTTCCTCAACACACCTGTGCGGTCCGTTGAAAATGAGCCAGATGGCCGTGTCCGCATGCGTCTAAGTAACGGACAGTCTGAGGTCTATGACCACGTCATTTTGGCCACGCACGGAGACGAGGCTTTCGCTATTATCAAAGGTTCGGCCACCGACGAAGAGAAAGACATCATGTCTTGTTTTCACACCTCCCAAAACAACGTTGTGTTGCACTCGGACACATCCCTGCTCCCGGTGTCCCGTAAAGCCTGGGCAAGTTGGAACTATCTTTCCCACACCTCACCAACAAGGCAGGAAAACACTGTCGTTGACCGCGTGTCCTTAACATACAATATGAATGTCTTACAACACATCCCAAGAGAAATTTTTGGCCACGTCCTTGTGACGCTCAATCCGCCATCGGAGCCAGACAGCAGCACCGTACAGGGTCGTTACAGATACAAGCACCCACTATTCACTGTGGCAGCCGTGCGCGCCCAGAGGCTTCTGCCGCGTATTCAAAACACGCGCGGCATCAGCTACGCTGGAGCATGGACCAAGTACGGCTTTCACGAAGATGGTTTCAGTAGTGGTTTGGCTGTAGCAGCTCAGCATTTGGGCGCGACGGTTCCTTTTGATTTTGTTGACTCTACATACAGCCGTGGGCGCAGTCCAGCACCCGGGCTTGTTGACAGGTTACTGCGCATCGTGCTGTGGACTGTGCAGATGTGTTTGGTCGTAACGTTCGAAAGGCTGTTTGGCGTCTCGCGGGCATACCAACGCAATTACAAACCCGACCAGGGGGATCGCAGCATTGCACGTAATGCGAGAGCCAAGAAGTTTGCGTGAGGTATGCGATGGGAGGGATGTTCAGAACGATAGGCTTGCGTAGAGTTGCACCCCAACAACCAGCTAAAATTACAGCACTCAGTTCGACTCCGATTAAATCATTTGATGGTTGTATTTTGTGCTGCTTTCTGTTGCCGTCGCCGTGCCCGTTCTTCTATACATCCATGATTGCAGTGAAATTGGAAACGTGAAAGAATGGGCGGTGCCTATCGTCTTTTACCCTTGACAAATTTAAAGAAAGTATGTAGGAATAAGTAGGATTATAAATAGTACAATTTATTTATTTATTATTATTATTATTATTATTATTATTATTATTATTATTAGTTAACTATTCTCATTCAAAAAAAGGCCCAGAAAGCTGGCTAACATGGTATCCGCATAGTCCAAGTTGAATCTGTTGCTGGCCATTTATGGATTACCGGTACAACTATTGGAAATTTGCAGAGTCTTTGGGCCCGAAAGAGCGAGGAGTTTTTACTCTAATTATGAAGTAATTACGGAGAGGTCTGTGGAGCACGACAAGGCCCCGCTAACTCAGCCTTGAAAGCCTTTTAGGGCCTGAACTCATTCCAATCAGGCTTACAGCGTACCTGCCACAAATCCGCCAGGGCAACTAATCCGGAGTAATACTCCGTTGGCTGCAGCTGTCCGAAAACCCCGTACTGCCCTGTAGTCGAACATGCATACGGACTATTGTTACAAAAAAGAAATATCGCTCGATGTGCATAAATTTTGACGCTGTATTGCTCCGAACGCACGCACCAAAGCGCAATCCCCATCTGACACCACTCGTAGCAAGGACAACCGGAGCTGCAAGACTTTGCTCATCTGCACAAAACACAATGGAGATTGTATTTCGGGCCGTGCGGCCATCGCGGTGGACTGCACCCCAGCATTGCTTACGGTGCTGGAGATACAGTTGTTTTTTGCCATCCAACCGTCGGCCGTTCGCCACCGCAAACATTCAAGATCATGCCCAGCGCCAAACTCCCAGAAGCAATAGTGCCCCCCCGAACATGGACCGCGTGCGGGCGGTCTACAAGATACGGAACAGGACGACCATGTAGGATATCCTGGGCACTCCTCCTACTTCCGTCAAGGCCTTCTACCATCCGGGCCCCCGGTGCAAATTGCGTGTCAACAAGCGTTCTGACGGCCGACATATCTAGGTACTACGCCGTGAGCGTTATTCTTGGAACCGTGGCATTGTCATACGGCTCTGTACCCATGTACAAGATGGTGAATCTATCCCCCATATCAACCACGTGCGCAGTCTCTCACATGCTAACACTTTTGCGTCGAAAGATATGCCAAACCACGGGCTGGGGCGGTCAGCCAGTTCGTGCACCTGGACACGGGGCTATCGGAGGTGATGGAAATGGTGATCTTGCAAACCGTCTCCAACCAGTTACAAATGCCAAGCGCATGCGGGTGACATTCAATGCCTCCGTCTCAGACATCCTCCCTTGGAAATTCGTCCCACAGCAGCGCGAAGTACGCGTGCTGCCGGGTGAGACGGCTCTGGCGTTTTACACGGCAACCAACAAAAGTGACAAAGACATCATTGGTGTTGCCACATACAGCGTCACACCGGCCCAGGTGGCACCGTACTTTAGCAAGATACAATGCTTTTGTTTCGAAGAACAGCGTTTAAGCGCGGGCGAGACGGTGGATATGCCCGTGTTTTTCTACCTTGACCCTGACATGCTAAACGACCTGAACATGAAGGGCATAGAAACGGTAACGCTATCGTACACATTTTTTAGTGAGTTCCTACTGTCGCATATGACCCCGGAATGTCGATTCGCACTGCCGCACCCTTCCCGAGAGGCAGTGAGCTGACTCTCTGCAGAAGCAAAGTATGATGACAACGGGGCGGCCGCCGGCATTACTCAGAAGGAGGCTTGACATTGCGGCCTATTTGTTTCCCATCGGCCGGCAAGAGTCGCTGCACCATGTAAGATTTGTTTAGTTTCATCATGTCGAGTGAAAACACAATTTTCTGTATCGCAATGCGAAGCAACTCGCTTTGTCCAGTGCTCTGTCCAGTGCTCTGTTATCCTATGGTACTATGCCGCTCCATTTGTCGTACATGTTTTGCCAGGCAAGCGGCGCCGGCTTATCGCGGTTCAGGCAAGTCGCTAATTAGCTGGTTGCTCTCCACTCCAATTTCTCCGTAAGTTGTGTAACCCCATACGCTGTGTGTCGTGGCTCATATTTCGACGGGCTGGTGACATACCAGAACTGGAAATACGTTAAAAAAGTGTCCTTATAAAATAGGGTATTCTATGCCGTAGTTACAGACTGAATATGAACGAGTCGGGGGTGCCCCACACTACCTCATATGGAGAACACTGTCCACCAATGACATGCTTTTAGAGCGTTTGGGTTTCCGCCCTCGTGTCGAGCTGCGTATTATGTAGTAATATTTCGGTATTATTCCCTCGTGCCACGATTACCTGTCTTCAGCTCCGTTGACTTCCAACCTACCAAACCGACCGTATCTGCCACTGTACCGCCCAACACTCCGGCGATTGATCGATAGCTGTCGTCTAGCTTCCTTACAACATCCAACCTCTATTAAAACCAGCACAGTGCTGTGTGCCGTCTGGAAGCTTCATGTGCTACCAACCTCTGCCGTTGTTCCAGAGGTCTCCTCTCGCAAGAGTTCGAACGTTCTGCACCATCTACCCTCCGACAGACAGAATGCCCGTACCGCACTTTTCCCGGGAACAATGAAGGCTGTTCTTCCGGGTAAGCCAGAGCCCCGACTCCAAGCTCTCGCAAGCGGCTTATGGCGTTCCCAGCGGGTCATAGTTAGTTTTCCCACAGCCCCTTCCGGTCCAGAGGGATTACTTCCTGTCACATTCAAGAGCCTCTCGGTTTAACTCACGTGTGGCATAGGTATATATCACAGGAAACGCAGTGGCAATTCTTAGCGACCATAACACTCTACAGCAGACTATTTACGACGATGATGTCACCCCCCTCGAAGCCGTGGCCTTTGACGAAACCTCAGGCCGGATTGCCACATGCACCGACACAACTGTTCGTGTATATCAGCCTGCAGGCGTGCCAGAGGAACCTCTTCGGGTATGAACACCTTCCTGCGTCCACTTCTTCCAGTTCCCGGTCTTGGGTGTTGGAAATGACTTGAGCTAACATGGATCTTCTACCGCCAGTGGGTTCTGCAGTGTACCTTCGTTCCCAGTATCCGACCATTGGACAGCAGCCACAGAGACAGTGCAAAAATCGACCGCTTTCCAATGGTTCTATCGTGGGGGGCTTCAAGGGAACTGATTGTTGGACATCGTACGCTGGCACTTTATCATACCGGGCCGTCCCCTGTTTGCTTATGGCGCAAGCCACTTGGAAACGTCGTTCAGCGAGTCTGCTTTTCGTACGACTCATCATACATTGCCTGTGTTGGCTATACAGATCGTCTTATTAAAGTCTGGAGGCGCCTAAACTTTGGCTCGGACAATGTAGGGTTCGACTTTTTTTACCTTCGGCACCCAGAGCCAGTTACCAACTTGCAATGGCGTGCGCCCTACCATGTTGGTCATACCATTGACCATGTCCTGTACACATTTTGCGTTGACAATATTCTGCGCATCTGGACCAAAGCCGATGTACACAGTACGACGCAACAGCAGCTATTTCTTAGGGGTGAAGTAGATTTGGCCGCATCGCTACATTTCGCTGCGCTTGACAACAGTGCTTTCGCTGGCGAGGTTCAGTGGGCCTTCATCATTCCGGGACGAGATCTGTCTGCTGCTACAGAAAGAGCAGTCCAAGAGCGCGATGAGACCAGTGAGAAAAACACGGGTGCCCTCCAGCACCTTGTCGACATAGCCAACCGAAGTTCCGAAGTCTGTATTGTTCTCGATGCTCGGGGCGCATTAGCTGCGATATCCCTAGAAAACCCTGACTCAAAGTCTCCGAAAACAAACGACACTTATACTATCACCCACCTAACTTCGCCTGATCTTGACTTCTCTCATAGTCTCGGATCACCACCAACATTGCACACCAATCATGTCGAGATTTACACCTTTTGTGACAACTCAAAGGGCCATCTCCATCTTCTTCTACATTACTTCACAGGAACGATCGACATCTATGAGGCAAATGTGGCCCTTGTCTTTAACGAGACATCTTCAGGTCCACGATTGTGGCACAAGAGCACTTGGTCCGGACACTCGGGGCCTATTCGCAAAATGGTTCGCAACTTTAGTGGGGGCGCTGTTGTTTCAAGAACACACAACGGTGAAGGCACGGTGTGGAGCCATACTCACGGCAACAAAGGCACTCCACTGTCACCGAATGCTGTGCTTATGGAAGAAAAGCCAATACGCAGAATCTGTGTCCTGCGGAAAGGCCGGTTTGTTGTGTTTCTCTTCGATTCCAGTTTAGCCGTCTGGGACTGCCGCAGCGGTGTCCCAACGCTCTTGGGCCATTGTGATTACACTATCTCGGGAAAGCCCCTTTGCCTACTGGTTCTGCCACGTGAGAGGGCACAAGATGGCTCAGTTGCCCATATTGCTACAGTGACCTCCGAGAACCACGGTGTCGTTTGGGAAGTTGTTCTTCCGAAACCTACCACTGAGATCCCACCACACCAGCAAAATGTTGAGGTAAAAGGGCAAAACCTCTCTTCCGTCAGCGAGTATTGCAGGTTTGACCTGGGGGATGCTGGGAAATTGGCATACATGCTGCCAGTCGACCCTGCTGGCGCAAATCCTATCATATCTGGTTTCCTGGACGTGTTTGCTCGCGATGTTGCCATCTCATACACAGAAACAGGTCGGATCGAGTTCTGGACTGCCCGTCTCAACCACAGCAGTAAAAGAGTTGAGTGGTTGTCGACGTCGTCGATGGAGACGGGCATCCGTAGCCCATCTCTTGTGAGTGGTAGCACGCGAAAGAAGGCAGCGTTGGTCAATGATCGCCGCTCTGTTGTCACGATCTGGGATATTCAGGGAGCCCAGCTTGAATATGAGAGCAGCTTCGAAAGTCACGATACCGTACAAGATCTGGACTGGACATCAACACCGGACTCGCAATCTATTCTGGCTGTTGGGTTTCCACACCGTGTTCTCCTCTTATCACAACTACGGTACGACTATCTAAACAAGGGCCCTGCATGGGCAGTTGTCCGAGTGATTGATATACGCGGACAAACGCCACACCCTATAGGCGATTCTACCTGGCTTGGCGACGGTGATTTTGTCATTGGAGCTGGAAATCAACTTCTTGTACATGATAGAATGTACAGTATCCCCAATGCCCTTGTCGCTGGCCTCCGTCTTCCACAATCTCGAACACGCAACGACCTCTTCGATGTTGTCCAAAGGCTTAATGGGCCGCTTCCTGTTTTTCATCCCCAGTTCTTGAGCCAGTGCATGCTGGCTGGTAAAAACGAACTTGTGCAGCAAATCCTAATGTCTCTGCACAACGTCCTCAAGCTTTCTGTGCAAGGCGATGCGGTCGATGACTACCTTGGGATAGAACTCGAACAGTTTTACAAAGGCGGACAGGTGTGTATACCCCCGGGTTGTTTTATCGCATCAAATACCTTCTCCTCTCTTTATCGATAGATGACTAACAAAAGCGACTGCAGAAAACAATGTCCCGTGAAAAGGAGAAGAACTCCAAGGCATCTCTCATCACGCGTGACCTGTCTATTGACGATGATAGTGATGTCTTCACAGAAAGTGTCGCGCAAGCAATCAGTGAAAAACTCACGACTTTTCCCCTTCCCCAATTATCTGGTCATGAGCAGATTCAACTCATGGATATAGTAGAGTGCGCCGGCTTATTGGAAAAGCAACGCCGGTCTATGGACGGAAACGGAGCTCGATATATGCTGTTTTTCCGGCAGCACGCTCTCCGTAAAGGACGCACAAATGAAATCCACATCGGTTGGAGAGAATTCTGCTGGGCGTTCCACTCAACGAGCCAGGATATTCTTGTCGACTTCGTATCTCGGCAACATCACGGGTCTTTAGTATGGGAGCATGCGCGGGAGAGCGGCATGTTTATGTGGCTAACAGATAATTCTGCGGTGGTGAGAGAGTCCTGTTTACATCTCTTGTCTATCATCCATTTCCTGAAGCTTCTCGCTGCTAACCAATTGTGCCATAGAAAACACAGTTCGAGGTCATTGCTCGCAACGAATACGCGAAAAGCGAGCTGAAGAACCCAGTCGACTGCAGTTTGTTTTATCTAGCGCTCAAGAAGAAGGCGGTGTTGCAGGGCCTCTGGCGAATGGCTTCGTGGAACCGGGAACAGGGGGCTACACAACGGCTTCTCTCGAATAATTTTGAGGAGCGAAAGTGGAAGACCACAGCTTTGAAAAACGCCTATGCCTTGATGAGCAAGAGACGATTCGGTGCGCTTCTCCACGTTTTGGTTTTTTGCTATATTTTCCTCTTACTTTATGCTAATACCTGTACCTTCTAGAATACGCCGCGGCCTTCTTCCTTCTCGCAGATCGGCTCCAAGACGCAATGAATGTCTGCTTTAACCAACTCCAGGATCTACAGCTAGCTGTCAGCATTGCCCGCGTCTATGAGGGCGATCAGGGTCCCGTTCTGATGCGATTCCTGGAAGAAGTGGTCCTTAATGTGGCTGCACAAGAAGGAAATCGGTGGCTCGCATCGTGGGCATTTTGGATGCTCCGCCGGAAAGACATGTCCGTTCGTGCCCTGATTGTGAGTCTCACAGCCGGTATTGTTATCGAAGTGGCTGCGCCTTTTGCACGCACTTATACTCATATCAAAATTGCTGACTTATGTGATGCGCCTTACAGACTCCCGTTTATACGCTCATCGAAACACCATGCTCTCCCGATATCAAGTCCAAGTTGTTTCTCACGGACGATCCTGCGCTTGTTGTCCTTTATGGCCAATTGCGGCAAAAAACTTTACAAACGCTACGGGGTGTTTCCAAGGTGACGCCGAGGGCGGAATGGGAGCTCGTTTTACACAGCGCACGCCTATACGGTCGCATGGGCTGCGACTTGCTGGGAGTTGACTTGGTGCGCAACTGGGAGTTCCTCCTCGCCGGACCGTCTTCCTCGATGGTACAGAACGACGTACGCCCCCTTCAAATGCTTCGCCGTCGGAGCTCGTTGGTCGTTGCCGACCTGCCTTTGTCGCATATAGCAGAGCAACTGCCGGCAGACCTCAATAGCGACGGGGCACCGAAGATGGCGCCGAGTGTATTTGAAGAGCCAGACCCAAACTCGCTCCTTGACAGTTTCGGATTCTAGTACACGCGGATAACGTCAGCTACAACCAGCATTGATTGGCAAACGCATGGCAAGATTCCATCCCGGGACCCGATGCAATTCTCAAATTATATCCGCATCCCCGGTATAATTGGTGTACGAATTCTTCGTACTATAATACATAATTAGTGATTTCTGTACCCTTTATCAAAACCCACAGCGGCGTGTTGACTCTGTGCACTAAAGTTCCATGTAATCTTTTGTCTCTTGTGGTATTATTGGATATTCTGTCGCAGCTGTATTCGTGGTCAGCCAATCACACTACGCCAAGCGGCTCCAGATTTTGGACAGGCTTGTCGTTAGCTAAGAAACAAAAAACGTCATCGTCAGCAAGCCATGAGCGACAGTAGGCTTTCTAAGTCTTCATCCTTGCTCGATCTCGTCACACTTGCCAGTCCACTACATCCCCGTTACCTTCATCTTTACGCTAGTGTCATCGCCTCGTTTAATTTTCAGATGCCCATTCCTTCTAGTATCCTCCGATTTGTGTCGCTGGTTCAGGGCGTCTTGTTAACATTTACCCAGTAGCCACAATCCCAAGGAGCTCTCATCAACGGTGTACCTAGCAACTGCGCCTGCAACTCCGTCATCGTCACGGCATCTTCCTCTTCAGAAGAGTTCTTTTGCTGTTGAGTACTCTTCAATCAAATGTCCGCGCTACCGAACACCGTACGGCCCGTCCAGCCTGTGAGCTCTTCTCCCTGCATGCACAATCTCGGGCCCGGATGCCACCTTGCGCCAATACCTCAACCACAAACCGATTCATGGCTTAATGGTATCCCGCCGAGCAATGCACAATTTTTTTATTCGTCCACAGTACCCATCGATGACCCAATATTGATCCCTTCCAATGATTCCACATCCCCGAAACGGCCTCTACGACCTTTCTCCCAAGCAGATAGCAACCGGCTTGAAAGAGCGTGGTTGCAACTTTTCTCCGAAGACGCCAGGGAAAATCATCTTTCAGCACGGCTTCGTCACAACCCTAGCCCACCAGTCATACAGTCAAACGAAGACACATTAGATATTGTCGTGCGCAATCTAACGGCAAGGCACCGCTTAAAGCACTTGCAGGATAGAGGTACCGGGCACGATGCCGCCACAACGGTTAGAATCACCGTGCAGGGAGCGGCAACTTCCATTCCAGTTTGTTGCGAAGACCTGCTTGTCGACGCCAGAGGAGAGTTACGAACCCTGTTTTGCCCACTCGCTGTTCAGCGCCGTGCTGAGCTGGGTGTTGACGCCGTGACGAGGAGCGTCATGGTGGCCCTCAACCGTACCAAGAATGACCTCAGCAACACCAATACTTCGACAGCGTCGTCTTCTATGCATCTTGCAGCGGCTCCACCTATAGAGTCAAACTCTTCCGTACCACGAACACGGCGACCTTCATCACAAGAGACAACAAGTCCGGCTCTTGACCCTTTTCTCCTTCGCGACCAGGTCACTTTGCCTACAAGAAGGGGCACAACTGACGGTCCTGACGAGGCCGTTTCGCACCTACCTGCACTACCTAGCCCCATTGCTCCTCTGTCCAGACTACCTATCCCGGATGATGGCATTTCTGGGAAACCATTTTTGCGACCGGGTATACCAAGCGAATTCGTACGAAGCTCAGCATCTCCTTCTCCACCGTTTCGTGTAAACGAAGTTGAACGCATGGACCCAGAAAGTGCACTAGAAACTGCCGGCGGCGATACTGAAATGCATCACCCGTACTCTTCGTCGCCCCTTCATCAACAGTGTCAATCTGTACATGGGCCCGGTGTTAACTGGGAGGAAACGGAGACCTTGAGACGCGAGATACAGTCTTCTTCGTTGTCGCTAGATCGCATGAGGAAATCCTTTGAAGTTGCTGTTGGTATCTCGCGCTTATACACAGTCGACTTGCCTGCCCTTCAAATGAAACCAATTTATTGGTCCCCGGTGCATGATATAAGTGCCGTCCAAAGGGCCACTTGGTTTTATAGAGATACAATGATGCCGCTTGAAGCCGATGTATCCAACCAGCTGGAATCGCTGTTCAGGGAACTGCGACCATGGACGGAAACATGGAAAATAGAGTTACGCTGTGCGGTCGACATTGGCCCTATCGGCGAGGAGAAAGTGTCCCAGCCATTGTGGCCATCTTCTACGCAGGATAAAACCAGAACAAGGACAGGTCGAGCCCACCCAGTGCCCAAGATATCGAGTGATCCGTTTTGCGCCTCTCACTGCTTTCAAGGCACCGCAGCAGCTGTGGGCACCGTGGGATCTCCTCCTGCTTCATATTCCGATCGGACAACTGCAGGTGACTCAGGCAATTGTGCTTCACCATCCGCCTCCGGCGAAAAGTGCTTTGCAAATTACGATGCGATATTCAAGGATGGCACACAGGCTTTCCTCCTAAAGCCAAGCCTGAGACCCTCGGCCTACTACCGCCGGCAGCCTGTTGCAAAAATTTGCAAGGGAGCGACGGTCGGGATTCCTATTGTCAGAGGCTTTGATAGAGATGCTTGGAATCGTATCCACAATCAGTCACCACGTGGCCTTGTGGCCAAAAGTTTTCCGGCTGCGCCCAGTTTCGACTCGGCCGCTATTGCAGGGAATGTTCACGGTCATCAAGAAGGTGTTGAAGACTGTCCGGGCTGCAGAGCCGAGAAGTTAGGCTGTCAAGTTTCTGACCTCGTACTGGTCATACACGGCGTTGGGCAAAAGCTAGCAGAGAGGGTGGAAAGCTTTCACTTTACGCATGCCGTTAACGGATTACGGCGGGCGGTGAGTGCGGAGCTTAAAACCCCCGTTGTACAGTCGGTTCTCCGCGACGGTCACAGTGGCATCATGGTTTTGCCAGTCAACTGGCGGCACACGCTGTCGTTCGAAGACGGTGGGTTCTCAGAACCCCGAGGCGAGGAAGGGCACGCTACTACAAGTGGCTTCGAACTCAAGGATATTGAGCAAACTAGCATTCCAGCCGTCCGGAGTATGATATCAGACGTTATGTTTGACATACCCTTCTACATGTCGAATCACAAGCCGAAGATGATCACTTCACTGGTGCGCGAAGCCAACCGCGTCTATCGCCTTTGGTGCCAAAACAATCCGGGCTTTTCTCAAACAGGCCGAGTACATCTCATAGGCCACTCTCTCGGGAGTGCAATGGCCGTCGAGGTGCTATCCAAGCAACCGACGAAAATACCTCGCGTTGAACCTATTCCTACACCAGCCGTATCAAACTTTTTTGAATTCGACACTACGAATCTCTTCCTCCTTGGAAGTCCCGCCGCCTTTTTCCTACTGTTGGAGCGCGGCGCACTCGTTCCACGCCGCGGTCGACAAAAGCCAGGCATGGTTACCCGTAACAACATTGACCGCCGTGTTTTTGGGGAGGCTGGCACATTTGGCTGCCTCGCCGTTGACAACATATATAACGTACTCGCAAAGGAAGATCCTATTGCATATCTACTTAACGGGACCATCGACTCAGCCTATGCATCCGGTCTCAAAACAGCGTATGTACCTTCGGCGTCCGTAAGTCTTTTCGCCTCTATCAGCCAGTCTCTTAGGGGTGTTTTCCCGGGAATGCCTACAACTCCTCATCAGGTAGATAACTCTCTCTCTACCACTGCTCTTCCAGCCATCGTACGGCTCCCGTCCCAGGTTGAACTTGAAGTTCATGATTTTACTCGGGAAGAGATTGCCGAGCACAAAGCTTATCTTCTCAACGACAATGGGCAAGTCGACTACTTCCTTCAATCCGGCGGCGGCCCCCTCGAAATCCAATACCTGAATATGCTTAGCGCCCACACGAGTTACTGGACTAACCAAGATCTCATCCGGATGCTCTGTGTCGAAATTGGCCGCCGCCCAGGTACAGATCATACGATGCCAACAATGCGTGCTGTCAAGTCCTTTCAGAGGCCGTTCCAACCGTCGGCCAGGCGTAAATAGTCCAAGTCTAAGAAAATATGAATCAATAGTAAACAACTTATGTGTATACAATCTCTCGAGTGTCATATTCATAAATAGCTATAGTCCTGTATACGAGGCCACCCGATGAGCTCATTGAACCATTTTTACAATACCTCGATACCTCATGCGCCATCCAATTCCATCATGACCGCGGTCATATCCTCGTCTTCATAGACGTCTCTGTCTGCTTGTGTGCTGCCTGAACCAAGATAACGTGCCATTCCCGCTCCGCTAACCTGCTCCTGGAGCTCCGTTATACGATCAAAATCGGCCTTCTCTTGGTGTTTCTTTAGATCTGCGGGACTCCATGTACTAATACCCTCTTGGTCTTTCGCGTGGAAAGGCTGCGCCATATCCCGCAAAAATTTCTTAGCGTTGCTGACAGCCATGTCAGTACTGAGGTTGGCATCAGCTTCCAACAGAGCCTGGTTGATCCACTTCGGAAGCTGGTTCCGTTTCTTTTGGTACCGCCTGTCAGCGAGAACCATGATCCCATAATCGTCCTTCCCACGCAGGACACGGCCCAGACATTGCGCTGCATGCCGCATAGCGTCAAAGGAAAGAAAGTCGTTTTCACGAATGCGGTATGTTTCGCGCAAAAACTCAAGCCGCGCCTTGAGGATTCGCGACTCGGTATACTGGAACGGAACACCGATAGATAGCACAGTTCGGCCATATTGGTGGTCAAAATCGATCCCTTCGGACACCTTGCCACGGGCGACGCAAAGTAACACAGCGCCCCTCCCGTTGCAGCATGCTGTTCGATACGTCTCCAGAGCCAGTGAAGTCTCCTGTGCATCAGGAGTCTCGACCAGGATAAGTTTGTACTTCCAAACCTCGTCCAAGATACCCATGCCTTGCCACATGCTGATGATTGACTCCATGTATAGGTATGAGGGGAAAAAAACTACCATACCGTCCGGAGTTATCTTGGCAAACTCGGTTAGAAGGTTGCCATAATTTCGCACGACGCTTGGCTCGTTTCTGACTTGGAAACTAGTGGACATCGATGCCTGGTCACTTCCTCTGGTGACAATCATAGGCAAGAAAGAACGCCGGGCGAGAGTCATACTATACGACTCTTGTACAACCGTTGTAAAGTCAAGCATCTTCGGGTACATCTCCAGCGGAGAGATTGTCCCGGACGTTATGATGACGCTGCTGAAACGTTCGAAGACAGGTTTGATAGCAATCGCGGCGTCTAAACATGTGAAGTGGAGTACAGGGTTGGGGACTTCCGCCGTATCCGATTCAAAAGGCTCGAGGATAAGCAAGAAGCCCTTTTCATATGTCGCAACTAGGGTTGCAAAGGTTGCCACCTCTCGCAAAGGCTGGTAATCCTCGATGTTCGTGAGTTCCAGCGTGCGGACAAGAGACGCCAGTCGCTCCGCACAAAAGCGCAACGGTTTCTTTTCGATGAAAGTGTATTCCTTCAAATGGGCAAGGAATGACGGTGGTGTCTCCGAAATGACTTGCCGCACCTTCATTCGCGTCTATTTTAGCAACCCACGTCAGCCTCATGAAACATTTAGATTTCCTACTGCGGATACATCAAAAACCTTCACATCTTCAGCAAACCTGAGCGCTGAAATACAGGTCGTGTACTTGCCTTCAGGTATTCAATAAACCTTTTGAGGAAAGCGACAAAATGTTCGGCCCGTCGGATGTTGCCAGGAACAGCTTCGGTAAGGAGATCTTCGGGTAGTGCTTTAAGGTCAACAAAGTTAGAAAAGACGCTCGTCGTCGCCTGATATCACCTTCTTGTTTGAAGTTGCGTGTACTTACTTGGATTTGTCATAAAAGCGTCTTCTTGGCGTGCCTCGTCTGCTTCTCTCAACCCCTGAACTAGTTTTTGATACTCATTTTCCAACTGCTTTTGGTCCGTTTCACGCATCTCATTTATTCTCCGTTCCAGGTTCTGTGCCCCTCTTGTAGCCTTGCGAAGGGAATCCTCCGTAATGTCGGTGCTTAGGGATTCAATGCAAACATTGTCAATGTTGTGGGCTTCGTCAAAAACCACAATGCAGTCTTTCGAGAGCTCTTTCGAGACCCTCTCTGCGATTTTAGGATCGAGTAGGTAGTGGTACGAGTAAATGATAACGTTGCAAAATTGCATCTGCATGCGTTAGAGGATTGGCTGTATAACATGGCTACAGGATAATTGGATAACTCACCATACGACGAGACGTAAAATACGGGCACTGCTTGTGTTCTTTACCATAACGCAGAAGACCATCAAGCGTCCAAACGCCGTTGGGAATCAAGTTGTGAGGTTCAAGTTTGTCGAGATTCTAAACGGTTCAGTTAGTATTGAAGTGCTTATAAATATCGAAGGCTACAAGGAAAGCCGTGGTAAACAAAACGTACGTCGTGGTAAATGCAGACATCGACGTCGTCACCGCGTTCCTTTTTTTCCCTGACAAAACCAGCAGTGAGGCTGCGGCATCGCGCATCAACAACTGCGCCGCTTTTTTCGCGCTTCACGGATGGGTGAAGGCAAAGGTTCTTGCGACTGGTCAGCCCGAGTCCTCGAAATTCTTCTTCACTACCAAGCACCTGCGCTCGGTATTTCATCAATGCTTTGAGCTCAACGAGGGCTTTCTCGATCTCGGACATAGTGCCTGTATATGGCGGGGCGCGTCAGCCAACAAACCGTAACCACCATAACTCCCCAAAGGATGTTCGTCAATGGGCACATGGAAACTGACGGGAGCAATAAATAAGCTTTCGTTGTGTTGGATAATACTGCTGGTATGCAACAATGAGCGACAGCAGAGACACGGTCTTTCCGGTGCCAGATGGCATTTCCAACACGCAGTTACCACCCGCATCAAGAGTCTCTGTGTAATGTAGTTAGAAAAGTGCATGTCTTTTAAGGAGATGTCACATAGAGAAAGTGTCATTATACTCTTGAGGTCACACATGTAGCTTCATATCAGTGTACACCCTGCGTTAGCCCAAGTCACAACCGGGTGCAAAGTAGACGGCGAATGGCCAGAGTAGGAAATTAAGGTTCACGATTGCTCACGCATATTGCTCTGCCACGTCATGGTCAGTATATCGGTGCAGCAAATGTGCACGCGGCGAAGACAAAAGAAATAAATTTACCTGGGTATATCCGTGGATACGGAAACAATACCGGCAAGTCACTAAGAATCATGCCGTGCGTTAGTTTATTTAGTTCATAATGCAGCAAGCGCAGATGTGGTAGAGGTAGCATATGTCGGTGAAGGTCTCTAGGCAAGATAATAGAGGGCGGCCGAGCACACACTCGATATTGAACTTCATCGTACGCGAGGCGACACTGACGAGTCCGCATATGTCTCTGGCAGGTGTCGTCAAATTAGGCCGCGAGCTTGATTAAGTTTGTGAAACAGCCAGGGAGGCAAGGATTTGATATCCAGTTGCTAGCAAGGGACAGGTCTGCACCAAAGTCCGTCAAGAAAGTCCACAAAGACTTCTTCGAGACTCAGTGCACGGTGAACTTGTAACTAGGGTAGTTGAGCGCAGATTGAGAACAGTCAAGTCGAGGTCGTACAGCCTTGGTAGTTGCAAGAAGAGAAAAGGCAGCAAATGATGGACACGAATTGCGTTACGTTCTTCACTCCATCCTAGTCGCGGTATCACGTGCCGTTATTTTCGCGTCATGCTGTGGGATAATATGCATGTCATAATACAGAAAATGGCAGGCGGGGCCTCTCAAGGCAGTATCTAGGGGCCAGCACGTGACCTGTTGGGCCGGTTGGTCTATTACGTGCGCTGTCAAAAAAAAGCATCACGCAGCTAAAATAATCGATCACAATGGTTGAGTTCGTTTGTTGCATTTTGGAAGCAACTAATTATTAAAGGGGTCCCCAGACTAATCGCTATAAGATAGAGCCGTGCTACTACACGTCTCGAATGCAAACTTCTCGTGTGATTGCCCCCAAAGCACATCTGTTGCCTCATTCAATCTCAAACGAGCACCGTGCCTTATGTCAATAAGAAATCATTAAGGGACTTACAAGTTCGCATTTCACACGCTGTTAAATATACAGAGTATCGCGGGTTTTTATTATAACGCAATCCAGCCTTTGAAGTTAAGCTACATTTGCCCCAGTCACCCACCAAAATCAATACTGAATACGGGGGAATTCCTGCTACAGTGATACTTTCTTCGTCTGCTTGACGGTCAAGGCCGTTTCATAGCAAGACCTCCGGATTTCGTGTAACTGTGCCCAATTCCCACCCATGTCCAGGCTCGAAATTGGCTGGTAGCAACGGCTGCCCAGTTTAGATAGAGATTCACTCCGGATAACTCCGCATTATGTTCACTTTTACGACGAAACATAACCAGGCGGCTAAGAAAATAGCCCGCTAGAAAACTGTGTTCATAATGGATGAGCCGACAATCGTCTCCCACACCCAAATACGAGTTCATCTTATGAATACCTACATCGTACACAACGGAGTTTGTTGCCGCATGACGTTGTGGCGACAACAAAAAAATAGATGGGTTTTCATCGTCATTATGGGTAGCTTTATCACAGGACAAACAAACCACGCCGCACGGTTGTACCCTGTGGTGCTAACGAGGTGGATCCTCCCTGCTGTTCATGGATCTGTAAAAACCGCGCGCGCCGTACGACCGTACGCTTTGCGGAAGGTCTTAAGAACGAGCAGTTCCTTGCATCTTGCAGCCCTAGGCTCCCACCGGCCGAGCTGGCTAGCGATGAACACCAGAGGGTTCTCCAAAACCTACAATGATCTTCGCTTTAAGGGTGGTCCTTGCCAGGCAAAGCTATCAAGGGCTAGATACGCAGATCCGCCAGGCAGTCGTTGGCACGGCACCTTTTTAGGGTATAAAGAATCGGCCTGTAGCATGCCTCCATGCTTCTTTTTCAATGCCCATCGCGTCCCTAGTCTTAGACATCTTCGGGCCCAACCCGGGTCCAACCCCCGAGAGCCCAATACGCCATTGCGGCCGTTGCGCCTTGCTGCCTCGAAAATAAAGCATAGGAGGTAAAGGTGCTGGTATTAGTGCCCATGAGCCCTTCAGGAAACGGGTCATCCAATAATATACAATGCTAGCCACTCGTACCCCGTCGGTTGTTGGTTGTTGTGGGCCATTTGTTACCAAGGCAGGGCTGTGACAGAGCAAAGTATCGTGGCGAGCGTGGCTCAGCCGTGTTGCTTCGGTAGCTCATTTACCGATTCACTCCTATGTATCGGCCTTCCCCGTTTTTTGCGCACGGGTGCAGCAGTGCCCATTTTCAATACCCCATTCCCAACCTCATTTCCTCGATTGCTGTGCTCTTTTGGCGGGTGTTTTTTAACTTTGATAAAGGACGGCCTGAGAAATTCACCACCTTCCAAAATCGGCCGCCACTCATGACATGTTCTATATTGCGGACAGGGATTCGCTTCTACGCTGCCAAATCCTCCTCTGCACCCAGGCTCCTGCGCCCTAGGTTTTAATTTAAAAACAGTGTCTTCTCGGCGGCCTACAGGAGGTCCTTTAGCCAACCCGACTCAGGCAACACTGCGATTGTGTGTGGGATCGTTCGCCAAGGCCTGTCGTAAGCAACACAAGGCAAGTCATGGTGCAAGGCCGCCGTTGGACCATCCAACACAAACTGCGGTAGAATTCGGAGTGCGCATCTTGTTTTATCTGGCACAGTTTTAGCCAATTTGTCGCCAATCGCTAGGCAGCTGCCTCCCCTCTCAGTGTAAGTCGTGGGTAACATATGTCGTTATCACTGTCAGATACGCCGGACAGGCCATTCGTAGAAACCAGACGTCCAATTGCTTTCAAGGGTGGCCGGTCCGGTTACTTCATTGGAGCCCCGCGTCAACCAACAACAGGAAAATGCTGCGGCTCGACGAGGCTCGCCGTTGGACTTGTACGATGCTGCCGCTTGATCACCACATACAAATCATCGAATACCTTCCAATACACAAACGAAAATGGGCGACGCCGAGCCCACCTGCACGTCATGTGTCATATCCACGAAAATGGTGGGCGAAAAGGACATACAGGGGGGTGCACGAAGTTGCGGGCTAGACAGTCCGCGTCAAGGGACCTCTTCTCTCGATCAGTCTAGCAAAGACAAAAAACAGCAATGGTGCATTGACTTGAATCTCCATCGTTCCTGCACACCGGGATACAACATGAAATGGGAGCCACAACGGAAATGTGCCAGGGCATCTGGCTGAAGTACGTCTGCTAGACACTCGTTTTCTGAACTCTCAAAAGCACTGAGGATTCCGTGAGACAACCGCCCAAAGGCCAATCCCGCGCTGCAAACCGGCATGCAATACTGCACTGAAAACAGTATAAGCCCGACTTCATCACACATACCTTGTGCACGAGCGTCTGGAAGCTCGTCCCTTTTGGCAGGGGGTCATTATGCAAGTGCAAGGTCTGTTATAATGCGTGACCTCGCAACCGCTCTCTCTCTCTGTGCCGTCCCGCGTCCAGTTCCTCTCTCTCTCCCTCTCCCCTCGATCTCCCTTTCTGACTGGATCCCCGTCACCAACCTGTCCGTCAGAACCAAGTCGGCCATCACTGCTAGCCCTCAAAATCCTACACAGGCAGTCAGCGCTTCATATGGTGTGAGATTATGTGCTATTAGCTCATGGGCGTCAGTCTATATTTGGTGGTGGCTCTCTGTATATATCTTGATGTATATATCTTTACATATTACCGTTGGCGACGCTCCAACAGCCATTGCCTTATTCGTACCAAATAATGTGGATTTACCCCCCCCCCCCCCTCAACCCCCTGTTCCGACTTCCACACATACACACACATCCTCTCTGTCAAGTCTGTCATCCAGGCTCCCATGTCATTGGGGTTCTAAATATACGCATCCTCCAAGTATTGGCGCAGTGGTATATCGGTATGTCTGTGGCGATGCAGCCCTTAGTATTACCCGGTACATGACTTTCCTCTCAACTCCTGCTGCTTTCAGCACCAGCGGTCTCTTCAATGAATACACACAGTGCACCCGCATTTATCAGCCATGTCTACGCCAGTGTATGTGCACATCCTGCCTTGTTTACTGGTTTTCAGTCACTGGGTGCGTATGGCCTAATTTTCCTTTGGACTTTATTCTGGGTCCTTCACCACTTTCGTGAAAGATCGAAATATCGCCTGCGTGCATGTATAAGATCATGTATTAGGTAGTGGTCGCAGCTCAGGCTCCCTTCCAACCCGTTGGTTGCAGCCTCGCTACTCCCGTTGGCTATGCGTATCTGCATATTCCTCCTGATCGATTCGATCACTGCCACCATCGAGTGCTAGCAATCACGAACAGCCATAGAGCATTGGTAGCAACACGATGTTTAATCCTCCCCCCCCCTTTTTTTTTAATCCTTCCTTGTTCGTCCCACTAGATGTCACTTTATTTCTCATATACATATTCTCTCTTCTCCTCATTTCGTAGTCCCTTCACCATCTCAATTCTTTTTCGTTGCTTTCATGTTGTTTGGTTTGTATACGCGGTTTCATTCCCCCCTTCTCAACTGCGCCGGTTGCCTCCTTTCTCGATTTACGGGAGGCCCTCGTATCTGCGTTCTCATTCCTTAAACTTCTACATCCATATTTTTATGTTCATCTCCCGTGGCTTCTCCCTGTCCGGGCCTACCCTGCCTGGTTGTAATACATATGCTTAGCACACACGAGACTGGGTCTTATATAAAAAGGTCGATGGCCGCATTTTCCAGCTCTATGCAATACTCTCCTTTTCTGTCCGCATCAATACCACCACCCCAGCACCCCTCGCCATGGACCGCACACCCTCGTTAAGTCATTCTCCCAACTCCTCGCCAAAGTCAAACTGCCCCTCTGGGACCTCGTCTCTAGGGCATCCTTCTCCTGACACTTTTACTCGACACCACAGTGTCTCGTCACTATATGGAGTTGACCTGTTTTGTTCCATGGCGCCAACCCAGGACTCAGATATTCCCCTGTTCACCCTTGACACAACAAGCCAGCCAGACTGGAATCCTAGGTCAACAGCACACGTACCAGGTACATCATCTGGTCCCTCTACTGCCTTGCCCATAGAGTACGATTCCTTTGGTTGCCCTGGCATATACCACGGAGTACAACAGACACGCAGGACTATGCCAATAACTCTCTCGCTATCGCGTGCGGTTGCCACTGTACAGTCTCCTTTAAGGCCCGCATCCGCGTTGCATGTCTCATTCCCGTCTACATTGACAACTACGCCACGTCCTGTGACACAGACGAGTCTCCGCGACGAAATTGAAGTTGCTTTTCCAGCTCGTGCTAGTGTGACGAGCGCATCATCTTTTTCACAACGGCACAGCGGTCATCTACCGTACCAAATCGAGTCGGCCGAAGTCCACGGTACCAGTAGTAACACCGACGACCCATGCGGATTTGTTTCCGGCGACCCCATCGCCGTTTGGAACCAGAACACACCGACAACGGGCCGGCTACATGACACTTCGGACAGTTACCCACATCGGCCACAAAGTGCTGTGGCGGTGCAACAAAGAGACGTTGTTCGGACCCACCGGCAGCCCAGGCGGCTCACGACAAGGGAGGAGGCAAATTTTCAATGTGGAGTGAAGGGCTGTGGGAAGTTGTTCAGTCGAAGTTACAACTACAAAGCACACATGGAGACGCACAATGAAAAACGAGAGTATCCCTTTCCCTGTCAAGTGCCCGACTGCGGCAAGAGGTTCGTACGGAAGACGGACCTTCAGCGGCACCACCAGAGTGTCCACATGAAAGAACGAAATCACAGGTGTGACTACTGCGGTCGTCTCTTCTCCCGGAAGGACACCCTTCGAAGGTGAGCAAGATAAACGTCTCTTGACCTCGCTACCCGGGAAACTATCACACATCCTACACCACGCCGCCATTGGGGAATAGTGAGGCATATGATACTAGAAGGCTGTCCGGTAATGCCACATATATGACATTGGCGAGCTAACACTTGAACTGTAGGCATATGGATGATGGTTGTTCTAAACGATTCGACATTGGTACACTCGACTTGCACACGGAAATACTCAGTAATGCAAGTCGTGGCGAGGTGTGGCCTGCTCGGTAGCTGCCGCTCGAGTATCGGGGCGCATCCATCGACTGGACGTTGGTTTGCCGTATCCAGGCATGTATTCTATGTAGTTGATATTCAAGTTGTTGTCCCCTGTCACTCGTTCATATTCGTTTTTTTTTTTTTTTCTTCTTTTTTCGTTTACTCTTGTTTTGGGGGAGGGGGTAAAGAATAATGCAGTGTTCTTTTCACGGTGTGAGGACAAAAGCCACAGCCAGTCAGAATATCGACAGCGGCAGTAATGACCGCCGTGAAGCACGATTGCGAGCCGTCGCAATACCGGGTGGCCCAATCTCCGTCTCCGTCCCTCTCTGTATCCCTCCTGAATCACCCAGGCAGAGTCGACATCTTCCGCGTCAGATTGGCACGGAAGAACCAGTATTGCCAGCAGGGGGCCATCCCGGAGCAAATGACACAGTCCGGGTGAAACCCGAAAAGAAGGCGAGAAGGAAGCGACAAAGACAAATAAATAGATAAGGTTCTTCAGTTAAATCAGAACCTAATTGAAAATAAAACTGCGATTAAACCGGTCCGCCTGCTTCAGAACACAGGAGCCTGGATTACAAACTGTACCTGTACCGAACGCTGCGCTCACTTTGCGTTGCTCTGTCAAAGTTAACCGTCCGACAGAGTACGTTGTGCCAACGTCGCATGGCAGTCATGTGGGCCTGCGGGGAGGGTGGGACTCGGCGAGTTATGACCTCAAGCCGGACCCGAACGCCCAGACATATTACCGAGCCAGTTACACCGAGAGTCAGGTTAACAATAGGAGATGCAAGGGTGTTCGCTGTAGGGATACGTCTTTCGCCGGCGTTTCACGTCCTAGATAACAGTAAGAACTGTATGTCGTAGTGTACGACATAACATGTGTGCGTGGATCCGTAAATCACATTAAAGCTGTGCCCAGCGACCAATGACCAGGCAATTATGTAATGCAAGTCCTATACACGCCACAGTGCGTCTTGTAATATAGTACGTGTTGGAATATATCGACTACAGAATCCTACAGCATGATCCTCGCGGCTCGTCATCCTGTATGGTCGCGCCATCCGTTGAGACGGAAGATGAACGGACACCGTCTGTTTCTCCAACCATAACAAGATAGTAATTGATCGATGCGGAGTTATCCGGGCCAAACACGGTTTAAGTTGGTCTGGCCGTGCCCCATAATTCATTAGATTTCCACTGGGTAGAAAACTACTAAAGTTACAAAATTCTGCCGACGGCCACCGCTAAAATTTTTATTTATGGAGACTGCTAGGAAAATATCAAAGGAGTTGTAGAAAACGAAGAAAAGCAACCGACAAACAGCACAACTAAAATCACCTCGCCCCCGAGTTACCTGATTCACCAACCACAGATCCCTCAATTTCTTCTCACTTGACCCTCTTCTAAAGTCGATAATTCTTTGAACTCACCACAATTCCCGTCTGTCCGCCAGCACTGGAAGGCGCGACACGATGAACGTCTCGCAACCTGTCGCCTCATCGGTAGAAAGTGTCGAGTTCACTTTCCTCCCAACCGACGAGATTCGAGCAGCCTCTGTCCGAAGAATAGAAAACGACAGCACTTTTGATACACTTCTAAACCCCGTACCCGGGGGCCTTTATGACCCTGCTCTAGGCTCTTGGGGTGACTCCCTGTTTGTGCTCCTCGGAATTTATCCATAGCTCCATGTTGCTTCTGCTAACCATGATATATCCGCAGGTGTACGACATGCAACCTTGGTCAGTCCATGTGTCCCGGCCATGCGGGCCATATCGATCTTCCGGTCCCTGTCTACCACCCAGTCTTCATGGACCAGGTCTTACGACTACTCCGCGCTGAGTGTATCTACTGTCACCACTTCCGATTGCCACCAAAGGAAATCAACCGATATGCCTGTAAACTCCGGCTGCTTCAATACAGTCTTATACCGGAAGCGATGAAAATCGATGCTATTGGAGAGGACTTCCATAGCCTAGCATTACCCGGTCTCCCACGGGTCGACATGGAGTGCGACGACGACGGCAAGTCTGCGATCGACAATGTGTCTCGAGCGAGAAGCATCTACGTACAGCAGGCACTGCAAAACCAAAGAGTTCTGACCGGCGATATCCGCAAGGGTAAACACGAGGGTGCTTCCGAGCTTCGCCGAGAACTAGTTCAGCAATTTTTAAAGGATATTGTTGTTGGAAGACAGTGTGCTCGCTGCAAAGGCATCTCGCCTAGCTACCGAAAAGACCGCTCTGTTAAAATATTTGAAAAACCACTGAACTCCAAGGAGCAGGCAAAGATGGCGGCAGGACAATTTAAGGCTCGCGATGCCCTGACGCTTCGACCAAAGAGCCAACGGTCTAACGATACCACCGTTTCTGACGAAGGTATTGCCGACATCAGTCTCGATTCTGGTAGCGAGGATGGCAGCGACGTGCACGCGGACGCATTGGATGAATATGGCAACGTTGTTCACAAACCGGTTACAAACAAGCCGACATCTCCACAGCTCCAGCAACGCTACATTAGCACCCAGGAGGTTCTTGAGCGGCTACGCCTTCTCTTCGCCAATGAACAGGACGTTCTGCAACTCATCTACAACTCCAGGCCGCGTGGTCGTCACGCGCAGTCCACACCGGATATGTTTTTCATTCAAGCCCTGCTTGTCCCCCCGAACAAGTATCGGCCAGAGGCGCGCACCGGCGATGCACAAGTCACCGAAGCCCAGCAAAATTCCCTTTACAAAGCGATCCTTGGAGCATCTTTTCGCGTGGCTGAGATCCACCGCGAGATATCTGACGCAGCAACAAAGACCCCAGGTCGTTTCTCAAGGGATATTTTGTCTCTCCACGAGGCCTGGTCAGAACTCCAGAATTCTGTCAACTCCCTTATAGACAGTACCAAAAACCCAGCCCAAGGTCAAAACGCCAAGCGGATCGAGGACGGCATCAAACAAAAATTGGAAAAGAAAGAGGGGCTCTTCCGAAAGAACATGATGGGTAAACGCGTCAATTTCGCAGCCCGCAGCGTCATCTCACCTGACCCAAACATCGAAACAAACGAGATTGGTGTCCCGCCCGTTTTTGCACGCAAGCTTACATACCCCGAACCCGTAACAAGTCACAACTTCAAGGAACTTCAACAGGCCGTTATCAATGGCACAGACACTTGGCCTGGGGCGTCTGCGATCGAAAATGACAATGGGCAGGTGGTCAATCTGAGAGGGAAATCTTTGGAAGACAGAATGGCTCTCGCAAACCAGCTCCTAGCGCCTTCCAACAGCGGAAGTTCCACCATGAGGGGAAAGAAAGTTTATCGGCACCTTAGCAACGGTGATGTGGTTCTTATGAACCGCCAGCCCACCCTTCATAAGCCGTCCATTATGGGTCACCGAGTCAGAGTTTTACCCGGTGAGAAAACCATCCGTATGCATTATGCAAATTGCAACACATACAACGCGGATTTTGACGGTGATGAGATGAACATGCATTTCCCACAAAACGAAATCGCACGTGTTGAGGCATTACAGCTTGCGGACACAGATCACCAATATTTGTCTGGCACACAAGGCAAACCACTGCGAGGTCTCATCCAGGATCACATTTCCATCTCAGTCTCACTCTGCGGCAAGGACACCTTTTTCCACAGAGGGACATACCAGGATCTTGTCTATAGCGCACTGCGCCCTGAGAGCGGTCACATTTTGGGGGACCGCATTGAACTTGTCAGTCCTGCCGTCTTAAAGCCTGTGCCTAGATGGACTGGTAAACAGGTGATCACAACGATCCTAAAGAACGTCAAGCCGCCAAACTGTGCTCATCTTTGGATGAGCGGCAAGAGTCAAGTTCCCGAAAACAGGTGGGGTTCACATACGGAAGAGGGTTATATTGAGTTCCGAGACAGCGTCTTAATCTCCGGTATTCTCGATAAAGCTCACCTTGGACCGAGCTCTGGTGGTTTCATTCATGCCGTCCATGAAGTTTACGGCGCCTCGGTTGCTGGGAAGGTTTTGAGCTGCATGGGTCGTTTGTTAACACGACTACTCAACATGCGGGCCTTCACTTGCGGAATTGACGACCTGCGGTTGACACCGGAAGGCGAGGCCAACCGTAGTCGGGAGCTGAATGGAGCTCAAGATGCTGGGCTAGGAGTTGCTGCAGCCTATGTCAGCCTCAAAGACCAAGCGCCGACAGATAAAGATCCCGAACTTCTTCGCCGTCTTGAGGATGTCATGCGAGACGACAGCAAGCAGGAAGGCCTCGACTTGTTAATGAACAAGATGAGTGCTAGCGTTTCAAGCAACGTGACCAAGGCATGTCTCCCGGTTGGCCTTGAAAAGCCGTTTCCCCACAACCACATGCAAGCCATGACCATCTCTGGTGCCAAGGGAGGCAATGTGAACGCAAACTTGATTTCTTGCAATCTTGGCCAGCAGGTTCTGGAAGGCCGACGGGTCCCACTCATGGTTAGCGGGAAGTCTCTACCATGCTTTCCCGAATTTGACACAAGTTTGAGAGCCGGTGGCTATATTGTCAATCGCTTTCTTACCGGTATTCGTCCGCAAGAATACTATTTTCATCATATGGCTGGTCGTGAGGGTCTCATTGATACAGCAGTAAAGACATCGCGGTCGGGCTATCTTCAACGATGCCTGATCAAAGGAATGGAGGGTCTCGAAGTGGCTTACGACTCATCCGTTCGTGACTCCGACGGTAGCCTGGTTCAATTCCTCTATGGCGAAGATGGGCTTGACGTTACCAAGCAGAAATATCTCACCGACTTCAGCTTTGTGCTGCATAACCTCGAATCCGAAATGTCTGATTTTAAGTTTTCCGACCCTCGGACAGCGGGGTTATTTGAGCACAAGGACGAATTTTTCAAGCAGAGTAAACGCATGCTGAAGAGATCGAACGTGAACGCAGGTTTCGCTGACGAACCGGTCAATGCTTTGGTCAACCCTGCCAAGCACGCTTTTGCGATGTCGGAGAAATTTTTCGGCTTGATGTCAACCTATGTCCGCGAGAACAAGGACCGCCTCATTAAGGACAAGGAATCAAGAGGCGATGACCAGTCTACTTCACGTCTGCCGTTCGATCAAGCCTCGATGGGGAAACGATCGGTAGAGAGGGTGTTTGCTGCGAAGTACCTCCGGTCGCAGGTCGAGCCTGGCGAGGCTGTTGGCATTGTCGCCGGGCAATCTGTCGGTGAACCCTCGACGCAAATGACCTTGAACACATTTCATTTGGCAGGGCATTCCGCAAAGAATGTCACACTGGGTATTCCTCGTCTCAGAGAAATTTTGATGACTGCCAGTGCCAACATTTCAACACCGGCGATGACCCTAGTTCTTCGACCGGACTTGACACATCAGGAAGGTGAACATTTTGCGAAAACTATTGGTATGCTTCCACTCTCGCATATTCTCGACAAGATAGCAGTCAAAGAGCGTGTCGCCAGAGGCATTGGCCATCCATATTCAAAGATATTCGACGTTCGGCTCGATTTTTTCGCCTCGGACGAATATGAGGCAATATATGCTGTTCAAGCGTCCGATGTTTTGGATACGGTTGAAAAGAGGCTTCTACCGGTGCTGCGAAAGCTCATCACCAAGGCGACGAAGCAGAATGAGAAAGGTCAATCTAGCGCCAGCATACCTGACGTCGGTGTCAAGGCAGGCGTGATCGAAGTCTCTCGCACCGGTAACGAAGATAGCCATGGCAACGATGCACAAAGGGACGACGGCAGCGATGATGACAATGACGATGGTGACAACGATGCAACGAGTGCTAAGCAGCGCGGGAACCGAAACGAGGCTGTTTCATACGGACCAAACGACGAGGAGGATGATGACATTCGTATTCGCATGGAGCGGGATGCCACGACGGAAGAAGATCTCCCCGACGACGAAGGCTACGTGGGGAGCCCGCGGTCTGTGATGACTCACAATGCTCAGGCAGGCGAAAATGAACGTGCAAATGATAGCGAGGCAAGCGACGAAGAAGATAGTGCGCAACCAGGCGGAGATGTGCAAGGCGACACGGAACAGGGTGGTTCGGAGGCTCGCCAAGCCAGGGTCAAAAGTGGCAACACCAATATCACACGTTTCCGTGCGGACGAAAATGCTGGTGAATGGTGTGAGTTTACGCTTGAACTACCTGCCGACTCTCCCAAAATACTGATGCTCAGTGTCGTGGAAGATGCGGTACGACGATCGGTAGTACGCCAAATCCCTGGGGTGAAGTCTTGCACATATGTTGCCGACGAGGTTGTGAAGGACTCGCGTACTGGGATAGAAGTTAAGGTCCCGGTCGTGCACACGGAGGGCGCCAATATCCGAACCATACAACAATTTAGCGATTTCTTCGACCCTAACAAGTTGGCCACGAACGACATTGTGGCCATGTTAGAAGTTTACGGTGTTGAAGCCTGCCGGAACACCATCATTCGAGAATTGAGCACAGTTTTCGTCTCTCACGGTATCGGTGTGGACAACCGCCATCTCAATCTAATTGGCGATTTCATGACCCGTGGTGGTGGCTTTATGCCGTTTAACCGCTACGGTTTGAAAGGAAATGTGAGCCCTTTTACGAAGATGAGCTTTGAGACTACACTTGCGTTTTTGAAGGATGCATTGGTTGACGGTGACTGGGACGGCCTCGTTACCCCGAGTAGCCGCATTGTGATGGGCAGACTGGGCAAGACAGGAACAGGCTCATTTGATGTCTTGACCAGTGTTCCAATACAGCACTTTGACCCGATGCAAGGGCTTCGGACGAGCTAGGTTAAAAGAAATGGCGAAAGAACGGAGATATTGGGATGGGGAAGGTTGGTTTAGTAACCAAAGGACGTTGTACAAGACTGAAGATTGACATCCTGTTCTTCGGTTTTCAATTGTGAGAGATGGTGCGATGTATGGTACAAAATTTTGTTTCAACTACGCCAGTTTCGAACCGTCTAATTGTATATGCATGGCCGTTTACAGCACCATTGTGGACGGTCGGAGTTTCGTGTGAAGATAGAGACTTAAAACACAAGTGTAATGAAAATGGGTGCGAACTGTGCGGCCATTGGCTGCTTACCTCTGTATCTATCTTCTTTTGTCCTCCAGTTTACCGGCAACAGTACTTTAACCCCACGCTACATCTAGGACACTGTCAGTCAAAGGGCACATACAATTAATATATGTACATACATGTATTCATATACCTTACCCATTCCGTGCACCGCGGCAAAACTTATAAAACATATAATCATCAATGAATCACACTTTAAATCGACCTTTGAACGATGTCTTCGTAGAAACAAAACTGGCATCACGTCCCCGGATAACGCTTTACGTCGACAAAGTGAGCCTATTCGCCTACGAGGCATACTACATTCTCCGAGTAAGTCGTCAAGCTGGCCTTGGGGTGTAGAGGATTTTGTGTTTATGCAATAAACTAACAACAAGCAACCATCCGCTTCTGCTATCCCATAGAACGACAGCACGTTCAAAGAATGCTCTATCCAGTATGTCCCGATCCTACTGGGCGGGCTTATGAAAACGGTACACAATCCGCCGCTTTAATCATTGAAGCAGTCACATGTGCAACTCTCCTACAACAGACGCCAGGCTGACCGTCTATAATAGTGTGGTAATACCGCGCCGATATATATAAAAAGTGAGTAGTAGTCTAGGAAGCCACTCACTAATAGCATTATGCATTTACCGAGAGGGTACATGTAGACAAAGATAGTTGGATTGGCACTGAAAGGCTTCGCTGGGCTCGCATATTCGGTATACCGATGAAGGACGATTCACCTCCTGGGTCCTCCCCCCCCCGACACTAATGGCCATGCGAACAGCCAGTGCCATCGCAATAATGGATAGAGATAGCGGACAGGGTCGGCTCATAAGGGTGCTTGATGCGCTGTTTCACAGGCTCTGGGTCGAACACCAGCTAGTTCATGATGCTGAGGTACTTCAAGGCATTTTACGGAGTTTGCTTGGAGAAATCGGTTCAAAGCGCGGTAAGCTGGACATTCGGAACAATAGCGACTTTTTGCGTAGCTCGAATAAGACTAACGATAAAAACAGTTCTCGACAATGTCAACACTGAGGGTAAAGCCATCTTATTAAACAACACTAATAAAGCCTTTGTCGACGGTGCATTTAGTCTGCCGTGGATGGTCTGCACAAATCCAAAGGGTGAGAAAGAGGGCTTCTGGGGTGTCGACCATCTTGGCCAAGTAACACAGTTTCTAGGACTAAAACGACCTGGCGAAGGTGGCTGACGAGCGGTGCTGTAAACAGTGTAAGATGGAAGGGCCAATAAAAATCCCAGTGGCTACGCCGAGGCCTAGTAGCCTTCGCAGAAATCTATCTGCCCATTGTCAAATGTCATAATGCTCTAGGCGGAGAAACAACGCATATACGCTTACAGGGAGTTCTCGCGTCCATACACATCTGACACGTTTTGATTACGAAATCTCCGCCCAAGCCATTTACATCTCTGAAATCGCTTGAGCACATACTGACAGGTATTTCCCCTCCTTTCACGTCTCACTCCTACCATTCGTAACACAGTGGCAATTGAATCCGGATCGATAGTCTTGTCATAAATCAATAATTGTCTGGGCCGCCGACCCAGCTGCAATCCGGCTATTATACAGCCCTCGAGAATAAAACCAGAAATAAACCAACGCAAACATTAACGCCTTGTGATATTAACCCCGTCCGAATGTGAACCAATCATCACGAAAGCACAATCTGAAACCACGTCGCTTGATGGCCTAGTTGCGCTCGCCGCGCAGGCGGCGGGCCAGCTGAATGTCCTTCTATACGGATTATCAGCAAATAGCTCCACACATTATAGATAATTTAACACCGCGCCAACTTACCGACTGGATCGTGACGCGCTTGGCGTGGATGGCGCACAGGTTGGTGTCCTCGAAAAGAGAAACAAGGTAAGACTCGACCGACTCCTGAAGGGCGCCAATGGCAGACGACTGGAAGCGCAGATCGGACTTGAAGTCCTGTGCAATCTCACGGACCTGGTGCTCGTCAGTGATGATGTACAGTGTTGAGCAAAATACACGTGTGCTTGCTTACCAGGCGCTGGAACGGAAGCTTGCGAATGAGAAGCTCGGTCGACTTCTGGTAGCGGCGGATCTCACGGAGAGCGACGGTACCGGGCTTGTAACGATGGGGCTTCTTGACACCGCCGGTAGAGGGGGCACTCTTGCGGGCAGCCTTGGAAGCAAGCTGCTTACGAGGAGCCTTGCCACCAGTGGACTTCCGAGCGGTCTGCTTGGTGCGAGCCATTGTAGACGTTGATGATTTGTGTGGTACAAGAAAAGAAATTGACAAAACCGATGAAAGTTTTGCTGTTGCTGATGATTGGTGGCGGATTGATAATGTTGTAAGAGGAAAGATTGGGTGTAGTGGGGGGTGGGCGACCAAAGACTTAAGTAGGCCGCGTTTGTGAAGATTGTAGCGCAGGCTGATTTGGCAAAGTGGGTCCTTGGTCTTTCATTTTTATTGGGAGACTTGTGACTTGGCGTACATTTATATTTTTCGTGTTTTGATTGCCCGATTTGCACTAGCGTTAAATATTAGTGCCTTGTCTTCTTTTGGCCTATTTTCACAAATGGCAGGGAACCTTGGCGCACAGGTGGCCAAGCTTGGCTCTCCCAACGTCACAGATTTGGACGTAGCTAAGGATTCACTCCAGGGGCTATGTAGACGAGAACGCGATTTACCGAACGTGACGCCAGGCGCGGTTTGGCAGTAAATGTATACCGTGAAGCACTGTTTCTTGATTGTTCATTTTGATTTCTTTTTCTGTGTAGTTGTATTTCCTAGTTACAGACGAGGTATAACTATAGATTCCCCATTGGGACTATTAGACAGTGACACTTATTTCTCCGTTCTGTTGACGCCTTGCCACTGATGCGATCCAAACCGACGTGTGCAACATACTGTTGAATAGGCCGTGATGAGCAGTACTTAGTAATATAATGAAAGTAATTCTACATAGTAATGCAAAACGTCCACTATTAAACTTTTACTCAGTACTCGCATCCCTCACATCTGCGATCTTGGCTACCGCAATCCCTGCTTCAATATTGCGGCACAGCGAAACGCCTAAAATAATAACGTATGAACAAATTCCAATATTTATGTGCTCTGATTTCTGATTGGTCTGATTCCCAAGACTTGCGGCCTTCTTTTGTGTATTGTTTGTCGACCCCACTGTCGCCCCAGACGCGTGTTTGTGTCTCTTTGGTTTTGGTTTGTTTATTCGTGTCATTGTGGGTCCGTGTATTACAGGCAACAACGTCGAATCAGCCACTGATTCGGCCCCGCTCAGATCAACCGTGTCCTCAGCATATCACACATTTAAAGACAATCCGTCCGCCTGCACCGACTATTCACATAGCCACAAGTTACATCTTATTTATCCTCAGCATCCTTCAACTCTCGTTAGTTGCCTTTCTTTTCTTTTTTTAGCACGTCCAAAACATCAATATGACTGGTCGTAAGTACAATATCTTAGTATTCGGGATTTCGTGTCTTACTTGGGCGATACTAACATAAGATAGGCGGTAAGGGCGGTAAGGGCCTCGGCAAGGGTGGTGCGAAACGTCACCGGAAAATTCTCCGTGACAACATTCAGGGTATCACGAAACCCGCCATTAGACGTCTCGCCCGCCGTGGTGGTGTGAAGCGGATTTCTGCTAGTAAGTTCTCTCGAGGCAAAAACGTGATGTGTCCATTTACTGACTTTATACAGTGATTTACGAGGAGACACGCGGCGTTCTGAAGTCATTCCTTGAGGGTGTTATCCGCGACGCTGTCACGTACACCGAGCACGCGAAGCGAAAGACTGTTACTTCTCTTGATGTGGTCTACGCTCTGAAGCGGCAAGGTCGTACCCTGTACGGGTTTGGTGGTTAGGGTTATGACTTTTTTGTTGCGTTTCGGTTTATGCGGTAATATATCGGATTCGATGGTTATGTGTTTTTGTTATGGCGATTGTAACATACGGGTATCTTGGTGTGGCGACGATATACAGCGTAGCAAGCTGCGTTACTTATATGACGTATCTAATGATATTAAAGACGTTTAACTTCACTTTTTCAGTCTGATACAACTGTTGACCAGTCTCACACGTGTCAAAAATATTAGTATCGTCAATTCTAGATTACGTTGCGTTATTCGAATGTAAACATAAAAAGAAAGATTCGACGAGTAATCGTCTGATGACCTTACTATTAGTAATCACGTAACATCGGGACCCGATTAAAAACGTACCGGCCTTTTACGAGATAAAAAGTATGGTCCTAGTAACGGTCGATGGTCATCTACTGTTATAAGTAGTTGTAGGATAGGTCTTCCCGATAAATTAGTTAACAAAAAGTACTAGTTTCGAGGGCGAAGGTAGGTGTGTATTATAACAGAGACTAGTTGTTATCCCTTCTTCCTTAAGGAAGAAGGGAGTCTTATTATTTAAGGAGAAAGATTTTTTACTAACGTGTTATTATAATCGATTCGTGGCCGAACGCCACGAATTAAGTGACTAGACTTATATAATAAAACGAGGTGTGACTAGTCCTTAACCACATGCCAACACCACGTTAACTAAAAGCCTTTCTCCTTAAATACTAGGTCTCCCTTCTTCCTTCAAGAAGAAGGGGTAAGAATTAGTCTTTGTGTTACGACTACGACCCCCGTGGGGGTTAAAAGGAGAACCTAAGACGGTCGGGACCGGTAAAATAAATAAGTACAGGTTAAGCCAC